GAGAGCTACAAGACGGACTTTTAACCGCTTTTGGCACGGTCCCGTTCCTCCTCGACGACGGCGAGCCCGTGTACGAGTCGACCATCATCTCGCAGTACATTGACGCCAAAGTCAACGGCGGAAAGCTCTACTGCGCCGACGCCCCGCGCCTCGCCGCCCTCGCCCAGCTGGCAGTCGCCAAGTTTGAGCCGAGCCGGTTCTACGCCATCTTGCACAACAGCGATGACGCCAAGATGCCGGCGCTGGAGGCCGAGATGCGCGCGTCGCTCCAAGGCCTCGAGCGCATCTACCGCGAGCACGCGGCCGCGTTCCGGGCCAAGGGTCCGTACCTGCTGGGCGACCGCTTTAGCAGCGCCGAGATCAACATCATGACGTTCCTCTTCCGGTTTGACATTCTGCTGCAGCACTACCGCCACGTGCGCGTGCTTGGCGACGACATTCCGCTGCTCTCGGCTGCGCTGGAGGCGTCGGTGGCGCGGCCGGCGTTCGCCTTGACAGCGCGCGACGCCGACTTTTACATTCGCGGGTTTGCCCACCACATCGAGTAGGCGACTAAGTTTTAGTCTCTAAACAAGTGTATCTCTAAATTGCAAGACAATGACCTTGAACTTGAGATGGCGATGACGAGCCAGCATCGACGGAATGTTGCGGATATGGCAGTGAGCGCGACTTTGACGTGCATCTCGACGGGGTCGCGGTGCGTCGGATGGATCTTGGCGAGGTCGTCGGCGCTATAGATAGAGGGTGATATCGAGTTGGTCCAAGAGTGCCGATCGGCTGAGCACTGCGAAACGAGGCGAGACGAATCGCCCAAGTTATACATCCTTTCAACAAACTACGATATCACGGCCCATAAAAGTACAAAAGGGAACATGAATACTCTTTTGTATTTTTATGGAGTCAAAGATCGTGGCGTCAAGAATGAACTCGTGGCGGTGGTAAAAGCGTTTGGCCACGCCCAATGGGCCACGCCTTTTCTTCTAAACGACTTTCTGGCCAGACAACACCCAGTGCTTTAACGTGCTAGGACAAACATGGTACACACATTTTAGACTACGCGAGGCGGTCGCAAGGATTGCGGTGCCTTGTAGAATCGGCCGATTCCACCTGACGACTACTTTTCGCTACCGTTGAAAACGCATTTACAACGTCAGTTCCACCACCAAACAAATAGTATTCCTTCACCCTCCCATCACCCCATCGACGTACCACCAACGTGGCTCGTCGCACCCTCCAACCGACACTTCCACCTTGCGGTTCTCCGTGGAACAACTACCACCAGCACACTTCCTACACTCATATTCTTTTCACAAATTTCATGATAAGATCCGACGTACCACGCCTATCCTTCTAAAACGAGCGATTTAACGGCCATGAGTAATGTCGATGACTAAATCGTCTTGATCGATCATCGACGCTCCCGACATCTTGTCGTCTCCATTTCATTTTCAATATTTGAGCAATTGCAACATGTGCCACAAGATCTCGTGCTCCGTGTGCCAAAAGGCAACCTGGTAGATTCCCCCTCTCGGTGAATCGCCGAAATTGACTGAATGCTTTGTAGGCAAGGGTGCGGCCAGCACATCCAGAGCGCGCTGCAAGGTACGTCTCGACTTGTCTGGTGGCCTACTTGAGAGTGGAAATTCTAGGCGTGCCCGAGGCGGAGCGTTGCCCGGGCTGGCGCACGGGCCAGCACCAAGATGCACCGAGCGCCGGAAAATAAGCGCTACGCTGCACGACAAGACCAAGAGGCATGGACACAAACACAAAATAGCATAAATTCACAAATACATCGGCAGTCACTACATGGTTGGAGATACAACGCTGTGGCACACGAGGTCGAATATTGTGGCCCATGTCGCGTCGCGCAGCTTAAAGCGTTGACGTAAACATCGTAGTGTAAACTGTCTACGGCGAAAGTGGTCGGTAAGGCGGCCGTTTCGACGAAGTGGCGACGTCAGCGACATCCTTGGTCGCCTCTCTCGTACCGGTAGCATGTTGGATACCGTCTGCATTGCTGCGAATGGTACCCACACATGTGTTCGACACGTGCGTGCATCAACCAAACGTCTGAACCGACTACGGTGTTGAACCCTATCCCTGCGCACATGACGTGTACCGCAAAAAACATCGAAGGATGATCGATCTGTCCGCGATGGCTCATCGTCGTTACGCCAACCGCGTCCTACGTGCCCAATGGTTTTGGTTGCAAGAAAATAGCGGCTCGACGTCACAACGCACTTTGGATTTTACTGCTCGCCACCATGATATCCCCTGCCTCCGACGCTAAGTTCCTGCCCATGCTCGACAATACGCCGTCACGGCCAACGACAACGTCATTGCGATCAATGGCGGGTACCACGCCCCGGTCCAGCCCGCGACGCTCGGGTGGCACGACTTGCGCTACACGGTACAACCCAAGTCGCTTCTCGGCAAGAAGGGGCCGGCCAAGTCGATCCTCAAAGGTATCTCGGGCCACGTGGCGCCCGGACAGCTCACGGCGATCATGGGACCGTCCGGCAGCGGCAAGACGACGCTGCTCGATATCCTCGCGGACCGCATCGCGACAGGCGTCATCGAAGGCGACCTCGATGTCAACGGCCGGCCGCGCCACTCGGCCTCGTTCCGCAAGATGGCCACGTACGTTGCGCAGGAAGATTCGCTCCTCGGGTCCTTTACCGTCCTCGAGACGCTTCGTTTTGCGGCCAGAATCTCGCTCAAAGCGCCTGCCGACGTCTTGGAAGAGCGCGTTCAGAACGCGATCGCGGACATGGGCCTGGCCAGCTGCGCCAACACGCGGGTGGGCGACATCTTTTTCAAGGGCATTTCGGGTGGCCAAAAGCGTCGGCTCTCGATCGCGATCGCGCTCCTTACCAACCCCTCGATTCTGCTCCTCGACGAACCGACGTCGGGGCTTGACGCGGCGTCGACGTACTACATCATGAAGTACATTGCCAAGCTCTGCGACGCCGGGCGTACGGTGGTGTGCACGATCCACCAGCCGTCGACCGACGTGTACAACCTCTTCTCGACCTTGTCGATCCTTGTCGAAGGCCGCACCGTCTTTTTCGGGCCGCCCGCATCGGCCTTGACGCACTTTGCCTCGCTCAAGTACCCGTGTCCCAACTACTCGAACCCGGCCGAGTACTTTGTGGGCCTTGTCAACACGGACTTTGAGGGCCACGCCGACGTGAACGCGTTCGTGGAGGCGTTCGCCCGCAGCGACCTAAGCGCCTCGGTCGTCCGCGCCTTCCACGACGACCGCGCCTTGAGCCGCAAGAGCGATGTGCCAAACCACGAAGCATCGGCATTCACGCAGTGGCAAGTGCTGCTGCAGCGCAACTTGCTCAACAATGCGCGCAACCCAGGCTTGTTTTGGGTCCGTCTCTTCATGTACATCATGCTCGCGTTCATGGTCGGCACCATGTACTACCACACGAATACAGAGCTCACGAAAGAAGACTTGCTGCCGCTGCTCTTTACGTCCAAGCCTTCCTCGTCTTTATGAGCGTCGCAGTGCTGCCCTTCTTTATCGAGCAGCGCGCGGTCTTTGTCCGCGAACGGGCCAACCAAGGCCTCCGCGTCCGCAGCTACGTGCTCGCCAACGTCCTCGCGGCCTTGCCGGGGATTGCGCTCATCGCGATCCTCTCAACGACGCTTGTGGTCTTGCTCGCCGACCTCAACGGATTTGGGTATTTTTCCTCAACCTCTTCTTGTCGCTGGTCGCGGCCGAGTCGCTCATGTGTGTCATCGCTGCCGCCGTGCCCCACTACATTATCGGTATTGCGCTCGGGGCCGGTCTCTTTGGCATGTTTATGCTCTGCGAAGGCTTCATGGTGCCCAAGCACGCGATCCCGGACTACTGGATCTGGGCCTACTACCTCGCGTTCCACACGTACTCGTTCGAGTCGTTTGTGTACACGCACTTCAACCCGATCCAGGCGACCGATGCGACGGCAAAAGCGATTCTGGTGCGCTACGGATTTGAAGACGTCGACGTCGACCGCAACATGGTCATCCTTGTCGGCTACACGGTCGCCTTTCAGCTGCTCTTTGGGTGGATCTTGTACCGCTTCCACACGGGCCGCCGGTAAACCCGCTCTTGACGATGCATAGTGTATCGATAAGTGCGTGGTATATACACTTTGCATTGGATTTCAAACCACGACTTCTTATGGCGTGTGGAACAGCGCGTTGGCATGCCAAGAAAGGGTGGAATACGCAAATAGGGTTAGGGCTATCTGGTGTCGAGGTGCCCAAGGTCTCTGCAAGTAGCTGCGACTGTAGGCTGCGCAGATGGTCTTGTCTCGAGTCGCCCAGCCACGTATGTCAAAGTACATCAATGTGTCCAAGCCTGCGCGCTGGTCGAGACGAAAAGTGTGGTCTCGTGTCTTTCGAGTACAGGTATCATCAATCCATCGTTGTGGCGCCACGTTCGCACGATCTAGTGTCGGTGATCCGTTCAAGTAAGACATTGTCTTCAAACTGAATAACGATTCCAATTAAGGTACGATGTGATATGATAGACACTCGTCGTGGCTGGTGCTGCAAGGTGGGGAGCTCCTTTGAGTTGGTATCGGCTGCCGGCGTCCTGTCCATTTCTTCAGAACTACTATCATCAGGGTCCCTAAAGTCCAGAGACCTCAAGTCGACGCGTTGTGCAGTGTCGTTGTGCATGTAAACTCAAGACGAGTTGTCACTTGTAGAATTGATGATATCTTCTTTAACGTTAAAACATGCAAAATACGGTATTAGAGCAGGTATTGAAGCGCCGCCGTGGTCATACCGCCGAGGAAAATAGACGGAAGCACGAGCCAGGACGAGCTCATGAGCATGGCCGTGCCCGAGAGGCCGTGGCCCGACGTGCAGCCGCCCGCGAGGCTCGCGCCAAAGGCGATCATGGCGCCGCCAAGTACCGAGCGCAGCGTGCTCGGGTACACTCCGCCGTTGGCGTCGGGCGACGTGGCCGCATACGACCCAGCGATGATGCCAAGCACAAAGAGAGCTTGCGATGCGTCCGACAAGCGCGGCAGCCACGAGGTGGGACGGCCGACAGCGCAGCAGACGGCGTTCGAGACTTCGCCGAGGGCGATTTTGATGCCAGCGGACGCACCAAGGGACTTGTTCAACAGAAAGGCCATGGGCAGTTGGAGTGCGCCGACGACAGCTCCGGCGACGCTCGGGCGCCAAGAGGTCGACGTGCTTGTAAACGGCTCGGGCAGCATGACCTCGAGCATGGCTGCGACGGACAAGCAGGCGACGCCGACAAGACCGTGTGTCATAGGTGTGAGCGGCATCGTCGTGGCGACCTTGGGCTTGTCCTTCTGCCAGTTGGCAATCTAGTCGTGCATGAGTCAAGCGCATCGTTCGAGAGAACGTACGCGGAAACGGAGGGCGCCAGCGATACCTGCACCCAGCGCCGTGCCCGCGAGGCAAGCGAGGGCGGACGGGATCTGCGCGCCAAGCTGCACGTAGACCGAGCCAGGGCACGAGCCGCTGACCGTCATGCCGGCGCCGAGCACGAGGCCGCCGAGAATGAGAGCGGTCGACGTACTCGGGTTGGTCGCGCGACTCGACTGCATGCGCTGAAACGCATCCGGTTGCAACGCGCGAAAGACGGCTTTCGAGAGAAAGGACATGCCGAGCGCGCTCACAAACATCTTCATCATCGTAAAGCGCTGAAAGGCCATTTGCTCCATAATGATCATCGGGAGGTAGACTTGGCCCTAGTCGATTGCGTTCAGTGGCGAGCTCAGGACTTTGTCTACCTTGTTCATGGCAAAGCCAAACGCAGCGCCCGTCGTGAGAAGCACGATCGTGTGGCGCGGCGGCGGCAGCGACGGGCCGGCTTGGTGGCTGGGCACTTTCATGGCAAATGGAAACTGCTGGAATCCAAAAGGGACCGTTGAAGCGCTTGCGTAGCGCGGGAGCCTGCGTCATCGCCCACACGTATCGAAACAGATGCGCCAATCACAGCGTCGCGGGTCGGCCGATGCTGTGTATTTTTCGATACAAACCGTCAAAATGGAAGTCGAGGTCGAGTGTCTCAGCAATGCGAGCATGGCTCGCACTGAACCGAGGGCATCTGGCACTAAGCAGATGGGGCGAGTAATGCGGATCTCCAGTGATCCACCTCCGATCATCCACTCCAGTGATCCACCTCCAGTGATCCATCTCCGTTGTTCGCGGCATATGTTGGAGCGGCGTCGTGCTCACGTTCGTTTCGTGACCACGTCCCACCCTGCACCAAAGCACCAAAGCAGCGTCCAAATACACTGTATTTGTCACGGGTATGCACCAGGGTATGCACGGGATTTGGTCGTATTTTTATGAATTTTTGCTGTTTGGCGCCCGTGCCTCTTGGTCTTGTCTCATCACTGCTTATTTATCGGCGCCGCCGCTTTGTGCATCTTGGTGCTGGCCCGTGCGCCAGCCCGGGCAACGCTCCGCCTCGGGCACGCCTAGAATTTCCACTCTCAAGTAGGCCACCAGACAAGTCGAGACGTACCTTGCAGCGCGCTCTGGATGTGCTGGCCGCACCCTTGCCTACAAAACATGCAGTCAATTTCGGCGATTCACCGAGAGGGGGAATCTACCAGGTCGCCTTCTGGCACACGGAGCACGAGATCTTGTGGCACATGCTGCAGATGATCAAATGGGAAATGAAAAATGGATTTGCAGATCTTTTACAAAGAAAGATATCACAGCAGGCGATGATCGATCAAGACGATGCAGTCATCAGCATAACTCACAGCCGTTGAAGAGCTCGATTTCGAAAGATAGGGTAGTACTTTATGGATGGTCTTACATGTACGATATAAAATGGAAGAAAAATCATTGGGCTATAAGAGTTTATGAACCTGAAGCTAGGTTGTGGGAGTTGGTGGTAGTCGTACCACCACGACACGCAAGATAACAGCGTCGGTGGCGGCGGAGGCTGCGACGAGCCACATATTTGCACACGAGGCTCCAACTGGATTTGACTAGGAAATACTATACCAAGAAGTTTCAAGTGGTCCAACTTTGCGCTTCATTCGTAGTTATCCAAACATCAAGGGCACCAAATTCGAGGGCCCCTTGCACACTACGCTGTGTGCCCTGCTGGTTGCCGACGTAGCTGGTGTGAGAGAACGATGGAAACACCATCTTTGGTTGCGTACAGTATCTCGCAAACAGTTCGATCGATGCGCGCTTGTAAATATGCAATATATATATATTTCTGGGGCCACTTTCTGAGTTGGCAACTTTGAGTCTAAGAAGGTGTCGTGGTGTTACTGGAACCGACCGCGCTTGGCCATGTAGTCGTGAAAGGCCATCGTGCTCAGAAGCAGCACCACCGACGCGCCTTGGCCGTAAATGCGCGTGTGCATGATCTTTTGCGAGAATTGAATGTTGGCGTTGCGGTTCTGGTCCAGAAAAATGCACCCGATGAGCGGCACCGTCGCGCCGACGAGCGTTCGGAACGGGTAGTCGTACACAAAGTTGGCCGTGCGCTGCAGCAGCGGCAGGTCACTCGTCGTCATCGTCTTGGTGGGCAAGGCGACCTCGCCGTGCATCTCAGAAATGTACGCGTCCGGGTTGCGCACACCGCGCAAGAGGTCCTGCTCGGCGACGATGGCAAAGCTGGCGACCGACGCCATGACGGCGAGCCCGACCTTGCCGCTCACGCCGAGGCGATGGCGGAACCATGTCGACTGTTGGTTGGCCAGTGCCACGAGTGCGCCGGCCGTGACACCGGCGACGACCGCAGCTTGGAGTCCCCGGCTGGCCGAGTTGTGCACGATCGCGTCGCGCTTGTCGATCGAGCTGAGCGTCGCCATACTGGTGGTCGAGCTGGTTGATGTTGTGAAATGAGCTGTGCGTGGCTTTAGGAGAGCAAGGATCTTGTGCGGGAAAACCACTGCATAAAAAGTCCAGCACACTGGTGCGTATCTCTGGCGCCAACTGGCAGGCCAAATGGACGGCCCGCACTGAAGCAGCTGTCTATTTCGGGGCAGCGCGAGTCACGCTGCTGACCGATCCGAGTCGGATCGATCAACAAGCCGCCATCCCGCCACAACATGTGCCGTTGCATGGACGACCCTCTGGGGGACGAGCCACAATTCTACGGTTCCACCCAACAACTAGAATATATGCTCCAGACGACACTATCTCATGATATAATGTCTCATTAAGGAGGCTTCTAAATAGTCTTTCCAAGATGACGTATTTGGAAGCAGATGTGTTTTGAGAAAGGCGTGTGTCACGCTGCTGACGAATCCTGGCCCGATCGAGCATCTTCCAAGTTTCACGATTCAACGGCTTCAACGGCCAACGTCGCGAGCGATCCAACCTTCCAATGTTCTTGCGTCGTCCCGTGCACCTTCTGCGCCGAGGATCCTACCCTCGGCGGCTTCCATTCACAACTCAATTCTTCTCTCCAACCAGACCGTTCCAGACATCAACCATGAGCCTTGACATCGTCGAGTACACGTCGCTGGACGCAACCACGCTCGCCTCGCTTCGGACGCAGGACGGAAAAACCCATCTCTTCAACAGCCTCGTCTGTCCCTTTGGCCACCGTGCGCTCTGGACCGCCGTCGAGGTCGACGCCGCCTTTGACATGATTGGCATCTCGCTCACCGCCATGCCCGAGAGCTACAAGACGGACTTTAACCGCTTTGGCACGGTCCCGTTCCTCCTCGACGACGGCGAGCCCGTGTACGAGTCGACCATCATCTCGCAGTACATTGACGCCAAAGTCAACGGCGGAAAGCTCTACTGCGCCGACGCCCCGCGCCTCGCCGCCCTCGCCCAGCTGGCAGTCGCCAAGTTTGAGCCGAGCCGGTTCTACGCCATCTTGCACAACAGCGATGACGCCAAGATGCCGGCGCTGGAGGCCGAGATGCGCGCGTCGCTCCAAGGCCTCGAGCGCATCTACCGCGAGCACGCGGCCGCGTTCCGGGCCAAGGGTCCGTACCTGCTGGGCGACCGCTTTAGCAGCGCCGAGATCAACATCATGACGTTCCTCTTTCGGTTTGACATTCTGCTGCAGCACTACCGCCACGTGCGCGTGCTTGGCGACGACATTCCGCTGCTCTCGGCTGCGCTGGAGGCGTCGGTGGCGCGGCCGGCGTTCGCCTTGACAGCGCGCGACGCCGACTTTTACATTCGCGGGTTTGCCCACCACATCGAGTAGGCGACTATCTATTCGCCAATAAGCAAACAGATATATACACCAAGTCCAAGTCGAGGTATTGACAAGCCGGGTATTGGAAGGGGTCGCTAGCTACATCGTTCTTATTGCTTGTTGGAGCACAGCGGACGGGATAATGAGCCAGGTTTTCCGTCAAGCAAGGCAGAAGCTAGTGACAAAAGTACGGTCAATAATATATCGCCCCAGTGACAACACAAATATTCATACACGCTCCTTTGCGTGAGCTTTAGTAAGCACTCGGTGATGATGATAAACACATCGCCAGTTAGTAGTCAACGACGACGTGGTGCAACCTTACGTATGTGATTTCGCTTATAATTGCTTATCTCATTCATTCTGGGAAGCAACATGTGTATCTATCAACTTTGCGAAGCTGTTTTGCTTGCCGTCGCTGCTTTGAGTTTTTCCCGACCTAGTACACGATCGATGAATCGTAGCATTTCGTCTTCGCCATGTCGCCTTGAACCCGCCACGCCACTCCCAATGGCTAGCGGCCAATCTCTGACCCAACTTGGAGCGTCGTACAAGGTGACGACACAAAATTGGTGATAAGGTTACATGACAATTGTACCCTTGGGGATAGAAATGCGACCAATCGCAAGGCATTCCCTTGACGTTTGCCACACGCATGACCAGGTATTGCATCCTCGAATTCGTTGGTGTCGTGATTTTGGGCGCGTGATATGCACCACATTTGCAAGATCTTAGTTGAATCCAGCGCCATACTGTACCGTTCACGTCACCAAGTGCATTGAAATCACCAATTGTCCCATAGCGAGGTGGCGAGTTAACAACACCAAGCTAGGGTCCTGGCCGACCTCGTTCCCGCACAGCCTGCCACAACAAGACCACGAACGCTCCTAGCGCACTCGAATTGCCCTCTCTTGATACAGCTGCATATCTCATTTCAACAGCACCAAGGGTCACTCTGAGGTGATTTGCGTTCAGACACCAAACGACCTCGCAATGCAACTACAAAAAAGGTGCAAAAGATGCAGTACGGAGACCACAATTCGTTCAGTGGTCAGAGCGCCACGTGTATCGCGTACGAGATAGAAGACCACTTGACCACTCGTGGGCCTCTCCATGCTCTTAAACATGTCGACAGCGGTCTCATGCGCATGGTTATGCGCCAAGAATCAGGCGTCCGGTGGAACTAAAATGCAACGTGTGCGGAGCTGAGCGCGACACATGCTTGATGCTTCCACAATTGTAGCGCGAGCGATCGTTCTCCATTTTTCAATTTCCTCGACAAGAAACCATGGTGGACGAGCGCAGCCCCGCACCGATGATGCACGTGCAGCACGACGGCGCCATCGAACAAGACCAGCAGTCCGAGCCCAAGCCAAGGTCTGAGTGGTGCCACTGCAACTTGGCAGCGTACGACGACACCGCGTTGCCATATCACGAGTACAAGCCCTCGTTTCACTTTATGCTGGACGCCATGACGCACGACCTCGTCGTGGGAGCCGACAGCGCGCCATGTTGTGAAGGCGCTTCGCCGCGGCCGGGTCCGCTGGCGAAACCCACGCAGACTGCAGAGACTGTTCATCACAGCCGCCTCGAGCAGCCGAGCCCGTGAAGGCCACGGCATAGGTGTGCAGTAGTAGCATTAGATCCGTACAATATACATGGTGTGCATTATGTGTGTGCGATCTGCCCGACAAAGCGTCAGCCGGCTCGTCGAGTGAGGACATGAATGCAACTTTCCCATCCCATACGAAATCGCCAGCAGTAGTTAATGTAAAAAGACAGACGTCAACCATAGCGACGTCATGTGCGGCGAAGAGTGCAGCGACGGCACGCCCCCTTGTCATGATCGGGCTCGGAGAACACCGTTGCAAAGGTGACGCATCTACACTGCACTTTTCCGAAGACAACATGTGCACAGAATCATCTGTTTGGCGGCAAACAACAACATGCGGATACATGTGCACCGCACGCTGCATGAAAGTGGCTTCTACCCAGAGCGGTACCTTTTAGCATGCAGTACTAACATTGCATGCTTACTACTGTACAAACGAGCCCTAGTCTCTACGAATAGAACAGGCGAATCCAAAGAAAGAAGCCCGCGCCATCGTCGACATTCAGCTGTCTTCGACTCTGCTCGGCAAGGAATTCCAGCAGCTGCCAACGTCGGTTTTTGACGTATCCGGATACGCGAGCCAACGCCCACCATCGCTCAGTTTCCAAGCCGCTCGCCAATGCTCAGTATGCCCATCTGCCGCCGCCTCCTCGCCACCGGTCGCCCGCGCCAGCTCATCGCCGCCAGTGGTAGCCACCACCAGCTCATCGCCGCCACCGGTAGCCACCACCAGCTCATCGCCGCCACCGGTCGCCGCCACCTGCGCACGTCATCGCCGCTGCTCGCGGCGGTCGAGAACAGCCACTTCAAGACGCATCCCAAGACCGACGCTCATTTTGCTGACCAAAAAGTCTGGGACAATCCGATCCCACACGAGATCTACAGCGCCGACGACCTCGCCAAGATCCACCCGACGCACCGCGACCCGGTCGAGATGCACGCCAAAGTGGCCCTCTTCGCGGTGCGCCTTATGCGCTCGGGCTTTGACTTTGTCTCGCGCTACAAGGGTCCGGGTGGCGGCATGACGGCGGGTGACTGGGTCAACCGCGCGCTCTTCCTCGAGACGGTCGCGGGTGTCCCCGGCATGGTCGCCGGCATGGCCCGCCATCTCCGCTCGCTGCGCACGATGCAGCGCGACCAGGGCTGGATCCACACGCTGCTGGAAGAGGCCGAGAACGAGCGCATGCACTTGCTCATCTTCCTCAACATGAAGTCGCCGGGTCCGCTCTTCCGACTCTTTGTGCTCGGCGCGCAAGGCGTCTTCTTCAACCTGTTTCCTCGCGTACCTCACGTCGCCCAAGACGTGCCACCGCTTTGTGGGGTACCTCGAGGAAGAGGCCGTGCACACGTACACGGCGCTCGTCCAGGACATTGAGAACGGGCATGTCGACCATTGGGACACGGACATTGCGCCGCTGATCGCACGCAACTACTACAAGCTGCCCGAGACCGCGACCGTCCTGGACATGATCAAGTGCATTCGGGCCGACGAAGCCAACCACCGCGACGTCAACCACACGTTTGCTGACGTCGAGTGGAAGACGGCGGTCAACCCGTTTCTTCACAAGCACCGCAAGCCAGCCTCGGAAGGAGAGAAAAAGTCCAAGCCAGTGGCATCGTAGCCAAAAGGTTAAATGCGCGAATACTTATTTCATGATTGAGCCCATACTAGTAATGTGTCCATGTAGAGGGACTCGCAGCATTGGTAGAACCTTGGGTTGAATGTAATGGGTAGAAATGAGACGTAAGTAGATGGAAGAGTCGCGGATTAGGCAGCTGCTCGAAGTGTGTATGGATTCCTTGTGATGGCCCGAGCGATGGCCTTGATACCATGCTCGTTCTTGTGTTGCTGCTGCACTGTGAACAGCGACAAGCGTTGATTTTCTGAGTGTTTGATTGAAGATTTACAATCGGTTGGCACGATAGAACCATTTAATTAAATATCTAGTAGCCAATAGGATTTTTCGATTGGCCTCTTCGACCTGCCATTGGCCAAATATAGAAACCATCATTCTGGTGTCGATAGATTGTTGGCAATATTGAGATGGGTTGCGCGCCACAAGAACGGATCTCATGGCGTTCGAGCGTGAGTGACTGCCGAATTGGCCGCCACAGGAATTGAACGCACTTGCGACCTGACTCATTTACGAAAATGCCTCTTGCGCAGCGTCGCCACGGGGGCTGGGTAGGATCCCAACCGATGACCTTGGGCTCCATCTTCGAGTACCCTTCATCGCTGCTTACGACCAACTTCTTCTACAGCCATCGTCTTCCCGCGCTTCGGATTGCTGGCATGTCCAAATCACTCACCCTGCCACCCAGCGATCCGATGCTTCGTAAAGTGGCCGAGCGCTATCCCAACCCATCGGCGAAACCGCGGCGCCGAAATGCCGCACCAGACGAGAATCTCTTCCGCGTCTGGGGCCCAAAGCGCATTCGCCAGACAACAATCGTTCCAGCCAACGACGTTCATGTTTGTAACGAGTGGACGACATCACTGCACCGCGATCTCTCGACGGGGCTGACGTGTCTACGGCCCGACGACCGCCTCAAGCTCTCGCACCTGAGCATCGACCTGCTGAACGATGCGTCGAGCTTGGCGCCGATCACGCGCCGCGACGATGCGATCACGACGCTCGTTGTGCTGCTTGCACCGGAAAACGCATGTGAGCTCGGCTTGGACTTTGTTCAAGATGGCGTTGCCACCCATACGTGGCGCGAGCTGCAGACGTGGTGCGTGCACTATGCCCTCGTGGCGCCGGAAATGTCTCTCGTCGGGACTGGCACCACGGTGCGCGAGGCGCCCCCGCGTGTGGCCCTTGTGTTTCACGTCGTGCGTGTGCCGTTGCAAGCCGATCGAAACGTTGGTCCGATCCACCGTGGCGTTTTGCTCCTCAAAGAACTCGCGATGCACCCGCCTCTCGGTCTTCTGTATGGCGTTCACATCCACACGTGCCGTCGCCATACGACGCCGCACTGGGGGGCTCTCGAGCCACAGCATAACGCGTTCCTGCACGCCCTGCTCGCATCCGACACCTACGGCGTCGGTCTCGCAGTGTACTCAGACGTCGATGGTATCATGCGCTTGGTGCAGCATAATGAGTCGGCAACCATCGCGCCCATCGACTTGCGTGAGGTTCGGATCGCAGAGTAGTACGTCGTCCCGATGTCCAAGCGACCGCGATATGGCTACAACGTCGTCTTGGTCTTCTGGCCCAAGCAACACCTCGTCAACGTCATGGGCGGCGCTGCTTTCGCAAGTGCGATGACCGCCGAGGGACGCGCGCGGCTGACGTATTTGGCCGACGCCGCCACCGTCTTTGGCACGAAGAACGTGTTGTCGCGCTCGTCCCGTGGACACCAGCTTCCGCCGCCGACCGTCGACGATCATAATGCGATGCTCCAGCTGCTCCAAGACGTTGGTGACGTCGACTGCATTCATCGCTTTGTACGATGCTGCGCAACGGTGAGCGCAACGTGGCTCCAAAAGCATGGGTGGGAGCCGCTGGCCGACGCTCTGAACAGTCTCGTGTCTCGGTGGTGCTCGGACGATAGTGTCGGTGGTGTCGAACATGCGACATCGCTCATCGCATCGCTAGCAGGTGTCACCGATGCCCCGGTGTGCGCGCCGCTCGATCAAGCCTATGTCTACGAGTGCATTCGGCGGCTGTGGGCGACCGTTCACTCGGCTCTTCTCAAGTTGCTCGTCTTGGAGCTGATGTCGGACGACGCGTCTCAACGGCTGGTCGCCGACGCTCTGTCCATCGAGCACTACTGCGACCGTGGCGCCGACACGGATCGATGGCTTCTAGATCGCTTGCCTGCCGTCGCGCTCAGTCTCGTCGATGCCTTTCTATGGCCACCGACGGCGTCAGAGGTGTTGAAAGAACTGCGCCTCGTGCATTGACCAATGGCTTTTTCGATCGCACTCGTGCACAACACGGCTCTCACTGTCGAGTCGCTTGTACGCAGAAGGACGTTGTCGGGACCATGACGTCGCCCAAGCGCTTGCTCTGGCTTCTGGAACGAGATCCGCGGTGGTCCAAGGACCCAGCCTCTCTGCAAGCGAGTTAGCACCGGTGGACCTGTAGCTTTGGGCGTGAAGCGCTTGCACGCTGACGCCGTCGATATGCACCGCGCTCTCAGCGGTGCTTTCAACAAATGAAATGAAAAAGCAATGGATTGTATCTTACTGTTCCACTCGGTCCAACTACATGTATTACCACTATCGTCGCAGATCCCTTCCACCTGACCCTCCAACGCGCTCCAGTCGCTTGCAGTCGCATCACGCTTGCGGTAAAACAACCAGGTTGGTTATAAACGTTGTGGCTTTTTGGTGTTGTAAAGTATATCTAAGTTTACTTGGTTGTCGTGGACTTGGCGCGCTTGGCCGCGGGCACCGCGCCCGTCGACGGCGTCTTCTTGCTCTCGGGCATAAGCTCAAACTTGAGCTGCTGGCGGTTCCCAAACGTGAGCTCGACAAACACCTTGACTTGGACCTTCTGGAAGACCTTGAGGTGGCGCTTGGTCGAGAGCACCGTCAGCGCGTGCTGCTTCGGGTCGTGCTTGAGCGTCACGGCCTCCTTGCCCTTCTCGCAGAGCAGCACCATGCCTTCAATGCCAAAGCGCGGGAGGAGCACGCCAATGCCGTTGGCGCGCACCTTGTTGACCATCGCGTCCGTGACGGTCGGGTTGTTGGCAAAGTAAAGCAGCGTGTGAAGGCTCACACTGGCGCGGCCTGCGAGCTGCGCCGACAAGTGGCGCTTGTTCAAGTTGCCCGCCAAGTCTTGGAGGTGCGCTAGCATTCACCAGCATGAGTCGATCGATCCAATCCGCATGGGATAGCCTACTCTTGTTTTCAAGGTACTCGGGCAACGGTGCCACGCCAATGGCCGCCGCCAGCAGCCGGTGCACGACCACATCTGCGTACCTAGAATCATCATCATCATCATCGTGGTCCCTTTACAATGAAAGAAAGGTTCCGTACCGACGAATCGGGGACGTGAAATGCGTGTAAATCGGCGCCGCGAGACCGTAATGGTGGTACTCTTCGACGCTGACTTCGCCCGAGCTAAAGTAGCTGGCCGGCATCATGCAGCGCGTGCAGAGAATGCGGAGCATCTTGTTGAAGTACGGATTGTCGTCGCGGATCGCGGCCGTGCTGTCCAGACTCTCTACACCAGCTGCATAAGACAATGTTTTCCACTTTCAAAACGCGGACCTTGGAGCTGCTTGGAGTTGTCGACGCGCAGCGTGACGCCGACGGCCTTGGCCTGCGACACGATCGCATCGAACTGGCGCTTGGACGGCGCGGGGTGCCGGCGCAGCATCGCAAACGTCGGGAACGAGCGCAGAATCTTCTTGGCGACGGTAATGTTGGCGAGGAGCATAAACTCTTCCACGAGCGCATTCGTGTCCTTGAGCGCGTACATTTGCACGTCGAGCGGGTTCTGGGTCTCGGTATCCAACACAAAACGAACTTCAGGCGACGCAAGCGTCAGCGCACCGGCGTTGATGCGCTTGGCCTTCAAGCGCAGTGCAATGTCGTGCATGGTCTTGATGGCCGCGCCCATAATCTTCTTCTTCTCCGAGATCGGCTTGGCCGGCGGCTTGAGGGCAAAGGACGCGCCGGCACTCGGGTCGTCCAAAAGCACTTGGGCTTCGCCATACGAGAGCGACGCGATCGACCGGATGATCGACTTGCAGAATTTCACGTCAATCACATGCACTTCGTTGGCGTCAATGCGCACTTCCCAGAGCACCGTGAACGCGAAATGGTCTTCCACGTCCGTGAGCGAGCAGAGCTGCGTCGTGAGGTACCCGGGCAACATGTCGAGGCGCTTGTCGACGAGGTACGTCGACGTCCCGCGGTCCGCGGCCTCGAGATCGAGCGCCGAGCCGGCTTCGACAAAGTGCGTCACGTCGGCAATGTGCACACCAATCTCGACGTTGCCGTTCGGTAGCGGCCGCACGTGCAGCGCGTCATCGATATCTAGTCGAAAATAGATAATAAGTAAAATACACAAGACAAGGTGGCCACAAGCACCGTGGTGTACCTTTGCAGTTGGGCGGATCGATACTCATGACCGGGAGGTGGCGCAAGTCGGTGCGGCCCTTGGAGTTCTCGGGCGTGATCGTCCAGTCGGCGGGCGGAAGACACTTGAGCACCTTGTCTGAGAACGCCTCGCCTACACGACAATGATGTTATAGCCCTTTTTTGTAGACTGGAAAGGCCAAGAGAAATTTTGTACAAGGAATGTCGTGCTCGAGAAGAAGCACCTTGGTTTCGGTCTCCTTGTCGCCGATCGTGCCGAGCGTACGGACGTAGTGACCGACGGGGAACCGGCTGTCGACGGGCCACGAATCGATGCTCACAACAATGCGCTTGTCGAGCAACGTCTCTGCTTGCTACACACGCCACGAATCGTTTGTAAAAATGCAAAACAAATCAAAACAAATCGATAAAACTACCCGTGTCGCAATGCGGATCTTGGGCACTTTGCGGTCGACGGGCACGAAGAGGCAGTTGGTGCCCAGCGGGATCTTGGGGTCGCGCGGCGGCTCGATGGACCCGCAGTAGCGGCGCCAGTTGCGCTGGATGATGCCGACCACGCGGCCGCATGGCTTGAGTTCGTCGCCGTCCGCGATCGCTGTGGTCGACAGTGTCGGCTCGGCCACACCAATCTACAGAGTTGGATGAGTCGAACCGAAAGGATAACAAATCGATAGAAACAACCTCGGGGGCTTCGGTCGCGCGGGCCGTGTCCTCGTCGTCGGCCTTTTCACTGTGAACGTTGAACGACTCGGACGGCTTCTTCCACAGGTGCTTGGGGAGGAGCTCGATCGCAACAACATCGCCGTCCATGGCGCGGTTGATATAGTCGTGCCTAGATAGCCATGCGTCGTAAAAGGAGAATCGAGGGTTAGGGTCCGTGATCTCGCCTACCCCGAGATGAGCACAGGCACGCGCGAGTCGTTGAGGCCGTGGATGAGAACGCTGCATTCCATCCTATCGACATGGATGCATGAGGCGCCAGACGATCGCGAGATGGAATGTCTACCAGTGGTCGCGGTTGCAGCGAAGCGTGCCCTGGAAGAAGCGCTTGTTCTTGATGCCGGCGAGTACTTCGGACATGCTCTTGTGCTCTTCGTACAAGGTCGTGCGCGCGGCCTTGGCGCTCTCTGAGACGTGCGTCGACTGCGCCATCAAGTCGGCAAGGTCCGGGTGCGTGACCAGGAGCGGCTGGATGAACGCCGCAATCGTGATGGCGGACACACCGTGGGCCGAGGCCCGCTCGGCGTCGCCGTCGTCGTTGGCAATGTACACGATCGGGATCTTGGCGTCGTTCGACTGCATGTGTTCCGTGTACCTAGACCGACGCGCTGAGCCTTTTAATGGCAAGATGTGGACTGTACATACCATGCATGGCCCTTGCACATGGCGCGGACGTCGCGCTCGGCGTTGGTCTCGTCGGCCTGCTTGGCCACATACGTATCGCGGTGGTGGTCGTTGGCGAAGACAACAAAGTTGCGGTCCGACTTGATGAGCGCGCGGAGCCGGCGGTAGATGGCGAGGTCCTTGGCCTTGACCGCCTCGGCGACAGTCTCGAGGATGATGATGTCCTGGAGCTCCTTCACAGCTGCGTGCTCGAGCACGTCCATCTGCGATAGCACGACGTCGGACGTCAGAAGCAGGAACTGCTTGGCACGGCCCGAGAGCGCCGAGACGACCTGGACGTCCTCGCGGCTCTGGCAGAGGCCGCAGTTGCCGAGGCCGCAGGCGATGTCATCGCGCAGGTAGCGCTCCTTGACCACGCGCTTCACGCGGCCGCGCTTCGTCGCGATGTTCTCGGCGTCGAAGGTCCACATGACATGGCTCATCTTGCGCCTCCTTGGTTCGCTTCCTGAAAATGGAGATCATTGGTTCCAAGCTGCAGGCCACTCCGGATTGGCTATAATACGTGGTCTTTTACCCAATGGCCAGGCGAGGATAAAAACACCGCTCTTAGCTCGGTGCTCGACGGCACAATGACAAGCCCCACAGTCGACAAGGGAATATAGTTATTCATTCGACTGTCGATTATGTTAAATGTACAATTTTGTCTAGTAGCCAAGTGATATGCAGGTAGATTGACGTTTGTCGACCACGTGGTTGTCGTCACTGGGAGGACACGGGTGTCGCGGAGAAGCTCGATCGCCGTCCATCCATGGTGCGGTTGATGTGCTAGTCGCACCGAGATAACACTGAATCAAAAAATATAGCTAGGGCTTGTGGGCACTGCTTGAATCGTCGCCACTGCGAAATGACGATGCATCGCTGTCATCACTCGATGAGCGAATGTCCTCCCGACGCCGGCAGCGTTCGAGAAAGCTTCATCGATGCTGCTTCGGGTTATGTCCCGCTCCAGGAGCCCGAGCACGCTCGTGATCGACGCCGTCGTCATTTCGACTTCATCGCTCGCATCGAGAGAGAGTAGGATGCAATTGACAAGCGGCGAGATGTGAATGGCCGAGTTGTGCTGAACCGCCGTCACCAATGCCTCGGGAAGCAGCATCAGCAGACGACACGGTGCACAGACAGCGAGTCGAGCAAAAATCTCGGCCACCGACTCGGCCTGCTGCCATACAAAGGCGTCCACGAGACGAATCGTAAACGGTGGCAGGGGTGTCTGAAGCCATCGATCGGTGTCGGCGCCGTCGTCGCAGTAGTGTTCAAGGTACAGTGCGTCGATGAGTAGCCGTCGGAGTTGACCTTCTCGTCGCGACTCCAAGGCGCGCAGCTGCACAAGCCCCGTGACCGCGATCGCCCACAGCCGTCGAATGCACTCGTAGACATAGGCTTGATCGAGCGGCGCGCACACGGGGGCATCGGTGACACCTGCGAGCGACGCGACAAGCGATGTCGCATGTTCGACACCGTTGTCTGAGCACCACCGAGACACGAGACTGTCCAGAGCGTCGGCAAGCGGCTCCCACCCATGCTTTTGGAGCTGCTTTTGGAGCCACGGCGCTAGTAGTGGCAGCGGACACGTTGCGCTCACCGTTGCGCAGCATCGTAGAAAACGATCAATGCAGTCGATGTCACCAACGTCATGTAATAGGTGAAGCATCGCGTTGTGGTCGGCGGTCGTTTGACGCTGGTCGCCACCGGCAGCGTGTGTCCAGAGACACTTGGTGCCAAAGACGCTGGCGGCGTCGGTCACATACGCCCGTGCGCATGCAGACGGCAGTGAGCGCATGGCCGATGCAAACGCAGCACCACCCATGACGTTGACGAGGTGCCGCTTGGGCCAAAAGACCAAGACGACGGAAAAGCCGTAGCATGGCCACGAGTCGTCGATCTCGACATACTCGGTGCATTTGGCGCCCACAAGGTCGATTGGCACCGGCATCGGCGACTGCAACAACAGACGCTCGATGCCCGTCATTGGCGAGTACACGGTGAGGCCAACATCGTAGCAGCCAGCGTCGAAAAGTGCGTCCAGAAACGCCGCATGAAATGGCTCGAGCGCACGCCAATCGGGGGTTGCATGGCGGCCACAGCGGTGCACTTGAACGCCGTTCAAAACTCCGTGGCCGACCGATGCGGCCAGCGTGTGAAGCCGCAGGGCCACATGGCGCCGAAGGCCAGCCGCAACCGGTATTGCCGGACGTACAACGTCAAACACGAGTGCAACCCGCGGCGGCGCGCCGTGCAGCTTGGTGGCGTGGCCAACGAGCGACGTGCCTGTGGGCACAAAGGCGTACTGGGACACCATGGTGTACTTGGTGCGCCAGGCATGCGTGACATGGCCGTGTTGCACCAAGTCGAGGCGCAGGGCGCGGACGTTGGGTGTCGCCAGCAACACGACAAGTGTTGCAATCACATTGTCACAGCGACTGCTTGGCGACAAGCTCGAGGTTTCGTGGAGCGGGCCAATACTGAGATGCGAGAGCGCGAGCCGGTCGTCGGGTCGGACGCCCTCGGTGGTCGAGTAGAGATGGCGATGGAGCACTTTCTCCCAGTCGTCCAGCATTTCGACATCACAGGCGGGGATGATGGCCGCTTGGGATGCGCTGGTGTAGCGTGCGGCGACGCTGCGTAGCGTCTGCGCGCTCGGCGGAACCTCGAGCGGCTCGGCCATGCCAGCAAGCACGAGCTTGGGCAATGGGGCATACGATCCGGTCGCGGCCTCGACTCTTATGGGGCGAAACAAGCTCAGTGCATCTTTGTAGGTGGTGACAGGCTGCTCTCGCCTCGTTGAAGGGACCCTCGTCATGCTGCACACGGATTGAATCGTCAACTGTGCACACCCGACATTCGATCCTTTGTGTTTGGTGGCGCGACATTGCAGTTTCTGCGCAAGAATGATGGTGATTGGATGAGAAACGATTGGATTGGCCAACGACGACCCAATGAAAACGTCGTGTGCTGCCTCAGCCGGCCGATTGTCACAATCGGGAGCATGGCCTTCACGACAAGGTCGACGACGCATACTGCCGCCAACCGGGCCGCCAACCGGGCCGCCAACGTCGCACGGCGCGAGCGGCTCCGGCGACTGGCGCTGGAGACGGTGGACCTCGCGGCAGAGCCCAATGCCCTCGGCCAGCAGCTGGGTGGCTTTGAGTGCCGGCTATGCGATTCCAGGCATGCCAATGAAGCGCAATACTTGGCGCACACGCGAGACGCAGGGCACCAGTACAACCTCTTGGCGCGTAGTATGTCGGTTGACCATACTGCTGCACTGGCTCAGCCACCAAGACGGCGGCCCCTAGGACTGCTGCCTCCAGGAAGGCAGCCGATGCGGCGACCCACTCCATATTCGGTGACAGCACGACGCGACCCCGATACACATGCGCACATTCTGCGTCTTCAAGCCTTTTGCCCCTGGAGCCAGGGCGATTTTGAATGCGACGTCGTGTCTGACGGCGACAAGCGGTACCTGCGCGTTCATTGCACTGGACACGAGTCCGTCGACGTCAATCTATCGCAGTATGGCGTCGTTGTATCGCGTGTGGCTTCATGGGACGACCTCAGCAAGACGCTGACCATCGAGGTTACGTTTGGTGCTTTGTAAACAACACTAGAACTGTCGTGTGAAAATTGGACGTTTGAACTTTTAAATGTTGTGTTGTGCATATACATTGGGCTATAAAAATGGAGATCGTAGTGCGCGCCGACCAGCTGACGTATTGGGTTCATACACAAGTCAATAGTGCCAGGACAGTAGCATGCATATATTATATAGTTTCAATGCGACGACACGGCTTAGTTGGCGCGCCAGCTCATGTTGATACCGCGCCGCTCCAAGAAAAGCATGACGTAGCGCACGCCAACGAGGGGAAAGAGAATGCAGACGCCAAAGACGATCCAAAACATGTAGGGCGTCTCTTGGGTCGACGAGTTGAGGTTCATGCCAAAGCCGCCCACGATGAACGTCGGAATTGTAATCATCGTCGTCCACGTCGTCAGCGTCAAGTCGACGGTGAGGAGGTAGTTTCGCTTCGTGTCCAGTCGCAGCATGGCGAGGCCCTCGGTGTTTTGAATGTTTTGCAGCATGAGCGCGACGCGCGTCTGGGTCGCATAAATGTCCTAATGTACATGACGACAAGTCGTCCCTTTTGAGACCAGGTGTACGTGAAGGTAAACTTCGAGAAATGACTCGATGCTATCCGTGTCGAAGCTCTCCAAGTCTCTCGCGGGTCGCCGTGGATCTATCGTCGTATTCAAGACGCTTTGACGATACAAGAATCGGGTAAAGAGATAATACCATTGTCAAATTGAGCATGCGCATCTCGTCTTCGTTCTCCAAAAACTCCATGAGCATGCGTCGCATACCGCCAACCTACACACCACGAGAGCGTAAATGCGCAACGACACCCCCACCGCATGTACAAATACGACGACGACATCCAAGAATACCTGGGACTCGAGTTCGTGCAAGCTGTTCTTGAGTGCCCGGAGCGTCTCCATTTCGTCCATGGGGAGATCGCCACGGGCCATGCGATCCACGTAGACCTTGGTGAGGGGCAAGATCTTCTCGCCGTCGCTGGTCAAGACTCTACGTACATTCAGCGTTAGTGTCTGCCTTGTATGTCGCGTGCGCGGACTTGCAGACAGTGTGCAGCACGGCTTCGAGCGCACTAGCATTCCATGTGAAATGCTAAAAAACTCAAAAAATCGCAGCGATGACCCACGCAAATTCAAAGTGCAGGCTCATGCCGTCGGCGAGCTGGTCCTTGAAGCAGTGTTTGAGCGCCGACACGAGGCTGTCGGCGCCGTCGGGCAGAAAGACGAGGCACGTATCCCGCAGAATCACAGCGCGCACCGGGTCTAGTCACCGTTCGCTCTATAAACCAATTGAACAAATAAAAGCCGTACCTGCATTCACCAAGATGGCTTGCTGTCGCACCACGAGCGACGGCTCGTTCGCGGTGGCAAACACGTTGTCTAGTTTTCGCAAGTCCCGCATGTGAATGGCCTACGTACATTGCCTCACAAAATGCAAGATGCGGTAGCTTGGTACGGGAATCTCGATGCGGCGGCTGGCGGCGTCCCGGGGCGACGTGGTGGAGTGCCCTTGGACGGACGCCGCCGCGGCTTGGACGAGCTTGAGCACGTCCGTGCGCGTCACTTCGACGTAGCTCGAGCTACCGTTCATGTCGAACCGAAGTGCCTAGCCCCAATACATTGATGATGGAAAAAGTACGACGACGGGTGAAATGCTGTACGAGGCGCTTGCCGTGGTGCATGGAGGTGCCGACGTCGTAGTGCACGTCGCTGTGCTGACTCACGAGAAAGTCGGCGCTAACAAGCGGGGCGCGGAGGGAGCTCATGGATGCTGGAATCGCGCAAAATGCCGTGATGGTTTCGTTGGGTTTCACGCGAAACGATCCACCGTGTCCGACATTTTGTGTTGGATATTGATCAAGTATACTAGTACACCAGTAGAGTGTCCATCCAGGACATTTTCATATTTATTTATTGGACCATCGTGTTGCTTGTTGACTTCCCATGCACATGATAGCGTGCAGCGGAATGGCCTTGGGCGGCGGCGGCGCTACATTGTCCTCTTTCGACAGCCGCGGGAGAGCGTACAATCGAGCATGAACACAACGCATTCCAAAGCAGTATCGGGATTTGAACTGGCGGTACTTTCAGCGTGCATCGACGCACACGACGGCGCCTGCGAGCGCGATGCGAGCATACATCAGGACGAGGCTACCCACGTCGAGTTGAAGTTGCACTATGATGTACATATGTATGTAAATACTTCAAGAAACCATCTGCCAAGCCCAAGAGACGATTTTAGAAACACGTACAACAGACAACAGTCGTGCCATCATCATTCATGTGTTATGCCGACTTCCAGCTCATATTGATGCCGCGTCGCTGGAGGTACGTCTGCACAACGCCGACGCCAACGAGTGGAAGGATGAGGCAGACGCCAAAGACGATCCAAAAGAGGTACGGCGTCTGGTCTACCGTCGAGTTGAGGTTCATGCCAAATGCGCCGGCGATAAAAGTCGGGATTGTGAGCATCGTCGTCCACAGGGTCAGCGTCAAGTCGACCGTCAAGAGGTAGTTTCGCTTCGTGTCCAGTCGCAGCATGACCATCGACTCGGTGTTTTGAATGTTGTTGAGCATGAGCGACACGCGGGTTTGGGTTGCGTAAATGTCCTACCAAAATGTACAAAAAAATCACCAAAAATTTTCAAAAAGCCAAAAATACTACCTGCAAGTAGACTTCCAGAAGCGACTCGGCGTCTTCCGTGTCAAAGCTGAGGAGGTCCGACGCCACGGCCGGCTCCGAAAAGATCTAGCGACAATATTGTTATCCATCTACAATTGTACTACGACACAAGAACGCAGCGCTGCTACCTTGGTCAGATACAGCATGTGCAAGTCTTCGTCGTTCTCTAGAATCTCCATAAGCATGCGTCGCATACCGCTGATCTACAACATCAATCCATCACTTTAGTATCCATCGACAAACCGATGCAAAGTACCTGCGTCTCGAGCTCGTGCATCGAGTTCTTGAGCGAACGCAGCGCTTCCATGTCGTCCATCGGGAGCTCGCCGTGGGCCATGCGGTCGACCGAGATTTTGGCGACCGGTAGCACCTTCTCGACGTCGTTTGTAAGCACCCTAATGAACAATCGCAAAAAAGCATGACAATATTGTACCTCTGCCAAGATGAACAACGTACTTGCAGATAGTCTGGAGGATCGCCTCGAGTGCGCTACGGCCTTTTAGCGACAACTTACAAGGAACACACGTACGCGAATTCAAACGATAAGCTCTGCGAGTACACAATTTGGTCCGTAAAGCAAGTCTTCAACAGCGACACGAGGCTGTCGGCGCCGTCCGGTAAGAAGACGAGGCAGCTATCGCGCATGATCACGGCGCGCACGGGGTCTACAAAAAGACTCTTTCCATACAGCTTTAACGCAACACCGTGACGACGCACCGGCGTTGACGAGCACGGCTTGCTGACGCAGCGTCAGCGACGGCTCGTTCGAGACCGCAAACACGTTGTCCAGCTTGCGCAAGTCCCGCATATGAATGTTCTACAAGCCGGCAACGATGAGCCAACATCCAACTTTGCCAAAAGCAGACGCGATACCGGAATGTCGACGGACGCACTGTCGCGCAGCACGGGGCTGGCGGCGGCTTGGACGAGCTTGAGGACATCGGCGCGCGCGACCTCTTCGTACGTGGCGTTGCCGTTCGGGTCAAAGCGCAGCGCCTAGAAAGGGTGTTGATGCATGCACTGTACACGAGGTCATCGAGCGCAGTACGAGGCGCTTGCCGTTGCTCATGGACGTGCCGACGTCGTACATGATGTCGCTGTGCTGGCTCAGCAGGAGCGCGGTCGACGAGACCGACCCGCGCTTCGTTGCCATTGCTTCAAGTTTGGTGGTGGTGACGTGTGCAACACGGACAGTGTACGACTGTACGTACCGCTGTACGTGCTTCTAATCTTGAAAAACGTATGTATATACGATGTATTGTACGGCAATGCACGAAACATCTGAGCACGGCTACCTTCAGAACAGATGGACTCGCGTGCGTTGTGCATGATCGTTTCGATCCATAAGACAATGTGTGCATATCAAAGCGACGGACACAAGCCATGGACGTGCTGTACGAGCATGCATAACCTTCTTTCAAATTTCTGCGGGCCTCATTGGGCACACGGAGGACGGAATCTCGTGGGCTAGCAAGACAACCAAGGACTCCCGTGCCCGTGCGACACAGTAGCAAGCCCGCGGTCCTAAAACCAGGCGTTGGCGCCTCATGGAGAAGATAAAGTCGTCCGATTCAACTCGACCGATCGTGTCGGGCAACCAACTACGATGGCACTGACCTACCTCACGCGACCCTTTGTTGTTTTGCGTTTCAAAGCGTCTTGTCCCGATCCGCGAGGTGGAAAATGACTCTTATCCGCGCTTCTTCTCGTACACTCGTACCGTACAATGCAATGTACGCCCGTGCAGGTCCACCTCGATCATGACACGTCGTTTTCGCTGTCAGTTGATCTTTTGCATTATGGTTGCGAGCCCACCGCTTGGCACGCCGCTTTTGAGCACCCCGTCGTCGAATGTGTCGACTTCGTCCGGTCGACCGAGCGCCGACTGCTTTGATGTGGGCCCCTCCATGCGCAACGGGAAGCGCGTCGTACGTCTAAAAATTGCATTCCCTCGTTTGGCATCGAGCATTCGATCAACTAGGCATTCTGTTTTGACGTCCATGGACACATGGTCCCGAAAGAAGTGACGCGAGCAGAGGTTTTGAAGCTCGTCGCTGGCGCCACGGACCCAACACACGAGCCCAATGTGCCGGTGTGAGCCATACAATATCGATGGGACAGACGCCGAACCAATATCGATAGGCCATGCACATGCGCGACTTGCGAAAGCTCGACGAGGTCTTTACTGTCTCCAACGAGCCATCGCTCTCGGTCCGCCACCAAGCCATTCTGCTCAACGCGGGTATTCATCGTCCACAAGTATCAATGTATCAATACTGAATGTATGTCTAGATCCGATCCGGGCCGTGATTTTGCGCGACGCGTGCTTGGTGTTTCTACCGAGCGGCGCCGAGAGCCTTGCCTCGATGCTCGAGTCGCTGGTGCAAGAACACACCAAGGCACCGCACTCGTTGGATCGTACTACGCCGTTCGAGTTGCGGTACGAATGCAGTGGAACCAACCTCCTCACCTGTTTGTAGAGCATTGGAAGCTGTGCTGGCGACCGTCTGCGCGTATGTTGTCGTGTGCTAGAATCGCATCCTATCACATTGACGTAGCGTGCTCGTGATGGACGGCGACGCACTTCTGCCATGTGCAAACGCGGCCGTCGAGCGCATGAGCCGCCTCGACTTGCCCATGGGCGACATGGAGGCTCTTCGAGCGCTCAAAAACAGCCTCCACGAGCTCTCCACGCGGGTATTCGTATGCGAGCATGCGGGGACTCACTCGCTAAGTCAATGTAGGTGGGGGCGGTGCGCCGGATGCTCCTGGGAGCCCTCGACAAGGAAGACGACCTGCGTCTCATGCAGCTCACAGCGGTGCACATGGCATCCCATTCATTGCGTGCATTCAAGATGCAACATAGCTTGGCAACTCGGCCGTGCACGAAACAGTAGCAACCGAGACTGTTGAAGCCATCATCGAAGCCTACCTCCACGTACGATAGATGTGCCGAGACCGCCGCCGCCGTCGTTCATGCTTCTGTAGGATATGTATGCGACGCAAACACGCGTCGCGCTCATGCTCCAGCGCGTCCACAGTACCGAAGACATGGTGTTGCTGCAGCTCCAGACGAAACGCAATTCACTGCTCGTGGTCGACCTCACACTCAACATTGTGGCAACGCTCGTCGCGGTGCCCAACTTTCTCGTCGGCGGCTTTGGCATGAACCTCGACTCGACGCTGGAGACGGTGCCCTACCTGTTTTGGATCGTCTTTGGCGTCTGCATTGTCTTTCCGATTCTCGCGTTCCACGTCATTAGCCTCTACCTCTCGCGCCGCGGTATCTTCCTGCGCTGGGACGCCATGTAGTAATTGCAAGATGAGCCTTCACCGAAAACGCTTCGTGTCGATTGTGCATTCGCTCGAGGCAACCAGAATACTAGTACATTGGTCGGGGGTCCAACACCTACAACGCGTGACTCGGAGGGCAAGCCTCAACGATTGCCTTCGAAATGCAGTGGTGCAGTATCGCAGAACGGAGCTCTTCTCACCAGGCGTCCGTTTTAAGCAAGGGAAATAAAACCATAAAACCATTTACGGTATATATCCCTTGATTTTAATGTACCAGCACTGGCAAAATGCTGTACATCGTCGACGACACACAACCTGTCGAGTCGTCGCCAACAGGCTTGTACGAGTTACGGCTCATTCTTCTTCTGCCCACGATCGCGTACAAAACGTTTCTAACCCTAGACCTATCCCTACCCCTCGCCGAGCCCAGATGATCAGTCGTCGAGGGCGGCGCAGTTTGAGCTATGCTCCATGACATTCACTTCTTACATAGTTCATTGCTGCTGCTACTAGAACGACCACATACAGAGCTACTGCTCAGAATTTTGTTGCCCTCGCGACGACCAAGCTTCCAACTGTCTGCCCTCGATGCCTCCTCTGTCATCGAGGTGTGCGTTCGGCTGTGATGGAAGACAACATCATTCTCAAATACGGATATCTACATGCATTCGTTTGTACTCTTGTACACATCTTAGTTGCCAGCGGCTGCTGCAGACAAGCGTGCAATCGTCGCCATGTCGGTCGCGTACGCTGCCACGTCATGGTACCGGTGTTTATGCATGCAAAGAAGCTCGTCCGTTGTCGTGACGACGACGTCAAGCGCTGCAAGAGCGGATGCTGCGAAGCGCAAGTAGCCATTGAGTTGCACGCAGACGCGGTCGACACGGTGCTCCCACGCGCCCCTCGTGGCCGAAGCTAGGAACGCATCAACGTCCAAGCACATGACGCACTGGCACGGCAGAGCTGGCGCAGCAAGGGCCCAGTCGGGGCAAAGCACGGGCGGTACCGAAGCCAAGTGCACGAGCACAAGCTGTCGAAGAAGATCAGTCAGCGCCGCACCGGGCGCCTGCTGCACCACGACATCGTACACGGGCAAGAGAACCCGGCGTGCGACGCTAAGGGTGGTGGGCGTGAGCGCGTTAAGGTAGCCCACGAGCAAATGGCCAAGGCCCAGCCGATAGAGCATCTCGATGGCGGCAGGAAGCACCGCTGGGATCGGGTGCTCGTCGGCCGCCAGCAGCCGCACCTGCGTCAGCACGAGCAAGGCCGACGTCAAGAGGCACGAGTGGATCACCGGCGGCACCGTCTCGGTACGTCGCAGGTACGCAACGCTGGCGAGCGCAATGTCCGAGTCCAGCGCGCACATGTACCGCTGGACGCAGCCCTCGAATCGGCTCGGACTCAGCGCAAAGATCGACCCAAGGCCCGTCGTGTTGAAGGCCGGGGGGTGACCGTCAAAGGCGTCCAGAACGTAGGCCACGTACGCGGGCACATGCAGCGCCGGAAGAGCCTCGATGAGTGTCTGTAGCACGGGGGCGACGACCGACAGTGGGTCCCATACGTCGGCTCTCGCAGCGAGTACGCTCAGCAAGCTCGGCTGCAAGTACGTATCGATATAGGCGAGGACGCTACTCGGTAGTTGCGCGAGCCGCCCGCGGGTGTCCATTTCGGTGCGTGCGACGGCAAAGTTTTCCAAGCGCAGCAGCGCCGACACGATGTGGCGACTGGACGCGGGTGTCGGCGGCGCGTCGCGCAGGAGGAGCAGCCGTGGGAGCAGCCGTTGGTAGCCACTCTTGACAACGTCTTTTGTATGCTCGGAAAGCGCCATGAGATCCAAGAGAAAGGACAGGACATCCGAGACCACGCACCACGAGCACGTGTCGTCGTCAATGAGCTGCAGGAGCGCGGAAGCAAACGGGTCGCAGCCCACCTCGGTGATGGCCGTTGGGAGCCAGTGCAGGAAGCGTCCGAGCTGCGAGCGTGTCGTCGCCATCGGGAGGTAGCTTGCCACCAGGAGCTGAAGCAGAGGCACGTGCCGATACCGCGCGAGGAGGCGGCCGAGTTGGACGGCGTCGGGAACGTCCAAGTACCGATGTGCTACGAGCGCGCTGGCGTCAAAGAGCATGTCGATCAAGCTCGTGACGAGGTGTGTCGCACTGAGTCCCTTTTGCAAGACCATCTCGAGCTGGGCCATCGTGCGGCGAAAGCCGAGAAGCCGGTGGCGATGGAGGCGCGACCAAAACACGAGGCACGTTGCGATAACTCGATCGTCCGGTGGCGTTGGCGTCGCGTTCAGAACCGCGGGCAGCGCCTGGCCGGTCAAGTAGCCACCTGCAAGCAGCTGGCTCTCGGTATGCAGCACGGCCTTCGCCACAATCCACACCGCGTCGCGCTGGCCCCAGACGACGCGCGCAAAGGCCACGTCAAAGCAGTTGCAGCCTGCGAGCGCGGCGACAACCCGCATATCGGGCGGTGCCAAGAGGTTAAAGTCGAGGTCCGTGTACACGAGCCGCCAGTGCCACGCGTATGTCGTGCTGCCTGCCTGCGGCTGCGAGGCCCAGACAGGCAGTTGCTCCAGCAGATTGAATCGACACACATGCTCCGTGTACACGATGGCATAGACGAGCGCAATGCGGTAGCCTGTTTGGACGCTGTCGAAGGCTGCGTGCTCTGCGTCGTGGAAGGTACCGAGGATCGCGCCGTCCTGGCCCTGGCGCCATCGCAGCAGCGTACTCGTCGGCGTCAGCGTCAAGGCGCCACCGGTCGCCGACGTTGGCAGTAGCAAGACCACATAACCAAAGACGCCTTGCGGCGGCGTTCGTTGCGGAAGGTACGGGTCGACGCTGCCGCCTGCACGCGTCAGCACGAGGTGCGACATCCGCAACATGACGCGGCGCGGTGGGCGAAGCAGCGTGTCGGTGCAATGCATCGCGATGGGTACGATCGCGCCGTCGTGCACGAGCAGCTTGGTCGCAGGAATGATGCACGTCGTGCCATCGTGCACATGGCGCCGGAAGAGGTACGCACCTTGCGACGACGAGAGCGGCCATCCAATGCGCTCGTACGTCCGGTTGCTAAGGCGCTCGACGGCCACGAGCCCGCGGTGCACAGCAGAAACGACGCCAACCACGCACGGGGTCTCGCTTCGAGCGATCGTCGCCAGCGTCCGAAGGTAGCCCTGATACGCTGGCGTCGCGTCGGCCATGCGAGGCAATTGCGGTTCTGGGAGAAAAAGAGGTTGGGAAAAGCCAGCATAGGCGTAAAGGGTCCTACCAGCCCGTCGAGGGCCACGCCGCTTTGCGTATACAGCGAATCGCTTGGAGCAAGTAGATGGTGGTCATGGCAGCGCGAGCAGCGGCGTGGTCGGCTCCCGCGCTGGTAGGCCGACGTGTAGTATGAGTGAGGGATAAGCACGACTCGGAAAGGCAGTGGCGTGCGCATAGCCTCTGGCCACAGGCGCGTCCAGCTCCTGCACAGTGACTATGTCCATCGCAGCGTGAGGCCACCGACAAGCACCGGCCATGGCGTCTCTGTGGATCCCGTGCGAGCGGTGTTCTAATATCACGCCACTTTAGACAAACACACGTTTACCACCGATAATCACTTTTTCACTGTTTTTCACATAAAACACGGCGGTGTTTAACCGATGAACTTCAAGCTCCGTCCCGGGAGCGGGCTGTTCCTGGACCCTCGGCACAGAAATCGCCCGAGCCGGTCGGCCCATGCCACCAAATCTTTGATTTGTACTCATTTCGGCACTTGCTACAGAGACCAGCGCCGTCGCCATTTCAGCATCAGCGTTAGCAAGGGATAGTTTAACCTTAGTTTCGCGGTGAATAGGAGCGCGTTTTTCTCGCCACCCGTTTAAACACGAAGGTTAAAGTAAAGAGCGTATCCTCACCTCGACAGTTACCGATTCGTGGGCCGAATGGAAGCGCAGGGCTTTGAGCGAGCGCTGGCCGCGATCCGACGACCGGCCAAGCCCTTTGCGACGGGGCGCGAGTCGCATGCCCATCCGCACCTGCATGTCCATGGCATGGATGCGCCGCTGCAATTGCCGATCGACGAAGCCCAAGCAGCGCGCCTGTCTCGCGGCTGTCCGCTCCTCCTCGTGCCAGCGCAGCGCCTGGAAAGCATCGATGCCATGGCCTACAGCATGCACTTGGCTCGCGAAATCGAGGCCGAGCTGGCGCCGCGCGGGCCTTTCCATGCGACCTTGTCACACCTCGTGATGGACCGCGCGGGCGCGTCGGCCAGCAGCCTACGACCCCAGGTAGCACTGCCAGGAACGTTTGGGGTGCTCATTGTGCTCTTGCCGTCGCATTACGACGGCGGTCGCATTCTCTTGTCGCACAACGGGCTGGAAGAGGCATGCGAGTACCTCGAGGAGCCGACGCCGATGGCCGACCTCGTGTACGCAGCCGCGTACCTCGACGCGACGATCGTCTCCGAGCCCATTCATGCCGGGATTCGCACTGCATTGGTCTTTGCATTGCGCTATGCGAGTCCGGACATCGACTGCAGCACCGCTCCCGACGACGCGATCGCCGCCCTCGCGCAGCTCGCCGCGCAGCCGTGCGGCCGGGACGTCCTCTGGGGCGTTGACGTGGAGCACCCTTTGCTCGCACTCGACCGAGGTCAGCTCCGAGGAACGGACGCGGCTGTCGTCAACGCGCTCCTTGTCACGGGTCAGTACGACGTGGCGCTTGTGCAGTACGCCCGGGCGCCCAGCATCGGCGCCTTTTTCAATCTCGGCGATGACGACGACGACGACGACGTCGGTTTCACGGGTGTCGTTGCGACTGCCGTCGTCGTCGAGGCATCGTGCCCGTCGTTCGTTTCGACGGCACTCGTCGGCGCGACGGTGGGCACGATGCTCGAGAGTGGCACTCGCCACTGGTCGTGGCCGTCCACGTCGGTGGTTTTTTGGGCCAAGAAGCATCGCGTCCGACTTCTTGGGACCTCGGTGGCCCTTTCTACTCTCACGTCGGCGTCGCAGCGCACGGCACATGCGCTCGGCTGCGCCAGCCCAAATGCGCTTGCGGCAGAGATTATCACCTTCTTTGGCGCTTCCTCTTCTTCCGACGTCATCGATCACGGGCAGCATCTTCCAAAGAAGCGCAAGCGTAAGTCGCCCGTGTTCGGAGACATTGTCGGCCGTGTTCTCGACGACCTCAAGGACATAACGCTCGTAGCGCTGTATGTGGGAGAGCATGCGTGGGTGAGCTCGCACGCATCACTAACGCACGTCGCGTCGTGGACGCACCATTTCCTCGTCAAGTACGGCTGGGAACAGCTCGGCGCCTCGACCTTGCTGCGCCTCGTACCTCGTTGGAGCACGTCGTCGTGGGCGCACGCAGCGTACGCCGCGCAGCTCTTGTGCAGTCTTGTTGGCGTCGCCACGATGCCCGTGTGTCCCGTTCTGACGCAACCGTTCGTCGACGAGCTTGTGTTTGCAGGTTACACGCAGCTGCTCACCGCGGTCAGTGCGCTGCCCGACATGGCGCCGTTGACTGCCGATGCGACGGGTCACTTTGTACGCGAAGTCTTGGCTCTGGAAGCGTATCTGCTTCAGGACGCAGGCTCCAAGCATCAGAGCAAGTGGCTCATGTCATACCTCCCACGCAGTCTCCTCCTCGAAGTCGACGCGTTCCTTGGTCCAACGCACAGCATGCTAGGTCTCGTGCAACGAAAGCCCAAGACACTATGTCCCTTGTCTGCGCTGGCCCCGGCCGTCGCGTCGGCTGTGGTGTGGCCGACAGCGGCGGCAATGCATGTGCTAGCGACGCTCCCGACGGCGACACAAGCCATGGGAACCTCAGTGGACGTCCTGTTCAGCGTGTTGCATGTGGTCGTGGCAACGGCCCGCGGGGCCCACCTGGAGGCGCTTCTGAATGGCATGTGGCGAACGTGGAGCATTCGGCTCGTACCGGCCATCGCAGCACTACTGCGCCGACACGTGTCGGTGCCGACACTGGCAGCGAGCCACTTCGGAACGATGCTGTTGCAGTCGGTGTCGCAGCTCCTTGGTAGCAACAATAGTGCGTTTTTACAAGAGCACTATGCACCGACGGCAACCGCGCTGGGTCTCGTCCGTGACGCCGCCGACGTGGTGCACCGATGGACACCGATGTCGGCGTTCTTTTGCTTTGCGTCGCAACTGACGTCGACGCTTTCCGCGACGCCCGATCGCGGCCTCGAGATCTATCGCAGCGTTGTGTTTCGGCTCCTGGATGTCTCGTTTGACGTGTGGCCGGCATCCGTCGTGGAGCATCTTGCGCGTGCGTGCGTCGCACGACTGGAAGCCGAGGCAGTGGTCGAGCTCCCGACTCTGGACGATTTGACGATACGCGGCCTCGTGCCCTCATCGGCGCGTCACCATTGCCACAGTTGCGCGACCTTTCTCCAGTTTCTCGAGAGCCCCACGGGCTTGGAGTGCGACTTTGACTCGGCCACGCGGCGTCTTTGTCCGAATGTCTGGGATGTTGTCGTCGCCAACGCCGACCGACTCGAGTGCGTGGAATGGATGATGGAAGGTAGTACCGCCACCGGTGTCCCGATCGTCCGGGTGCTCTCCGTACTCAAGACGCCGCAGGAGCAGCATGCACCGACCAACGAGTGGAAGCGCCGACTGCAACTCCACCAAGAACGCAGCTTGGACCAATGGCGAGTGGCGTGTCTGCACGAGGCCGTGCACCGCCTGACGCGCGCACTCTCGGTTGACACCGAATCGGAAACGACGCGACGATTTCGGTTGCCTCGGTCCCCGTACATTGAGCGCCGTCTCTTCAACGATGTGTTTTAAACGCTATGTGGTTGTCCTGCTCGTAATATTGTCTATAAAAGTTGCGGCATTTGCGTAATGAAGGCGTTCGACTTGGTCAGTGCGTCGTCCTTTTGCGACACGCCGGGGGGCAGGCCCAGGCGCAGGAGCGGATTCGTTGACAGGCGCTTGTCCGCTTCGTTCTACCGTTGCATCCATCGGCGTCCAGTTGATACATTGATATGTCGATACAAGACCTGATTCTTTTTCTTGAGCTTGGACGTGAGCTCTTCGTCCGAGATGCCGCGTTCGGTTGCGTTCTTGCGCTTCTCCGCGAGCTACTCACGCCACGTTATCGACCTGGCACGACCAAGTGACAATATTGAACCTCTTTTTTCGCATCACTTCGGAAAAGTGACGGTTGCTGCTCATCTTGAGAATGTCGCGAGACGGCACGAGGACGTCGAGGATCGGCCCGTTCGCGACACGTGGCGACCCGTCGTCGTCGCCGACGCCCGACGAGCTCGATGCGTCCGAGCGGGCGCTATCTGGGTGTCCGCCCGCTTTGGCCTTGACGCGAATGTTGTTGCGGTGGACGACCGGGTCCGAGTTGCCGTGTGGCGACCAGACGAGGTGCTTGGCCTCGTCGCCGTGGTCGTGGCGGCCGCCGTGGTCGTCGAAGCCGTCGTCGCCGTCGCCGCCGTACGCGTTGAAGCCACCGCCGGCGCCGTTTTGCTGGCCCACGAGCTCGACAACCTTGGCGAATTTGATTTCGGCAATGGAGAGGAGGTCGTGGCCCGCGTCCTTGCCGTGGAGTGTCAAGAGTGCGTCGTCGTTGATCTCGAGGAGCTCCTACGCATGGGACGCACTATAAAAAACCGAATGAACACATCGTTTAACGCACGTCAAATGGTGCGAGTCGCTGCACGAGGCTGCTCGCACCCTGGCGCACGGCCGCAAGGACGCCGTCCAAGCAGTCGTACGCCGCCTTGTTGGTCTTGAGGAGGCCCTTGGCTTGTAAAATGTCATTTTCGAGTGATGTATACACATCGCTAATAGACGGCATCTCAAAATGAACGTGAAAAATCAACGCGCACCGGTTGAGTTCAATGCCGCCAATGCCCGACGCCTTCAAGTCGTTGAGCGCCTTGAGAGCACTCTCCTTGGCGAATTTCGCGTTGGTGAGGCGCGCCTCCGCGCGGCCTTTTTCTTTTTCAAGTGACTGGTTGCTCAAACTCTGGGCCGCAAACTTGTCGACCACGTCCTGGAGGCTGCTCGCGCCCGTGACTTGTTTCATCTGCTCAAACACGTGGTCGTGGTCGGTCGCGCGCTGCGAGATCTCGACGTTGGCCGCGCCCAAGTCGGCATTGGCTTTGCGCCGGTTCTCAATGTCCCGCTGCAGCCGCCGTTCTTCGTCGTACGAGAGGTCGCCGCGGAGCTGCGGAAACGAGCTCTGTCTTGGTGCCGTGCCGCATAGAAAAATGTACCTCGGCCGCGAGCTCGGAGCGCTGCTTCATGCGCTTGAGCCGCCACTGCTCCATGCGCTCGGCGTTCTTGGCCTTGATCGAGTGCTCCGAGAGCTCCCGCGTGCGCTGCTTGCGCTCGATCACCACTTGCTGCTGCAAACTATCGGCGCATTTTTAAACCATGGACCAAGCATCGAGGACAAGGGTACTCTTGGAGCAGCTGGATCGTCCGCGACTTGCCGGCTTCGAGCTGCCGGCTCAAGATGCGCACCTCTTCCGCCTCGCGCGCACTTGCCTCGACGGCCCCCGACATAGCCTGGATGTGCGAGTCGAACTTGATTTGATTTGTCTGGAGACGCCGAATCATGTGTTCGAGTTGCCGCCGCGTGTGCATCTGGTACCGCGATCCAATACAAACTGGGACTTCTGAGAAGACGCTTACCTTTTCCTCCATCGAGAGCATGCACTCTTCAATCTCATTGTTGAGCCGCTGGATTTCCTTGGCACCGTGCGACTCTTGGTTCTGGATCCGGTCGAGCGCGTCCGTCTCGATCTGCATCGCTCGGTACTGGTCGAGAAGCACCGTGAGTTCTTTCTCTCGCGCATCGGCGATGCGCTTGCGCTCGTTGTACTTGCGTGCATTTAGATTCACGCCATCTTCCAGCGTCGCCACGTCCTTGCTCGAGTCGGTCGCCGATTCGGGGCCATCTCCATGGACGCTGCCGAGCGACGACGAGCTCCCAAGCGACGACGACGACTCGAGGCGCGACGGCAGCACGATCGGCGCATTGACCCGCCGAACGGCCTCGACGAGGTCCTAACGAAATGCATGCGCTTCGTACTGTCGAGAGACTCGACAAACCTTGCGTTGAAAGATGCGTTTAGACTTGGAGTTGGGCAAATCGAACGCCGAGAGGTCCAGTGGCAATAGCCTACGCGAAGGATGGTATACTGTGGGTGCGTCGCGGGAGTCGAACCGGCGGGTATTGGAAGGTCCCTTCTTCTTGAGCATGTGGCGGTCCGTGCTCTTGGCCGGCGTCGTTGAGCGCTACGCGAGATGCTGTGAGGCGAGCCATGATTGATGTATGGCAAGACCTCGTTGCTTTTGTCTCCGACCTCGGCGAGGTTGGTAAAGGACGTCGCCATACTAGCAGAGAGACCACCACGTCGGGCCCAATTCGTGCCCACGTGGGTGCGCTTGAGACGAGGTAGCCGTGGAAGTTACTGCTACCGAAACCCCCAACGATAATAGCCCGCTCTTGGTGTTGGAGAGTATTGCTTGCTACTAGATAGCACGACGTCTTCCTCTATGTAGAGACCTCCATCGATGGATTACATACATGTACTCTCATCAACGTGCGACTTGTAGCCGATGTTATTCGTTCGTATACTTCATTCGTGTAGTTCATTTGTCAGCCAAGGTCGATATAAAGACCATCTTCGTTTTTATAGCCACTGGTTGCCCGAAATGTCCTAAAAAAAGAGACGCCTATCGGGTGGAGCAACTTGATCCCCGGGTCGTTCCGAACACACTCGTGTGCAGAGCTCTTTAATCATGTTGCACGCTCGGCCACGCTTCATCTCCACAATCAGTACAATGTGGTGTGTTCCGTTCCTTCGTTGGCGCGCTCTCGGCTTCAACGTCGTCGTCTTGGTGCTTCAACGTTCCGGCCTCGTGCATAGGTACGATCCAATACGAATGGGTGTGTTGGCCTGTAGAGATGATGAGTGATTGAAGCAGCACCAATGCGGCAACAGATGCACCCCTATGATTCCTCCGCCACCGAAAACAACCACTCGATCGACGCCATCTACCTTCTCACAGCGTAGCCTAGCAACGCGCTGGAATCCCCACCTATCACGCTTTGTTTGAACGACGCCGTAAAACCATTTTTCATGGCGTCAACTCATCGTGTTACGCATCCCGTCCCTCGGTCGTCCCTCGCCCACGGCCGCCATGTGACCAGACAAGCAGGTAATACGTAGACCAAGGCATGCGACAGCGCTGCCTCCATTCACATGGGGCCTCTCGAACGTTCGACCGCACGGCTCATCGTCATGGGGCGCGGTACCGACACCTCGGAGCCACCATCCAGCTGGACCTAGCGTCAAATGGCGTGTAGCTACGTAGCATTGTCGCCGACAAGAGTGGGCATACTGTCAATTTAACCTGCTGCGTACAAGGACAAGCTTCAAGTGGCCGCGACAACAGTGTCCCAATTGTAAAGTCACCAAGGACGGACGCTTGATCATTTTTGCGCACCTATTGGATGCGGCGTGGACACATGCGCACCTGGATGTGATCAGACGACGCGCTGTACCTCGCGAATTCTTGTGTGGCGACTGCTAAATCACTAGAAATTTCTATGGCCACCACCGTCCCCGCAACCTTCTTACAGCGCTGAGCCATGCCACGGTGCCACTGCCATTTCAAGCAGATGGCACTCAGACTTTAACCTCTGCGCGTTTTTCTCCATGGCATACAAACGCCAAGTGCATGAAAAGGCCCGGCCACACGTTAAAGAGTGTACGACGAATGTACGGTGAATGTACGCCCTTGGATTTCGAAGCACATAAATAGTGTGCGATGACGGGCGACCGTCCATCGCCCGCAAACAGCAATGACACATTTTTGATCGACCATCGACGACGGTAGCCCAGCACGACAGTCACTCGCTTTGTACGCGTTTTTAGCTTTGTAGTTTGGACTTGAATAGCTTCCAACCAGTGCAACCCGGCGGCTGCCACCGAGTTAAAAGTGGCAACTTCGACCATCGAGCTTGCAAGTCGCATGGCCATGTTGTACTTTGTACGTTACTGGTACTCTGTTCTTGGCGTGGCGCCTCCAGCAGCACTGTTGTTGACGTGGGTCGCCGTCTCTTTAAAGAGATAGCTCTGCGCAGAATACTACCGGTAATGTCGGACGTGCTTCGTTGAGAACTGTCCTACACTCGGTTGAGAGACGTGGAGACAGACGGGGGCGCGATCCGCAGGACAAAATGTCGGCGCGGCCACTCGTGTGTGCTCCTGCATCGTTTTAGCCACTGCAACCTGTGATCGTCCAGCACTTGGCTGTCGCCGCTCGCTCAACGATGCCCAACCGAATCACCGCAGTAATTCAGCCGAACTTTAGGAGGGCGCCTTCAAGACCACTACGCTAGCTTAAACTTAGTGTCTTCAACACCACTAAGCACCCTTGACCTTATTGCGCCTGCATGATCATCCCATGTCCTATCTAGCATCCTCGTGTCCAAGAAGATCGTCGATTGTTGGGAGCGTACCACCAACGCTCACACTATTTAACGTATGGTTGCGGTAGAGGTACGGGATGTACGGTTCGTACGCAGACGCGGGCCGCAGCCATCGGCCTGCACTCGCATTTCCGAACTTTCTGGTTGCGCCCGATGGCGATCTTGAACGAGTCGCACGCCCGTCAGCGCCAGGCGTCGCTGCAGCACCTGCACCACCACAGCAGCAATAGCACTGCGCCCATGCACCCGCAGCTCTTCATGCAGATGCTGCCGCCGCCCGCGCTCTCGGCCTCGACGTCGCTCTCGTCGCTGCCACCAACCGAGGCCAAGGGCAAGCAGCACATTTCGCCCAAGTGCCCCAAGGACACAAAGAAGGCCAAGGTCTCGCGCGAGCGCCAGCTCAAGATCAACGCCGCGAGCCGGAAATGCCGGCGAAAGCAAAAGGTCGAGCTGCACTTTCTGCGCGCGCACGTGGTGGACCTCCGCAAGGCCATGGCCGACCACGGCAAGGCCTGCGCGGGCCTCGACACGTCGCTGCTGGACCGCACCGAGTCGACCATCGAGGAGCTCACGAGCGTCCGCGTGGTCAAAGACGACCCGAACTCGTCGGACGACGAGCGCGGCAACATGACCGACGAGCCGTCGCCGTTCGCGGACGGGCGCACGCACCAAGAGCTCACGACGATCGGGTCGTACATCCTCATGAACGTCAACCTCGAGTCCAAGTCGTTCTCGCCCGACTCGATCTCGTGCCTCCCCATTCACATGGACGGCTGGATGATCCGCCTCAGCATCACCGAGCGCAGCTACGCGTTCTACAACGAAAAATTCTTTCCGTGCAACACGCGGGACCTCTTCGACTTTATCTGGGAAGCCTCGCTCCAAGAAACGACGCCGGACGCGCAGAGCGCCGACCTCTGCAAGGTGACGTCGCTCACGCCTGACATGGCGTTTGTCGTCTCCAAGACCATCGGTCGCTGGTCGCTGCAAGTCCACGGCGTCCCAAACGTGAGCTACAACTCGATCGTCGCGCGCACCTCGGACGGCGAGCGCCACATGGTCTGTCAGCAGTCGGTGCTGGGGCCATCCGACTTTAGCGATCCGTCCGTTGAGCCGTGGCTCTTCAAGCGCTGGGTGGTCTTCCGGCCCGTCGTGCAAGACGGCGTCGTGGGCACGCTCGTCGAGGCCTATCGCAGCGCGAGCTATGCCTCCGGTCGGCGTCTCTACTCGGAGACCAACACGTACGACAGCTTTTGCGAGCACATTATCCGCCGATACGCCGAGTCGAACGCGGTCTTGGACCGCAAGATGGCCATGGACGTCCGCTTTGCCCATCTCCCGCTCAACGAAACACCATGTTCATGTACGACACCATGTCGGAGCGCATGGTCAAGGACTTTTTATGCTCTAAGCACTCCCTCTCTCTGCCCGAGTCGCGTATTTAATTTGTGTACAACCATTCTTGTGCTGCGTTCTCTCTCTCTCTCTCTCTCTCTCTCTCTCTCTCTCTCTCTCTCTCTCTCTCTCTCTCTCTCAAAGTGACACTTGTGCTTTGGACTCGACCGAGTTGTCGTGGGTCCACTCCTGCACGACTCTCTCTCCCCTTTGTAGTGTCCCTTACGGTTCCAGGAGCGGCGACGACGTGAACTCGGGTCGCACCGACGGGTGCGCTTGCCTCGTCGCGCATGTACTCGTTGCTGGCGTGTCGTCGCATGCAGAGGCCACACCCGCCACGGCACACTCCCTCTGCGATAGTCTGACATGACCATCGCATGGTCCTTCGTCTGAGAAGCTCCATCGAGGCGACGATAAAGAAGGAAGAATCCATGGACGACGACATCTCGGTCTGTATGAAACGGGGTGCGAACGGCAGTAGCTTGGCATCTGCCTCGTCGCGTGCCATTGCGCAAACGAACATCGCTACTACAAGTAGGAGAGGTGAAAGCACTTGGCGTCGAGGCCGCCGACGTTGACGGTCGCTTGGCGGTGCGCGATCCCTACATTCCATGAGCTAGAATATACCAATGGGTAATGGTTTCTACATGTCTTGTAGCGGCCGAGCTGCTTGGCGAGGAGCTCGCGCTCGGTCGTGAGCAGCACGGCGTGCCCGGTACCCTTTTTCGTCACGCGGCAAAATTCGTGTAAAATCTAAATGACCCTGGATCTTCTGGACGACGACGACGGTGTCTTTTACCTCGGGGTAGCTGCCATTGTTCTTGGCGTGAGACCCGATGCGCTTCCCGAACGGCATGTCGGTCACGAGCGCGTCGACAAAATCGCGGCGAATCGGAAGCCGGCGACAGTCCCACTGCACCACGTCCAGAAAAAGGTTGGGGTTGGCCGCACTCGCCAGCGCCGCGTTGTGCGCTGCGCGCTCGATCGCAGCGTCTGCATAGTCGCCTAGAAGCAGAAGTGTCGACATTTGATACATTGAAACATTGAAACATCGAAACAGAGAAGAATACCGGCGATGCAAACAAGCTGGCCGCTAAAGTGCTTGGCCGCCATCTCGGGAATCGTGCCGCAGCCGCACATGGGGTCGACGAGGATCGTGCTCGTCTTGGGTTGGCGAGCCGCAGCAGATTGTACGCGATCGTCGGGCGAAGCGTCGTCAGTGACAGCTGCCGGCCCGTCGCGCTCACGCCGTTGCCTGTTGGCCGCAGCATGATGGCGTGGTAATACGAAGAGCTGGCGTACCCACGTGAGCGCCGAGCTCGTCAAAGGCCATCGTGCGCCGCAGCAGCGAGAGCCCGAGGAGCATGCTGCCCGAGGTGTACGGCGGCGGGTACTGGACGTGCGAGAAGATCTCGACGTCAAAGCCCTACGCCACACTTGATACTTTTGCTCCTGGACTTGATAATAGACCTTGAGCTCGGGCGAGAGATGGAAGCGCCGAGGCATGCCCGCCGCCAAGGCTTGTGCGAGCTCCAGCTGGCTCATGGGTGCGACGCCACTCAGCCGCAGCGTCACACGAAAGGTCTGTGCGCGACGATCGAGGTTGTGGAACGCTTGGTAGACGTCCAGGGCATGTTCGAGGAGTGCACGCGGCACGACGGCAGGCACATCGTGCTGGAGCTGCCCCAGCACGTGCCTACGCAGGCAACCTCTTTATCGTTGAAACGAGTAGAAAGTAAAAGTACGCAGAGGCGAGGAGGTCGCTGGCCTTGAGAAGCAGCACGTAGAGCTTCTCGATCGAGCGCAGGGAGCGAAGGCGCGGCAAGGCAGCGAGCGGGATGGAAAACACGACCTTGCCTTCGAGAAGCTCAATGTCGAACGCATCGACCTTCTCGATGAGCTCGCCGGCGGCCACGTCCTGAAAGCCACCAGGCACCGTGGCAAAGAGGCGGCAGACCTCCGCGTCGACGGCCATTTCTGCTTCCTAGCACGACGAGACTCTAAGAGCGCTGCGAGTGCGGCAGCGCGTACCGGCAGTGGTGGCAGCTGCGGCAGCATGCGTTGGGCCCACACATCTTGGGTCGCAAGGAGCGTCCACGACGTCGAGAGAATCGCCGCGGCTGTCGGGAGCGCGATGCGATCTTGGTGGCTCAAGATGCCGCAGCACAGCGCGACGGCCGCGCCAGGAAGCGCCGTCTTGAACCACGAGAGGCGCGCAGGAATCGGATGCAGTCGCTTTGGAAGCGCGACAAAGTGGTGCAAGATAGCGCTCGCCTTGGCGAGACGGCTCTCGAGGAGGTCGTGCTGGGCCGTGACGGGATCGACGACGCCTACGCGACACATAAGTCTGTGTCATCCAATGCGCGCCTACCGTCCGTGTCGAGGAAGCGCCATCGAAGAACGAGAAGCTGCGCGCGGCCGTGGGCGTTGACATGCGGCATAACGTCGACGAGGACCTCGTCACTGTGCACGATCGCACGCTTCGCGGCAGGAAAGGCCAGCCATGGCGCGACGACCGCTACGCGCTCGCATGAGACAAACAGATGACGTTGGTGGAGAGCGTACGCTCGAGACGCGTGGCTTCAAAGCAAACTTGAACTGGGAGACCGGTCTCGTCGTTCACGGCGGTGTGGTCCTTGTACGTGGCGAGATCAAGACTGCTCGTGTGGCGCACCAAGAGGGTACAGAACGATACTATTGGTTCCACGCGGATATATAGTGTACGTAAAACGATAGACGATATTGTACACACGTACAGGTTTTGCCGTGGTAGCGGCGAGCGACGACGCGTCCTTGGATGCGCTCGGGGCTGGTCATCTTCGGTGGGTCGCGGCCCGTTTTGAATTTGAGCCAATGGCCTTGCCGTTGCTCGATTCGCCGCTTTTTATTGGTGCCATTATCACCAATCGCAGCAGGGATTGTATAAAACGCATATCGCCGACCGGTTTAACGCCCTGGACGCATACCCACGTGGATGTTTAAACATACCACTGTTTCAACCAATCATCGCATCGCAGGTACATGTGCACCAATCATACGAGCATTAACCTTTAAATACAGGTCTTTTCAGCCAATCCGCAGGTAGCTTAGATTTGACCAATCGTAGCCATCGCACTTGGCAACGAGCACGACCAGGACCATGGCCGCGAGAGAGAAGCTCCGCGGGATCGGCGCCCGCAGCTACGACGACGCGATCTTGTCCTTCGCGCCCGTGCACAACGCGTACCGCAGCGTCGCCAACGGCTCCATCGAGCAGCTGTACCAGCTCCTGCCTGCGGTACCATGACCAGATCATCCTGATGACCTATCGCCCATCTCGCCCATCGTAGCTGCTCGGCGCCCGCGATTACCACGGCGCTGCCTCGGTCCTGCGCTCCATCTATCGCTCGTTCAAGTCGCATCCCGATTTGTGTGTCACGGTAGGCGCTGCTACCGGCCATGCGCTTCATGCTTGCGCTAGACCAGCATGGAGATTCTGCGCCGCCAGCCCGACGGCATCGCTGCGCTGCTCCACTACCTGCAGAGCCTCATCGCGCTCAACGACGAATCCATCAACGTACGCCCTCTCGCCTTCTCTTGTCCATGATGATGATGCTGATGCGAGACGGTGGCTCTAGGCGGCGGTCATGCAGCGCGAGATCTTCCTACTGCACCTCTTCCAGGGCAACTTGTACGTGGCCTACCGCCATTTCAAGGACGAAATGCAGTCGATCGTAGGATGGCAGACACGCTGCATGTATCTCTCATGCGCCTGTTGCTAGGAAGCGTTCCGAGACGACGCGCACGTGCAGGCCGACTTTGGCATCCTCTGCTACTGGCTCCTCTTTTACGAAGACGACGACCTCCGCGCCCAGTTTCGCGACCACAGCGTGCCCCACACCCTGCATATCAACGAGCTCGAGACCAAGATTGGGACCGCGCTCTTGTTCCAGGAGGGCCAAATGGCACTGCGGCGTGCGATTACCTTGTCGCCAGCGTCGCCTGTCTACATGGCCTACTACGTACAGGTACAGCGCATCAACACTTTGCTACCCGAGTGCAAGAAAGCCTCGTGTAGCTGCTTGTGATGAAGCACGAGATCGCGCGAGCCGGCGACTTTATTGAACACTTTTACCACCACAACCCGCGCGAGCCCCACGCGTGTCGCATGGTACCAAGTTCCTTTGTATCAATGTATCAACACGGTGCTCATTCAAGTGCTATTAGGCCCACGGATTTTACGCCCTGTACTACCCTGACGCGACGGCGACCCATGTGGAGATTTGCCGACGGTGTGCTAGCTCCTTCATCGGCCACCTACATACTTCGTTGGCGTTTCTGTAGCTGGGCGCGGTTGGAACCCACAGCCACCGAGCCGTTGCAGGCACTTGTCTCGGCCCACGCCAACGGTACGAGGAATGCCAAGTGCTGTCTCATGCGAGGACAATATGTACTAGGTCATGTCCCTACCGACGTGCTGCTCGAGGCGCTTGCGTCGGCGATCGACACGTGCGGCAGTCTCTTGTACGAGGACCTGCACGCGCAGCATACGTTTTGGCTCTGGCAGCAGCTCGCGACGCTTCTCGGACCGGTCGACCGCCCGCTTTTCTTTTCGCATCGCTCACGTCACGTGGTAGGTGCCATCGACATCGACGCCATTGGCCGCACTGACCCAACGGCAGTGGTGGGGTCGTGTGTACTTGAGCCCTGGTTCCATCACGGGTGGGTGTACTCCATATCGTCACCCTATCGAGATGGACGAGGAATGTGAGTAGATGCCAACTTGGAGCTCAGCTTGTACAAGGCGGTCGTCGCCTCCCACATGTCGATGGCGTCTGACTTTATCGATCGCGTGCTGACGCTCGCGTCCGAGCATGGGGACGCAATGGAGCTCGTTCACGAGTCCGTCAACCTCGAGATCCATGCGGCGCCTCATGTGTTGCGACTAGATTCGAGCTCGCACCGGTCGCGCCTGCCGCTAAGAAGCGAAAAGTTACGCTTGCCCGCAAGAAGGCGCCGTTTTGGCGTCCGTCCAGCGGACAGCTGCGCATGCCCCACATCCTCGATCGCGCGGCGCTGCTCTCGTCCTATACGCTTCGTGACGCACTCCACGTCCGCGAGGTCGGTCGTATGGATGCGAAGGATGACGTGGCAATCGGAGATGGCGTTGTAGGTGGAGGCGAGTACGTCCGGGACGTTCACGACAATCCAAGTGCCGTCCTATGCGCCGGTGGTCGAGCCGGACGCGCACCCGCTCAACTGGCTCCTTCAAAAACGCAAGCAGCCAACGCCGCATTATCTCGCGCACGTGGCAGCTGTCGGGACCGCGGATGCCATGCAGCCGCCGATGACACCGCACGTGGTCTTGAGCCAGCGCGACTTGACCGCTCACGTCCTCGAAGACACGCGGCTTCGAGACCCGCTGACCGCCGACATTTTGCCCCATGCGTTCAGCACGCTCGCGCGAACGATCGACGCGCTGCCGCTGGCCGGCGAAAACGACGTGCGCGAGACCTTTGTCCGTCGCTACGTGCGCGCGTCGCGGTCGCTCCTCGCCGAGCTCCCGATCGCGTCCAAGTACCTGCACTGGCTGCAGATGTACGTGCAAAGGCATGGCCTCCAGAGCACCGTCGACGGGTACGTCTCTCTACGCGACACGCGCCCGATACGTAACGAGAGGGGACTAGGGCCATGGCCTTTCTGCGCGTGCGCCTGCGGGCGGTCGGCGGGTCGAGCCGTGGGTTCCCCCACCCGGGCCTCGTCGCCAAAGCTTTATCGTATTTTGAGCGAAATGCCGCCGCGCTCCCTGCGCACTACAAGCAGCTGCTCTTCGCGTCGCTCCTCCGCGACTACCAGCGCTACCGGACGGCCGACCTGCAGCGGTTCAACGTCCGAAAGCTATGCCACGCCCACTATGCAGCGCTGCAAGCAACGTCGCCGGGCGACCTGCCGCACTGGCACACGTGGCTGGCCGCCGCGCAGTCGCTGCAAAGCCAGCTCTACGCCAACCCGGTTCTTGTCGACGGCGCCGTGCGCCACAAGCTCTGTCATCCTTCGCTGGTACGCGAATCGTCTGCAACCACTTGTCATGGACTCTTATGCGCCGCTAGCCGCGACCCGACCCCGCGTATCTGCATCACATCTCCGAGGTAGGTCAATTGCCTTTGAAGGATCCTCCTTCATCGGCCAAACTGACGTTTTAATACGTTGGAGGGTAGGTGGTGCTGCAGCGCGCGCTCTCGGACCCAGCTGTGCACCGGTATCGCGACGCACTCCGCGAGTGGCTCGACCGCGAGTCGCCGCTCTCGGACGCGCAGCTCTCGACAAAAGTGCACTTGTTTTTCGATGCGTCGGCGCCAAACTTTCCGTCGCCGTCGCTGCTGCGGGCGCTCATCACGTACGAGCGGGCCAGTTTGCACTATGAACGCGCGATCGAGGTCGGCCGCGACAGTCTCTACTGGTCGCGCAAGAAGGTGCTCCCGACCGGCGTGCGGGAGACCATTCTCCAAGCCACCTTGCGCGACGTGCACCACGCATCGCCGTATGACGCCTTTGTGGAGGCCGCGGATGTCTTTGGCTACGTGCCCGAGACGCTGACAGCATTTCCATCCACGGCCGCGGTGCACGAGCTGCAGCGGACGGCGATTGCCACCGCGATCCGAGCAGGTCTCGGTTTTGGCGAAGCGGTGTTGCTTGGCCTCGACGACGGCGACGTGGCTGTCGAGGGTGACGCCACACCCGCCGCCAAGCGCTACACCCGGTGGCGCGCGCAGGCGCTGGCGTACGTTTTGGAGCACCCCGACGCGACCCCAAACGAGCTCTTGGCGTCGTTTCCAGCGACCGACCAGCCACCGATGGCCGTGGTCGTGGACCGACTCTTGCCGTACTGCCGCAAGAAGGCGCAGCCGCTGCGCCGCTCCAAGACGATCCATCAGCACCTCGACGACGCGCTGGTAGTCTGCCCGTCGCTCCGCGCGCACGAACTTTACCGCTACGTTCGGCACTGCATGGGCGGTCGCGTGCCTGGCCACGACGACGTGCGCCTTGATCGACCGATGAAGTCGGACGCGACCAACCGCCGCTTCTACAACCTCATCGAAGTGGCCCGCGCTCGGTACCGCAGGATGTACCCGGCGCCCCGGTCCGCGTCGCGTACCGAGATCGAGACCGTCTTTGGCTGGCTCGACGCGATACCAGCGTGGGCCCATGACTTGGATCCGAGAGGCGACATCGTCGCGGTTGTCGAGACGATCCATAAAAGCCGCGACCAAAGTTTGTCGAAGGATGCGGCGTGGTACCTTGTCCAAGTGCGGTAGGTGGCTCGTCTTGGACGAACTCTCGAGTTGATATATTGATATATTGTAGCGATGCGATGCGTCCGAGCGTCTCGGCCGACGCGGAGCTGCCCAGCCTGCGCGTCATCAAGCGCGCGGTCCGGCACGTGTCGCGCACGGCGTACCGGCGTGCGCTCCTCGAGCTCCTGACCGCCACGTTTGCCGCCGACCGACCGGATGCGGCGTGGGATCAGCTCGTGCGGGAGCGGCTCGCGGCGTTGTTTGATGCGACGCGCGCGGCGTTCCCGACGCTACAGGCGGTGGCCTATGCGCGCGTGCGCTGGCAGCAACGCGACCGGCTCTTGACGTACCTCGACAAGGACGGCATGACGCCGCAGTTACTCTTGCTCCTCCTTCGCCACGACTTTGGCGGGTTCGAGCCGTCCGTGACGACGGATCTCGTCCTCGACGCGTGGCCCGAAGCAAGCACCGCCTTCGCCAACCGCCCCGTCTATCTCGAGTAGCGCCATCTGGCGACATTGAGATCCAAAATACACAACATCGTATTTGAGGTGCCAGACGTGGGAAGAGAACGATGGATTGCGGGGATGGAATGGAGTTGACGGTGTGGATGATGAATCCGAGACGACGGCTCCAGCCTGCATGCGCGGATGGACGCTTTACTACTAAGATTGCCGTCAAGATCTGGATGGCGACTGAAGCCTCGAGGGGTGTGGCCTTCAGGTCGCCTTTAAAATTGTGCAGAATCATGCAAGTGGCCACTTCCGCTCGTCTCTGTCATGGAAACAAACGTGCGTCGCCAGTTGCATTTTGCATGTGCTCGGCCACCTTGCGCCGCAGTTGCGCCTGCCGTGGCTGCTTGAGCTGAGAAGGCTCTTGACGAGACCGAGCATGTCTGTGTTCACTTTCTCTGTGGTCAACTTTGTCGTGGCCAAGACCCATAGTGAACCAGAGATATCGCTGGGTCTTGAGAAGCTAGCCGTGCTGCGGTGCACGATGAACGGCAATGTCAGAGACGTCGTTTGCACTAGGATGCGCTGGACCCATCGGCATTGGTATCGTAGCCACCTCAAGCCTTCTTCAGGCGCATCTCTACACACACAGGGTCTTGCTCGGATGCTTCTTGGTCGTCATCAACCAACGTCAAAGCAGCTTGAACGGGATGACAGAGTGTGCATTGCTACGGTCTACAGGTCCTAGTACCGACTCGGTCGTCACGTGGCGTGGGGGTTGACGAGGTTGGTGATCTTAGTCGTGTTCATGCGCACGGTCGCGAGGATATCGCGGGTCTTGACGTCCTTGGCCTTGTAATGCTGCGCCGTCTTCTTATCTCGGCGCACGTACAAGTGGTCGCTGCTATTGCCGCCGGGCACTTTCACCGACTTGGCTTTTTCGGCGTCGAACTCGGAGACGACGACGGGTCGTGGACCAGGGTCAGTGACATGGCGTGGCGCAGCGTGGGTCGTTGCGGCTGCACGACCGACGGCAGCGCGCCTGTGGACGCCGCCCGCCCGCCCAACGGCGACTCGAGCTCGTTGCCGTGCGCCAAAGACGCCTGAATGACTTGGCGAAAATGCACATTCTTGGCGCCCGATGGGTAAAAGAGCGTCGGCGCACCCTCCACCGCCCGAGTGATGCCTGTGTGGTTGAGGTCCGGGACGTGAATCGGCTCCACGAGGAGCTTGGTGTGGTCCGCGAACGCCGAGTCGCCCTGCGCTATGTACCGGCGCGACTGCACGGTCATGACGTCCAGGTACGGCGCATGGTCCCGCCGCTTGGGCGCCTGCATGGATCCAAAACGTCGATTTGGAAAGTTTCTTCGATGCTCTCGTCGATTGGACGTGGCCCACTCATGGCCCGAGTCTGTCACCCTGATCCTCTTGGGCGCCAAATGTCCTCGGCGGTCGTTGGCGCAATGACCGTCATCTCTTCGGTGCCAACCAAGTTGCGCTGGCGTAGCGCGTGAAGACCTCCCGTGCAAGGGCAAGCCAAACACATGACGACTGAAATGTGCACGTCTGCGTCGTATATATTACTCGCAGGCAGTTAATCAGGCGACTTTAGCTGAGGACGGCGCCGCAGTGGACGCACTTGCGCTCCGTGAGCAAGAGACAGCAAAGGATACCGGCGGGAAAGAAGAGGATACCGAGCACGATGCCGCAGAGCGTAAACTCGTTCGACTGCACGGCGTGGGCGCAGTAGCCGTCGACCGTGAGCATCTGGCCCGGCATCACGACGACTTGACCGACCATGGCCTATATTAGCAAGGCGATGAGGCGAGTGCGACGAAGGGCTTCGTACCGGCTGGACGACGACGTAGTCAGGACGCGGCTGCTGGACCGGGACGCCCTGCGCGTAGTACTGCGGCTGGCCCTGGTACTGGCCTTGCTGGACGGGCACGGCCTGCGCGATCGGCGGCGGCGCCTGGTAGCCCCGGGGGTCTGGCCCATGGGGCCGCCGCAGCGGGAGCAGAAGGCCGAGTTGGGCAGGTTCTGGTCGAACTGGCACTTGGCTACGCAGAGGCGATGAGGTCAGGCGCCGTCACCGGGGGACCTACGGCAGTTGAGGTTGGCCATGATGGCTTGTTTGGATTTGCCGACTATCGTTCGACCCACGTGTCAATTTACGCCAATCAAACGCCGCGCCATCTTAATTTTTAACCAATCAAAGACCAGGACCAGTGTCAGCATCAACAATCTGCAAGCTTCAAATGTGAGGAAATGCGCCGCCTGGTTCGGCATGTCACGCGCCGTCCCTGGCACACGCAGCTGTCCACAAGCATTCTTCTTAACCTCCAACAAGCATTCCTACTACAAGCATTCCTCCTAACCTCCTTGTACTCTTCCTAACCTCCATACCATTCTTAACCTCCGGTACACTAGCAGTTTGATTGCAGTCAGCCAAATTGGCTCGCCGCCAACTCAGACAATGGCCTGAACGTCGCTTGTTTCGGATCGGAGGAACGAATGTACCGGTACGTATAACAATTCGATCCATCCGACGACAGTCTGTGCATTCGCTGCGGACTTACTCCACGAGTCGGCGAACGTCGGAATTCGCGCACTTGCTGCAGTGCACATCACCTGAACCCTAGAACCAGCAAAATGGGGTCCAACACTTGTGTATCCCAGCAATGAATACACAAAAAGAACATTTTAGATCGTTTGGTCAGTGCAAGAGGAAGCGATGTACTATACTCATGTACTTTACTAGTATAAGAATAAATTGCAATGGATCGAAAAAATGAGGACGCCCGAGCCGACATTGTTACAAAAAGGCCGCTTTGGTAGGCTGCAGCAGGCGTGCACTGCAGTTTTCCCAGCGGACAATGTCTCCATACGTCCATATCCAATATGCATGCTGGCGACTGACCACGATGATGGCGGTTGTTGGTGTCTTGAATCCGCACCGAGGGCCACATCACCTCGATAGCGCTACATCTTGCAGCAGAGCAGCTCGACGGGCCTATAGTATGGGCTCCGATCCAAGTACTTTGACGCCTAGACGAGCTTGATTGTTTCGTACAGAGCGCGATGAGACTTAAGAGGACGACGACGGCGCTTGAGGCGTCAGCAGTCTTCGCCATCCATCCATTCTACTACGCTATCGTAGCGTCCTCTGCAATATATACATATATATAGTAAGCTCTCAGAGGCAGTCGGAGGTGGAGAGCAGCGGCGCGGTGACACGAGCGGGAACGTTGCGAGGAAGCACGATCTTCCACCTCGCACCGTACGTACGATCCTTTTCGTACATTGGCATAAAATTATTTCTATTTCTTCTGTACCGTACGTACATTGTACGAACAGTACATCCCGTTGCCAGACGATCTCCATTTCCATTTTCACATCGTTTCCGCATCATGCGTCGGCCACTGCCATCGACGACGGAGCTCGTGAGCAAGCACCACGACGTGCCGTACGACGTCGGTAGCGCCATCCTGCACCACGGCAAGCGCCTCGTACGCCTACGGCACGCGACCGTGATACCTCATTACGCCACCTAGGCGCTCCGCTTCAACACCTCTGGCGAAGCGACGTACGAAGAGTACTCACGCACGGACGTGCTCAAGCTCGTGCAGGCCGCGGCCGCTGGCGTCGTTGTGCCCACGACCCGCAGTGCCAACCGCATCGACATCCCAGTACGAGCTGGCTTGTTTCTGGCGGTTGCCGCCTTGGACGTGACGCATACCCCCATGTAGAAAGTGCACATGCGCGACTTGCGCAAGCTCGACAACGTCTTTGCCGTCTCCAACGAACCGTCGCTGGTCGTGCGGCAGCAAGCCATCCTCGTCAATGCCGGTGCGTCGCTCTCCCGACTCGACGCCTGATGGAATACGACATGGGGGTAGACCCGGTCCGCGCGGTCATTACGCGCGAGAGCTGCCTCGTCTTCTTACCGGACGGCGCCGACAGCCTCGTGTCGCTGCTCAAAGCCAGCTTCACGGAGCAGATCGTGTACACGCAGTCGATCGCGTTTGAATTTGCGTCCGTGCTCGATCGTCACGGCGATCAAATCAGAACTTATCTGTCTGATAGCGCTCTGGAAGCGGTGCTCCAGACGCTCTGCAAGGTCGTCGCGAGCGACTGCGAAAAGGTACTGCCGGTTGCCAAGATCTCGGTCGACCGCATGGCCCGCGACGACCTTCCGATGGGCGACATGGAAGCCCTTCGGTCGCTCAAGAACGCCATGCACGAGCTCGACACGCAGATCAACGGGATGCGGCGCATGCTCATGGAGATTTTGGAGAACGAAGAAGACTTGCACATGCTCTATTTGACCAAGGTAGCCTTCGCTGAATCTTGATTGGGAATTGCCAAGGCCAATATGCATACCGGTAGATTTTCGCCGAACCCGACGTGGCCTCGGACCTCCTCAGCTTTGACACGGAAGACGCCGAGTCGCTTCTGGAAGTCTACTTGCAGGTACTAGTAGTATTTTTGGCTTTTTGAAAAAAATGTGAATTTTTGTACATTTTGGTAGGACATTTACGCAACCCAAACCCGCGTGTCACTCATGCTCAACAACATTCAAAACACCGAGTCGATGGTCATGCTGCGACTGGACACGAAGCGAAACTACCTCTTGACGGTCGACTTGACGCTGACGCTGTGGACGACGATGCTCACAATTCCGACGTTCATCGTGGGCGGCTTTGGCATGAACCTCAACTCGACGACCCAAGAGACGCCCAACATGTTTTGGATCGTCTTTGGCGTCTGTATCCTCTTTCCGATCACGTCCGTGTACCTCGTCAAGCGGTTCCTCGAGCAACGTGGCATCAACATGAGCTGGAAGTCGGGGTAGAACCCATCCACTTGGATGTTTGCTGCGTAATTAACACGGCTGCATTTCTCATGTACACAAACACAGTGGCAGGACGAGACACAGAGTACGTTAAAATGTACCTTTACATCCCAAAGCCAGGCACTCGCTGGGTTAGGTAGGGATAGGGGACGTGGAATGCGTTCTGGTTGCAGTCCTGGGGCATTTATGCCTCGCGTGGCTCAGCGACCAAACGCATCGCCTGTGACGCAAGACGCCACGCAATTGTCGACGACCGAGAACGATCAACGTGGTCTGCCGAGCACCAGTTTCCCGGCAGCCTGGCATTTGCAGAACGCACATTAGCACCACCAATCCATGCATAGCACGGTCCATCATCGTGTGGATTCGCCCGGAATGGAATAGAGCAACGAGCCTGCCATGACGTGCTAAGCCAAACGCACGAACAGTGTACTGTGAGCCACAGCGGCGAGTTGGCCTAAATGGTCTCCGCGTCCCACCGCTATAAGAAAACCTTGCAGCGTAAAATACGCTACTTGGTAGCGGGGGTGTTCGGCATGGAATTTCATTTCGTGCTAACTTTTAGCGCGGTCACAAGTCGTTGCACTCTAGGTTTGTGAAATGGACCGCATCCAATCTGTAGGCCATTGGAGATCAGTCCAAGGCATTGGAAAAGGGAAGGTACAACATTCAAAGAAGCTTTTTTCGTCGTTCAAATTTAACAACGAGCCCTTTGAATCGTGCGACGTCACGGCATTTCTTATGGACAACCGTTGAGGGGGTTTCATAGTTTTTTCAAACAGGCGCTTACGCCACATGTCGGTCACGGTGCAGTCCAAGTCGTCTGCGCCTGCCAAGGTGGCGCCGTCGTCGCGACAGAATCATCTCTACTGCGAAGCCCCCGCTTGCAGCTACGCCTGGGCCCAAGACTCGATCGAGGACGTCGAGAACAACGCTCGCTACGTGTTTGTTCGCATCGAGGGAGTGCCCCACGTGTCGTACTTTTGCGCGTCGTGTCACGCGGCCTTGACCGACGACGAGAAGCGTAATGTGCCCATTTTCAACGACAACTTGGTCAACTCGGTGAGCCTCTCGCGCCTCGAGCGCCTCGACAGCTACCGCGTCCTTTTGACCAACGTCAAGACGTACATGCTACCGCTCGCCTGCATTGTGCTCTTCTTGCCGATCCTGGGGCCACTGCTTGCGTTCGGGGGCGGCCGCTGTCGGCTGCCAGCGCGCCTTCGAGAGCTCTGGCCGCACCTTCCAAAAGGTCATGTGGGCCTCACGTTCTTCCTCCTCTCTACCACGTACGTTGGCATCGCGCTCTGCTTTCCTTTTACGAGCCAGTGCGTTTTTTGGGGCCTCCTCGAAGGGTACAGCGTTCTCTTTAGCCTCGTCAACATCCTGACCCACACCAACATCAACGGCTACGTCAACGTGTCCGATAGCCTCCGTCGTAACCGCAACCCGTTCATTCAGCTGCAGTACGCCATGTTTCGCGCGCTCTGTAGCGGCGGGGTCCCCGTACTCGGCTTGCTCGAGCTGCTCTTGCTCATTAGCGCACCACCACTCGCGACCGTTGTCTACTCGAGCTCCAAGCGCCTCACCGACCCGACGGATTTGAACGCGCTCTCGCTCCTCGACAGCACGACGCAGGAGCCAATCGACCCCAGTTTCCTTCCCGGCGTGTTTGTCTCACGACCAATCCAGCGCCGCATTGTGGGCATCATGGGCTGGCGACGCTTTACACTCCTTCTCGGACTCGTTGCATCGGTCGCCATCAACGGGCTCCTCACCGCGTCGTGGGTGGGCGGTGTGATTCCGAGCTTTGACTTTGTCGTGCCGGGGGCGTACGCTCTTGTGAGCTCGCCAGCCAACGCCATGTACGGTATGTCTGGCGAGCTCGCTGCCCGCAGCTGTGCATCGACAACGATCGGGCTATCGACGACGTCGTCGGTGGTGTGGAACTTGGGATTTGAACCGGCGCCGACGGTGGATGTCGGTCTCCCGCTTGTGACCCTTTTCTTTTCCAACCATGAGAGCGTGCCTGTGCCGTTTACGGTCGAGACAGCGTGGAACATCCAGCTCGTCAACCAAAGCGGCAGCCATGCGACGTTCTATCCGCTCCCGAAAGAAGCGTACTTTAGTTTGCGTGCCAACTTTGACGGCGACTGCACCGCCGTGCGCGCGCTCCGCCCCGTCGCGACCGTCTACTATGCCACCTCGTCGCTGCAAATGTACGTGGCAGCACAGACGCTCGACGTTTCGATGGTGTTCTTTCCGGTCTTTCTCTTGTTGAAACAAATTGCGCAGTGTGGCGTCTTCAGTATATGCATCGGTGGTCTCTCGGGCCGCATCTGGGCGCTCTGGATCAAATTTGACTCGATTTCGTCGGTCGGCCTCTACCCCCACTTTGGCACCACCCCGCTTCAGGTCGACCTTGGCTGCCGCACCAACCTCATTGCGTGGATGGCCGTTCGGCGCAGCGTCATTGGGGCCACCCACCTCTTTACGAGCTTTGTCAAGCCCTTGTTATCGCTGGCACTCGTCCAACTCGCGATCGCGTTTGGGGGGCTCCTCGTGTATGCGTTGACGGGGACGGCGCCCATGCCAACGTACTTTTTACTGGTCCTTGCCGTCGTGAGCTCGATCTCGACGCTCGTGTTTTTATACCCGCTCTCTGAGGCGATGGAGATCCAAGCCAATCACGGCGATATGCTTCGAGAGGTGCAATTGCAGCACCTCCTCAAGAAAGGCGCCAACGACACCGATGATGGCGTCGGGGACCTCCTCGCTGTCTACGTGGATATCGTTGACAACCACGACGACCGGATCACGTTTTGGGGCACGGAGACGTCGAAAGAGAAACTGCAAGGTCTCGTTGTCACGCTCGCGTCCGGCCTCTCGTTCATTGGCTCCAAGACAGTACAGTACGAGTGGTCCACGCTCAATCCATATTACGATTACGTTGGCAACAACATTCCCCACTTGTAAGGGGCCTGGACGTGGTGTAGCTTGAACGGTGTATAGCTATAATGTCTTCTAGTCTAACGTTAATGCAGTTGTGTACCGGCTAGAACGATGTCGAGCAGCTGGTATGTGGCATCGACGCATTCAAGAGGACCATGCGTTCCATCGTCAATGCACTACATTCAATGAAAAAATTGGGGCTCAACGATTCAAGCTGTGGGCACCCGTGTCCAAGTGGATTGGGGCTCATCTAGACACAGGTAGAGCCACAACAGATCGACTCAATTGTATGTGACCGATTCCGGTCCTGGCAACAACCAGAACGTGAACGCCAGACAGAGGATGGCCGTACTCCCTAAACACCGGCTAGTGTACAACAAAGCAGAACGGAAAGTGACAGCTAATTCACGTCTACTGACTGCTGCCAAAGGCTGTGCAGTTTCACATCAACGAGTTTCTCCAGTTCGACTCAACATGCAAACACACACCGCCTTGTCCCGGCCTAGTGGTGTTGACGTGGGCTAGGTTCCCCCACCACTGTGTGCGACCAACGGTCACATTGTTGCGGATTCACAGACGTGGGGCAACTTAGGCCTCGTCAACGCAGGTCTGTCATCGTTGTCATCTGTATACCTGTCTATTAAAATAGTGTGGTCTAGTGGATCCCATCTGGATGCTGGTCAACTTGTCGTTGCCGCACCAATGGATTGGCCAATCCGCGCGCTTCCCCCACAACAAGATCGCCAGCTGGGTCGAACGCGCAGTGATTCGCCAAAAAGAATTGATTATCGGATATTGAGCCAATCCGAGAAGAGCGCTGCCATCCCGAGCTCATTAAAGATTGAGCCAGCAACCGCGCAGACGATGGAGACCAAGACGCTCGCGAAGCTCTTCGACCGTCTGGCAGCCGCGCCATGGGTTCATGGAAGCCTTCCGCATGCTGTCCCCTTCTCCCGACAGGTGCATGGACGCATGCTCCTCTGGCCGCGGGACATGGACGCGTTCCCGGCCGAGATGATCGTGGCAGCGGACCTTCCTCTCGATGAGGCCACTGCCACCACGGCAACCGCATGGATCAAGCACCGTCTGCTTCCCGACGTTGGCTTCTACCTCGAGCTCGGCCATGGAGCGATCGACCGACAGGGCCGCGTCGACATGCTTCTTCCGATGGACTGACCGCCCGGGTGCTTTGGGACGCTCCTCACCTTTCCCTCTGAGAGACGCCGCATTCGTCTCAGGTATCTCCAACGATGGTCTCCAAGAATCGATGATGTCCATGTAATATATTCTCACAGGAGGTGGTTTTTGGGTGGCGGAGCTTTGCTCGCACTTGGTCATTTGACGCCCCCTTTCCACCTGCCTTGCATGCTTTTGCGCTGCTAAGCTCGTGTTGTGTTCTCGCCTGGGTTGAGCCTTGCGCAGTGCTACTGCTAAGTCTCTTACCCTCGTCGACTTGCACGGAAGGAGCCATCACAGTGACGAACGAGGACCGCGCATTCGCATTTACCCCTCCTTCTAAAGCGTCGAGCTTCCTCGCCTTCTACAACACATGCACCGTGGACGTCGGCCCCATCGTCGGCGGGACTCGGGCCATCCTCGTCTACCACGTGGTCTACTCAGGCCCGACAGACTGCAAACGCTTCGTTCCGATCGCGACCGCGCCGCTCATCGCGCGCTTGAAGGAGGCGGCTGCGAGCACGAACCAGGACTCTGCGGTGTACGCATTCAAATGGCGGACGCGGTACGGACCCGACCTGGACTTTTCGGTGCTCGAGCCCCACGACGCAGCCATTGTGGATGCCCTCTGTGCGACAGAAGCGTACGACGTCGCGCTCGTCCGGGTGCACGTCCAAGGCCGCCCGGTCAATGCTGCCGATGCCTCGGAACAGCAGATTGGGCTAAACCTCATGACCCAGAGCTTTGAAGATGCCGATGAGCGGTACGAGATCATAACGCAGGTCCAGCAGATGGCCGGAGACGCCTTCGTGCGCATGGGGTTTGCAGGCCCCGCGATCACAATCGTTTCTGCACACTACCACCCGGCGTGCAACGTACCCGCCGAGATCAACCTCGCCAAGATCCAACTGACCGACTTTGTGGGCTCGCGCACGATGGTTGTCGTGGCTCGTGGCGGGTCGCCGTTCCTCGTCTTTTGGCCCAAGCGCCATCGCGCGCGACTGCTCGGTTTCGAGCGCTGCATGCAGCTGCTGTGGTCCTCAGTCGACAATGGATGCAACGTGAACGGCATCGATGAGACCATCTCTTGTTTGGCGCGAGGGGCCATGGAAATGCTGATTGCGGGTCGTCACGCGCTTCCAGGGCTTCAACGCGCCGAGCCCGACAGCCATCAGATGTGCAGCTTCCTCATGGACCTCGGGGACATTGAACTCATCACGGCGTTTATCAACACGCACGTAAACGTCAAGAAGCACGCAGCGTGGCTCTACGACATGCTCGATCGATTCGGCTGGGAGGTGCTGCGCGTCGCCGTGCTCTGGCGTCTCGGCTCGAGGCCACTCGAGGAAGCCCTCTCCTTTCTCGTGACCTTGATTGAAGACAACCAGTTGCGACTGCGTCAGCCGTTCGCCGTCGAGTTTCTCAAAGAAATGTGGGCCGTGGTGCGTCCGAGCAGTTGCTTCCAGCTTGCCGGCATACGAGCGTGCCCGGCAACGCGTCGAGTGACAACGTCGTCGGACCGTACTTGCGTCACTGCTTGCCGCACAGTCTCATTGCACACATCGAAGCGTTTTGCATCCGGCTACGCTGCTCGACATCGTCACGACCGCACCCCGCGTCTTTGATCCGGTCGAGGTCGTCGCCAAGGCCATAGCCCAGCTGTGCAACGAGGAGCTCTCGGTCTCGCTGCGGCCGTACATCGCGTTGGTGCCACCAGCGTTCCGTCGTCCATCCGCCTTTGCTTTAACTTGACGCGCCAAACGAATCGCGCTACGTCTCTATATTGTGAAATCCAAAATGAATGGCTGTACAAGACAATGGGAGCTACGTAGGTTGGAGCACACACAATCCATTTATCGACGCTGGATAGAATAATGTACAATACTGCCCCAGCTCTCAGGTACAATTTTGTTCTAGGTGCTCGAAGTTGGATCGTCGATTTTAGGCGAATGCACGCGACGTTGCATCGAAGATTGCTAGTAAACTTCGATTGTGTGAACCAATCGGTAGCAAGGGCACTCTCAACATGCAGTCGGTCCGGTCCGAGATCGAGGGCGCCTTGGCCGCCGTGCGCGAGTGCCTGGGGCAGCCGTGGGCCTTCTCGCGCCTTCCTGCGCAGAGCGCCCGGCCTCGTCTGGGCACCCGAGGTGTCGACGACTGGCTCACGTTTCCGCTGACGAACGCTGCGCAGCTTTTGGCGCTGCATCCTGATGGCCGTATCCCGCTCTCGCATCTCTACATTGAGCACGACGAGCCGGACGTCATTGCACTTTCTGATATCATGGCAGCCATGGACGCGGCGTTGGCGCCACCATCTGTGTACCAAGCGTACCTCTCGCACGTGGCCATTGACACCAGCGGCAGCGCGTCCATTTTGGCGCCCATGGACCCTCCGAGAGGGTCGTTCGCAACCCTCTGGGTCGAGCTTCCGTCGTCATATATGGGCGGCGAGACCACTCTGGCGTACGAAGGATCGTCTCTGCCAACGCAACTGTGGCCGCGCCATTGCGACTTGGCGGCCGCGTACAACGACGTCGATGTCCATGTCTCACCGATCGTCTCCGGACATCGCGTGCTCTTGGTCTTCAGCTTGGCGCTGGACGAGTGCGCAACCTCGGTTCGTACGGCGCCGCTGTCGGTACCGGCCAGTATTGCTCGCGTCGCGGCGACGGCGGCGCTGCCCGGCGCGACCCATCGGATCTGGGGCTATCACCTTCAGCACCCCGTCTCCGCTCTCGAGTGGCACCAAGTCGTGGGCTCTGACAAGATTGCAGCCTTGGTGTTGTGCAGCACCGGTGTCTACGACGTTGCGCTTGTCGAGCACGCACCGTACAATGAGGACGACGACGACGACGACCATAACGACGGTCCAGCGCCAAGGGCATGGTCGGTGCGTCTCGCTGGCGGCGTTCTCTTTCCCGAGACGCGGGCCGACCCGTCTTTGGTCGACGGCTTGAGCAACAAGACGGTCGCCATCACACCAAGGGCGCGGTTTTCGCTGGCGTTTTGGGCCACGTCGCAGCGCGCGCACGTTGCGGGGCATCGCATCACAGGCGTCGCCGTCTACCGCTTCGTGACGACGCAGGCCACGTGGCAGGCTCCGGACACATACTTGGGCTATCCAACCGGCGACGCGCTTTTGATGGCGTGGTTTGAGACGTTTGGGAGCCGGTGGTTTTTCGACACGGTGGAGCGTGAGCGCTACGTGGACACGTCCATGTTGTGCGACCTCCTCCTGCAGCAGCGGCGCCTCGATCTCATCGAGTGTTTTCTCCAAGAACACTGCGTCTACTTCCAGGACTGCGCGCGGGACTACGCGTCGTTTATCCACTCGGTGCTGACGATCTATGGCTGGGAACCGCTGGCCAGCACGCTCGATGTGCTGCTCACCAAGTGGCCGCTCGTGGGGGCCATGCGCCTCGTGGCCAGTCTTGCCGGCGTCGCACTCGACCCCGTCTGCCCGCCGTTGCAGCGTCCGTTTGCAAAGGAGTTGATCAAGACGTGTTTCTGCCGCCTCGTCGTCGTGACGTCGACCGCCGTCGGCGCAGACTTTGCGCTGTGGCGCAACGGTATCGCGGGTCTGCAGCAACTCGTTGCCGACGTGCTCCTGCTCCAAACGTACTTGATGACGCTTAGTGAGAGCGCGCAGCACGGCAGCTACCTCGACGCGTACCTTCCTGCACCGCTCGTGCACCTCGTCGACTCGTTCCTCGTGCCGCTGAGTTTTGTCGATGCCGTCATCTTGAAACAGCGGTCCATTTTTGACCCGGTCGCCGTCGTGGGCCCCGCCGTGCTCACGCTGCGCGAGCACGTGCCTCCGGCGACGCTCGCACCGCTTGTGGCGCCGCTGCTGGCGACTGCGCAAGAGCTCCCAAACGACATGACCCTGCATGGACTCATTGCGTACCTCTGCCTTGCGCCGGACCTCGGTATGGACTTGGTCGCAACGATGGCGACGCGGTATCCGCTTTTGTTTGTGCCGGCGATGCGCGCTGTCGCCAAGGACCATTGTGACGCGCTGGACGTCATGGCGATCGGAGCGATGGTCCTCGAGCTTTCGGCACGTCTCTTTGAGGACGAGGCAACCACGTTTGTGACCGAGCATGACGCTCGCAGCAGCCAACTTGTTGTACATTACGAGCAGTCGATGGCGTGGCCCACCACCGCGACGGTCGTCGAGTTTTGCATCTTAGGTCTGCTCACGGACGCGACCACCTTCTTGGATGCCTACGCGCCGTCGCAGCTCCAAGCCTTTGCGATCGCGTGGACCGACGCGCTGCGTGGCAGCGCCCAGCGCATTGACTTCTTTACACACTGCGTATTTTGTCTGCTCTACACGCTCCACGACGTGTGCGCCCGGCACAAGGACGTCGGCGTCTTTCTGGCGTCAACGTGCCGGACCGAGCTCGGCGCGATCGCGACACAAGTCGCGGCCACTTTGCCGCCGTTGCCGTCGGTTGCGATGGCCATCGACGACGGGCTCGCCAACGACTGCGCGAGCTGTGCGGACTTTGCGACCTTTCTTCAAAACGCTGCGGTGCGCGAGTACATTGGGAAAACGTATGCGACGACCGGTACGCCGGCGCTCTGCGCACACGTGCGGGCCATCGCGGTGCCGGCGCAATGCTTGAGAATGGAGGACCGCCAGTCGTTTCTTGGCTCCGTGTACATCCGCAAGGAGCCGCGAGGCGTCGACGTTGCAGCATGGGATGCATTGGCGAAGGAGCACATGATGCTTGCGGGTCTGCCTTCCCGCATGCGGTATATGGACGAGTGGATCGCAGCATGGACCTCCGAGGAAGCTACAGCGTCGGGCGCCTCGTCGTAAATGCCTGCAATGCATTGAAGAACGTCGTTTCGGTGCTGCCTTGTTCTAGTACATTTTTTGGGTCGTAAGCCCCCGTCATCCTCTCAGTACACTAGTGACATTGCTTGGTTCGTGTCGGCCCTTGTCCAGCAGACCGAGCTCTAGCTCCCAGTCAACCCATGTGCCGTGCTACCCTCCATTGCCACAACAACTCGTTTGCCCGATCCGTTGCAAAAGCTGCTTGAAGTTGCACTTGCGCTTCAACGTTCTCTATCAGCACTGTCTCCATCGTGGTGTACAGTCTGAGCTTTTTGAGAAGAAGCCGAGAAAGAATTCTTCAGTTGAGACATACATGACAATCAATTGTATCAACCTCTGCCAGCGTTCTAGGTTGAAGTTGACGCATTCGGCGACTATCCTCGCATCCCCAAATCATCATGGTCCTCTCGCGTGCGGCGCTCAAGGGTATCGCCGCCTACGAGTACCACCCGTACTCCTTTCCTCGTAGTACTTGAAACTCCATGGATCTCAAGGCCTCTTGATAGCGGCGCGCTCACATGGCTCGACACCAAGTTCAACCTCTACTGGAACGCAATCGTGAACGTACTGCCGGCGTGGCTCGCACCCAACGTGATTACGCTCGTCGGCACGGCCATTACCGTCAGCACGTCGCTTGCATTCTTTCAAAGTGTGCCCTCGATGACCGAGACCGCCCCTTTCCACGTACGTCGTCACTCGATCTGCAAGACCCTATCGTCAAATGATAGATGTACCTCCTCTGCGCGATCGGGCTCTTCCTCTACCAGACGTGCGACGCAGTTGACGGCAAACAAGCGCGACGCACCGGAAGCTCGAGTCCCCTCGGGCAGCTCCTCGATCACGGTACAATGCTGATTTCTTGGATCCTGTACGACCGCGTCAAGGTAGGCGGCGACGCCATCTGCAATGTCTTTAGCAACTTGGCCGTCGGCGTTGCGATCGGGACAGGTCCCACCTCGGGTCTCCTCCTCCTTCTCTCCAGCACCTCCGTGGTCTTTTTCCTCGCGCAGTGGGAAGAGTACCACACGGGTACATGTACAGCTCGGACACGACATGCGAAATGTGACGCACTTCGTGCAGGCACATTACGCTGTGGCAACGGCTACGTGGGCGTGACGGAAGGGCTCTTGCTGCTCATGGCGCTGCATATCGTCACTGCCTTTCTCGGTACGAAGTCTGCGAGCTACACGCGTTTACGGTCGCAAAGGACACGTCTTCTGGGACGCTCGGATCACGTCAACCCTCTCGGTCCGCGATGGCCTCTTGCTGCTCGTTGCTGTCGCCATGACGTTGCAAGGCGTTGACAAGTCAGAGTCGCATTCGATTGGCGAGCCAAAATGGACACATTGTCTGTAGTATCCAAATGGTCTGCGCCGCGATGGACAAGAAAACGCCACGCGGCTCCAAGACCCAAGCGCTTCTGCAGTTGATGCCGACCGCGAGCATCGTCCTCGGGTCTATTGTGTGGATGCTGCACGATGACGTGGCAGCGTACGGCTATCCTTTCTTTCTCGCGATTGGGCTGTCCCATGCGATGCTCTCGGTACGCCTCGAGTGGCGCTAAGTGTGGACAACTTGTCTATATCCTCTTGGGTGCGTAGTCGCGTATGATTGTTTGCCACATGTGCAAAATCCCATTTGCGGGCCACGCCGACGTGGTGTGTCTCCTCGGTGCCGCGCTCGCAGCACTCGTTTCGACCAGGTACGCATTGCAGTCCACGAGTCGTCAAGGTAAAGACAACTTGTCCACTGTAGTCGTGTCCACGGCGCGTTTATTGCAACCGTGTACCTCAGCGTCGTTGTCGTCGTGCATGGCTGCTACATGGCGTGCGTCGTGCGCGAGATTGGCGCGTACCTCGGCATTGCGCTCTGGCGCATCAAGACTAAGAACTGATTGATATTTTAGACTAGACCAGTAGGCAGATAACGGGCAACACAAATGGGCTTGACACCAACAGGAGAGAAGGGGCGAGGTGGTTTTCGCATGGCGTTGCTATATTCGGTTCATAATGTGGCTAGTTAACAGCGACAACGGGCGACAGGGTCGACGGCGCGCAGGTCAGGGCGCAGCAGGAAAGTCCGCAGGCAGGCAGGAGGACCCCTCAGCATCTACTGGCGCGGCGGCGACTTGGAAAAGGAGACACGGATGCGGCCGTCCGGAAACAGGACGTTGTCCAAGGCGACCATCGTGTCGAGCGCGTCTTCCAGAGACTGCATCTCGAGAAGCGCCATCTTGGGTTGCTTCAGAATCGGGTGAAACTGGCGAAGGATGCCATGCTCACTACAGAGGTCTGCGATCGGGTGCGGCCCGGCCAACGTCGCCGGCTGCATCGAATCCGGAATGCCCGAAATGTGCAGCATCGGCGAGGGCGGCGCGACCTCGGCGAGCGACCGGCGGCGGTACCGGTGCGAGAGCGCTTTGGAGAAATCGATCGTGTTTTGGAGCTCGAACGGCTCGGCGTCGGCGCGCGGCATGACCACGGACGCGTGCTTGGAGTAGTCGACGCGCCACTTCTTACTGCACACGTGGAGACCGTCGAGATGCTCGCGCGCCGACTGCGCGTGGACCTCGTTTACAAACTGCACCAAGATCGTGCCCTGCTTGCGGTACATGATCTTGAGCCGCATCACATCCCCAAAACACCCAAAGATGGTAAAGAGGGCCGGCATTTTCTACACCATAGTACCGCGATGAGCCCATTCTTGGTAGAGAGACAAGAGAGATTGATATGTACCATGTAGTGGTCGTCAATGTTGCTGCAGATGAGCACGCACGACGACGGAGCTTCGAAGCGCCCGTCACGCGGCGGGAAATCCCGGCCTTTCGACGGCGGCGGGCGCGGCGGCGGACCACGACCGCCGCTGTGCCGCGGTGGCAGGCGCTCGTCGACTTCCCGCACCACCGAGCGCGGATCAAAGCTCGATGCAGACCGCGACGACGAGGGGCGCTCGAGGCTGCGCGCTGGCAGCCCTCGATTGTCCATGGCCCGACCCCGAAGATCCACGTCGCGACCTCGAGGATCCACGTCTCGGCCTCGAAGATCCGAGTCGCGGCCTCGAAGTTCGACGTCGCGGCTTCTAAAGTCCGACTCCCGGCCTCGAGGGTCCATATCGCGGCCTCGAGGGTCCATATCGCGGCTTCGAGGATCCATGTCCCGGCCGCGGGGATCCATGTCCCGGCCGCGGGGATCCATGTCCCGGCCGCGGGGATCCATGTCCCGGCTTCGAGGATCCATATCGCGGTGTCGAGGATCCATATCGCGGTGTCGAGGATCCATGTCCCGGCTGCGGGCGTCATAGTCGCGTGATGAAGGCCCCCGCGGATCCACGTCGCGACCGCGCACGTCGTAGGCGTCCCGACGCAATTCGAGGTCCCGCAAAGGCCGAGCGTCGAACTCGCGCGGCCGAGGCTCGTACTCCCGCCGCAGCCCCAGCTCTCGAGACGGCCGCGGCTCATACTCTCGCAGCTCGCGTGGCCGGCCATCGAGCTCGCGTGCCCGAGACTCGAAATCCCGCGGCAGCTCCCGCGGATCGTACGCCGCGCCATCGCGAGGAGGGAGGTACTCGCGTCCGCGCGCCTCATAGTCTCGGGGTGCGCGCGCTTCGTACTCGCGCGACCGCGGGTCAAAGTCCCGAGGCGGCGGGGCGCGACTGTCGAGCCGACGCAGTGACGGGGCGCGACTGTCGAACCGGCGCGGCGACGGCGCACGAGGACTGAGGTCCCGGCGATCGAGCGGACGCCTCGTCTCCGGGCGGCGGTCACGGCTGCGGCTGCGACTCCGGCGGTCCCGGCCCCGCGCCATGGGCGGCGGCAGCGACGCTGGCGCGACAAACTCCGTGCGCGCCGGCGGAATCGGCTCGTCGAGCATCCATGGCTCGGGGGCGGGGTTGGCCGGCCCGGCAGGCAACGTCGGGTTGGTGTAGTCTCGGCACGTGTCGTTGTTGAAGCGCACGGTCAAGGTTGCGTGGTTGGAGATGCCAATGTGCAGCGTGTTGCAGCCCGTGTAGATGTCACGGCCGTTGAGCGCATGCAGCGCAGCCTCGGCCTGCTCGATTGTCTCCATCTCGATGAGCGCTTTCAGCTCTGGGCCCTTGAAGAAGAGCACGATCTTAACGACACCGCCGTAGCCTGTAAAGACCTAATTCGATGTATGAGCAGAGAGGATGAAGAGCCTGTAGCACCTGGTGCAGCGTGTCGACCTTGACCTCGTACTCGAGGTTGGAGATCGTGACCATCAAGATCTTGTTGCGCTGGCCGGGTGGGAGGTACAGGTTGGTCGGCGTCTCGTAGGTCGGCGTCGGCTGGTAGCCACGCGGGTCAGCTTGGCGCGGCGGCGACCGGCGGCTGGGCCGCGGCGGTGATCGTCGGCGCGGCGACTCCTTGAAGCTCTTGCCGGATCCTTTTTGGGGGCAGATTTCGCCGCGACTGCTAAAGGCGAAGAAGACCTTCTTGCCACGGACCATTGCGTCATGGGCTTGGTAGAACGCAATGAGGTTCGTGGCGGCCGTCGTGTCTGGGAGCTCGACGAACGCCTGGTTCTTGTCCGGGATCATGAGCACCTTCTCGACCGACGAGAAGGGCATGCAGAGCGCCATGAGCTCGCTCTCGAGGCAGTCGTCCGGGAGGCCGCGGGCAAAGACGACGCGCGATGCGACCTGGTTCTCCTCGTGCCGGAGCCGCTTCATCTCATGCGACTCGCCATCCGCCCGCTTCTCGCCCGCGTACAATGGCATCTTGGGCCACTCAAATTGGGGAATGGTTGATATCACCAGTTGATTGCTGGATCGCTCCGCAGATATGTGAACTTGGTATTTGTATACCACCGCCGGTTCCAGCAGTAATCCGATCCATTTTGAATCCCACCGCCCACTGCTTTCCATGCAGCGCTCTGCCCGTGCACCAGACGACGCATCCATGCACGCAGACCGGTAGCGACCGAGCGGCGAGCGCGCAGACGCATCGGTGGCGGTCCCGTCCTAGCAAGATCAAGTCGGCAATCAACTGATCTACCTTCCAAACTTGATACGGCACTCGACGCCGTAACCTCTCACAATGCATACTTGCTGGGACACCGCGCGTGTTTCCCAGAAGCGGCCCCAAAAGGTGGGATTTCTCACAAGTGCGCACCAGATGGCGCCGCGCAGCAGCGCGTGTCAACGTTGAGGTATTACCTACACTAAGCACGTGCAATCCGGTGCCCTCGCTACTGCACAAGTACGTACTTGGACGCCGCATCCCATGGACTCCAGTGTACAATTGCAGTGGCATTCCAAGGCCAAGTCATTCCCGTGACGGTCTCTCGCAACGATGGCACAGACGTGTGCCACAGAGAATGCGAGACCATACCTCTCGACGTCTCTGTGCCACACTTGTTTATATGTTACCGATAGTAGACCCTGAGGCGAAGGGTGCCGAGGTCGCTCGCTGCTAGCTCCATCCATTTTGCCTTCTCCGTCGGGATGCTTTTGGAAGCGAACCGCCGTTTTGGCAAATTTTGGCGCCAAGCGTCAATTCGGCAAGTTGATCGTTGAGACTTCTCAACGATAGAAACTTGTGGGGAGAGCCATCTCATGAGCGATGCCACGTGGTTTTGACGCCTCGAAGCATCGTAGATGGCGGTAGTCTTGATAGAGTAGACAGTCGTGCAGCATGGTCTCTCCGTCGTGTATAAGAGATATCAATAAAAACGCGTTTTGATTCCCTTGGTTTCAAGCATGAGAATAACTCGTTCTTCCTTTGGTTGCAAGGGTCCCGCTTCCAGCAGCACCGTCCTCGGTGCAAGCGTGTTGACGGTGTTGACGGAAGCGGATGGGAAGCGGCGGTAGTAGCGCTACTCACCGCTACATGCGCCAATTCTCTCGCACATTCAATGTACTCTTCGACTCGGCTAGGCGAGATGGTCGCTTCGGCTTTGCAGACGTGTATAATATTGTCTGTGAGTAGACCGACAATGTGGCCATCGCTCCGAGGTAGACCGCGAACGGGAGCCAGCCGGCGACTGAATCGCAACGGTGGCGCCAGTTGGGACAGCCCTGAAACCTGCTGGTGGTGGCACCGGCCGGTCCCACGTTTAAAAAAAAACGATTACAGCTTGAAATTAGTAAGGTAGATACTTTTTTTCAAAATAATATTATGTGGAATATATATTCCACGGTCCAAGCGGGCGACCAAAACCGAATTTGATCCGTGGACCGATGCTGCTAGCGCTGGTCGCCTGGATATCCTACTACGCCTGGCGCGTCTGCTGGTACGCGACAGCCACGACGACGACGCTCGTCGCGCTCCTCGTCACGGTCGGCGACAGCCTTCTCACATGGGCGGCGCGCCGCTACGGCGGCCTGTACGTCGGCAAGTCCATTCGCATCTCGTGGTCGATGCTGCAGGGCACGCTCACGATCGAGCACCTTGCGCTCGCGTCGTCGTTGCGCCCGATGGTCGGCCCGATGCTGGGTCTGCCGGCCGACGCGCTCGTGACGCGCATCCGCCGCCTCGAGCTCTGCTTTCCGTGGCTGTCGATGCTCGTCTGCCTGGTGCGCAAGGAGACGCGCCTCCCATTGCGCGTCGGGCTCTTCCTCGATGGCCTGCAGATCGAGCTGCTCATGGACGGCGCGCGCAAGTGGCGATGGAAGCAACCCGAGAACAAGGCTCGGTTTGACGCGGACGTGGCCGTCGCCAAGAGCAACCGGCTCGCGCTTCTCGAATGGTGGACAGCGACGATCCTTGCCAAGCTTGCGCTCTTCCAGAAGCCGCCCGCGACGACCTCTAGCACGATCAACGAGTGTACGCTCCTCGCGAGCGTCTGGGGCGACGCCTTGGATGCGACCTTGCAGCGCCTGTCGTGGCCATTGGCGGCGATCGACGCGGTCCTCGGCAGCTTGGCGCTTGGCGTGACCAACGTTTGTATCGTCGCGCGGCCTCCGCCCTGTGCGTATGCGCACAAGAGCACGGTCACGCTGCAGCTCGAGGGTCTCACGCTCTCGGCTGCCCGCAATTGCGACCTGGCCGACATGGACGAGCGCCAGCTGGAGCTCGCGGGCCTGAGTCTCCGCACGACAGCCGACGCTACCGACGATGCGCCTGCGATCGAGCACCCGATGCTGGCGCCATTCACCATCTCGGTGCGCCTCCAGATGCCACCGATCGTCATGGGGCTCCACCACGCACCCAAGGACGTGCGTGTCGCTGTCGACCTCTCGCCGCTTTGCCTCGATATCGTGCCCGACCAGATCCAGACGCTTCTGGATGTGCTCCGGCCGCGCACCGAGCACAGCATCTGGCTCGCTCAAGCCATCGCGCACGACGAAGCGAGCTGCGATGTGATGACCGAGGCGATGCGCGAGAGCTACATTGCCGACTACCGCGCCAAGCACATGCCCGAGACGCGGCCGTGGTACGTTCGTCTACTGCACCGATCGCGCGATGCGGCGAATGCGGCCGCGCGGGACCGGCGACTCGCCGAGATGGAAGCTACTGCGCTCGGAAAGGACGTGCTGGTGCTGCGGCAGATGGCACTCGGGTGGTCGATTCCGTCGTTTGGCGATGCGCTGCCGCGCATTCCGGACGAGCTCAAGGCGGCCGCGGACCTGGCCAAGTTGATCGAGACGCCACTCGAGCACTACAACCCGGGCCTCGCGTCGCCGTCGGTGCTGGCGGCGCTGCATCTCACGCTGACGTGGCCACGCATGGTGGTGAGCGTGTGGGCGTCACCGTCGTCGCCGCTCCTGCGCTGGAGTATGCACGCGCTGCACCTGTCGCTGCGGCAGTCGATGCAGCCGATCACGGTCGATGCGCGCCAGCTCGAGATGGACCTCCTGCTGCAGTCGTTTGGCTTGGAGGACACGCGGCAGTCGCCGACGAACGTCTTTCCGCACCTTGTCGGGCGCAACCCCGACTGCAACCACATGCTCTCGCTGCAGTACACGGTCGACGGCACGGCGACGCATGTCGGGCTCACGCTCGCGCATTTCTCGGCGCTGGTGATTCTGCTGCCTTTCTTCGAGGCCCAGCATGCATTTGCCGAGGCGCTCGCCGACGACGAAGAGACGCTCGTGTGGCGCGACGCCGACGATCTGCCAGCAGCGCAGGCGCCTTTGGTGATCTACGAAGTCGACGCGCCCAAGACATTCGACCCGTCGCTGCTCGGGCACATGGAGCTCACGGCCGACGTCAACGTAAAAGGCGTCGAGGTGTGTCTTCTCGGCGACCCGTCGACGCACCTCTCGCACCAGCTCGCGTTCACATCGGACGTGAATGTCGTCGTGAAAAGCACCAAGTACATCGAGTCGATCCAGCTGACCATGATTGACGTGGCCCTGCAGCCGTGCAAGATTGTGCTGACAGACGACGGTCTTGACGTGACGCTGCCAGGTCTGCGCACGCTCCTCGAGCTCGAAGGCGACGGCGTCGACTTGGAGCTCAACTACGAGCTCAAGATGACGCAGATGGAGCCGTCGACGCGCCGTCTCCAACCCACGCACAGCAGCTCGACGCGCGCGAAAGGCAAGTGGGGTCTGCTCCAGTCGGCCGTCAAGGATGCCAAGATCACGAACGACGATCCATCGCTCGTGGGCAAAACGCTGGTGCTGCCGTCGGCGTCGGGCCCGCGTGTCGACGCGACGCGCGTCCTCGCGATGAAGGTGTCGGATTTTGCGCTCAACGTGTCGAAAGATGACATTGGTCTCTTTGCCGCCATCCAAGCGCGTGTCGGCGCGGCCCGGGGCGCCACCGACATGGATGTGGCCGCCACGGCGGCGCGGGACGCTCGCATTCACCTCCAGCGGGCCGCGCGCCTCGAGGCGGAGAACATGGCGCGGCTCCAAAGACAGTTTACGTTGCTGGACAAGGACGGCGGCGGCACGTTGGACCACGACGAGATCTTTGGCTTGCTCGAGACGCTCGTCAAGGACCTCGGGTTGACTTTTGATGAGATGAAGGCGTGCGAGACGGCGCTGCTCAACATGGTCGACGCCGATCGCAGCGGCGACATTTCGTTTGACGAGTTTCAAGCCGCGTTGGACCGCGACACGATCCACTATAGCATGCTGCACCAAGGCGCCTTGCCGCTGACGGGCGCCGAGTACATCCACCCGAAGCTCAACCGCAGCCACGTCCCGTCGGTGGATCCCCACAGCGGCAAAGCCGTGCACTTGGCCGAGAACGCGCGCTTGATGGTGTTTTGGACCAAGTACGTCGAGCAGACGGGCGCGACCAAGAGCTCGCTGAATGGGCAGTCGGCGCGCGTCGTCCAGCAAAAGATGGTGCGGACGTTCAAGTCGTACGAGTTTGCGCAAGAAGCGTGGACGCGGCTCGTAAACCCGGCGCTGGCCAAGCCGTCGGAGCAGAGCCCGTGGCTCCTTCTGCCATCGCACGTCATGGGCGCGGGCGCGGCGGCCTTTGAAGGGCTCTTCAACCAGCACGCGAGCTCGGTTGCCAAGTCGGTCGCGCAGCTCGAAGCCGCGCCGACGACGACGATCAACGCGCCGGTGTTTGAGCAGACGCCGGTGTTTGTCGCAACGTCGGTGTCGACGTCGTTTGGCGGCTTTTACTTTCGCGTCGTCGACAGTCTCCTGCCGGCGCACGTGCCGGCGCTCGAGCTCGCGTTTGAAGAGGTCAAGATCCACGGCGATTGCCGCATGTACGAAGGCGACGACACCGATGCAGCCAAGCGCGCGCTCAATGTCGGCACGGGCAGCCTCTGCGGGTCGATCTACTGCAAGTATTACAACACGAAAGCGCGCCAGCTCGAGCCGTTCATCGAGTACTACCCACTCCGCGCCGTGCTCAAGAAGGACGTGGGCGGCGACCTCGCGTGCTACGTCGTCTCGGACCACTACCTCCATATCAACCTCACGTCGGCCTTTATGAACGCGGTCAATGCGACGACGGCTGCCTTTTACGAGTCAGACGTCGTCGGGTCCAAGGAGCGCGAGCACGTCAAGGTCCTCGGCGGTCTCTGCTGGATGCACAACGAACTCGGGTCGCCACTGACGTATGCGATCGAGCTCGTGGGCGACAAATCCAAGCTGCTTTCGGACCGAATGGAGCTGCGCCAGGACGAGTACCTTTTGTGCAAGCTCAAGGAAGAGGAGAGCGCCATGAAGGGCGAGCTCCAAGACAACATGAAGGAGAAGGAGATGCGCAAGGCCTTCCGCGACGCCGACGCCGACGAGAGCGGCGAGCTCGAAGCCCACGAAGTCCGCAGCGTGCTCCAAAGCGTGCTCAAGTCGTATGCGTCGCTCTCGGACGCCGACCTTGAAGACCAAGTGTCGGCGTTCATGGCGCTTGCCGATACCGACAACTCGGGGCAAGTGAGCTGGAAGGAGTTTCAAGTCGCGTTGGCCAAGACGCGCGTCGTGACGCAGCGCACGTTGCGGCTGGAGGTCCCCGGGTTCGAGCCCATCACGGGCATTCCGCTGGACGTGCTCGGGCAAGACATGATTCTCGATCTCGTGCCGATCATTTCGGACGCGCCGTTTGATTCGGACGAGGCCAAGTACGAGGCTGCGGTGGCGTATCTCAACCAAGACGACCCGAGTCTGGATGATATTACGCGGGCGGTGCACCTCCTGCGGCAGCTGCCATCGACGTTCAAGTGGACAGCCTCGTACCTCTCGACGTATCGCGCGTCGTATTTGCCACGGCTCCTGGCCGTGCACATTAGCGTCGACTCGACGTATGGCATGACGGTGACCATTTCGACGGCCGAGTGCATCCGCAACGCAACGTCCAAGCTCACGCAGATAGTCTTGTTTAATGCGGACGGCGACGTGTCGTGGCACAACCCAGCACAAGCCAACAGCGAGCGCTTCTTTGACGTCCATGGCCAGTCGCTCCTCCGGATTCCACTGCCGCTGCTGGAGCACGGATCGTTTGCGATTCGCCAGGTCGGCGAAGTCGAGTGGAGCAATGCCCTCCCGCTCTCGGTGACGCCCGGTCGGTCACTCGCGTCGCCGTTGACCAACTACCTCGACATTGACGGGCAGCCGACGACGATCGAGTGCCACAAGGGCACGTGGGCCATTCACCTCTGGCCGCAACTCGTCGTGCGAAACACGCTGCCGTGCGACGTCGAGTACCAGATTGTGCAAGCCTCGGACGTCCCAGGCCTCGTGCTGCCACCGTCGACGCGTCGCTCGCTGCCGCCGTCGGGGCGCCGGCCCTCGAACGGGTCGATCGGGTCGCTGGCGTCGATGCAATCGTCGCGCTCGATGACGGCGCCGACGATCAAGGTCAAGAAAATCAAGGACCCGGACGCAGCGACCCTTTTCCCTTGGTTTGCGCATGTGAACGATGTGAACGCCCGCTGCGGGCGCATTGAGAGCGGTCGGTCGATGCAGATCTCGGGGCTCGACCTCGACGCGTCGGCCTACATGCGGGTGCGCTTGGCGGTGCCGGGCGCGGCGCCGGCGACCAAGCACTGGTCGGCGCCCTTCCCGGTGCGCGTGCAGCTGTCCAAGAAGCAGTACGCGGCATCGGCAGACATTGCGGTGGCGCCCGGTGACGCGCCGACGGTCCGCGTCGCGCAATCGTGGGACAGTGTCCGGACGGTCGACATTTTCGCGCCGTACTGGGTCCAGAACCACTCGGGACTCGAACTCAAGCTCAAGGTGCACCACGGCAGCTTTTGCTCGCAGGACGGCCACGTTTCGTACTTTGGCGAGCACTTTGATAAGGTGCCACTGCTGCTCGTGGCGCCGGAGAAGGCGAGTCTATCGCTGCAGCCGGTGGCCGAGACGCCGCCGCAGCACGACCACCAGTCGGCACTGGCGACCCATGTGCGCAAGTACCTCCCCGATTTCAAGCGCGTGCCGTTCTCGGACGCGATCGACTTGGCCGCGGTCGGGACGCGGGCGCAAGTGTCGTGCGGGCTCACGATGTGCGTCCTCGGCTACGAGATTCTGGCGGCGCCAGGGCAGTTCCAGCACACGAAGATTCTCCGGCTCGTGCCCCGGTTCATCATCAAGAACGACGTCGGGCGGCCGCTGCAGCTGACGCCGCTCACGCTGCACAAAGGCGCGCCGTCGCACCTCCCGGTGGAAACCGCCAAGATCAACGTCGGCCTCAAGCCCGAGAGTGCGCTCATCGTGTACAAGTTTGTCGGCAAGGACAGCCACGTGCCGGGTGTTCGTCTCCGCGATGCGCTCGTGGTTAGCCCGACCCTCAATGAACCCGGGCCGTGGGGGCCAACGCTGCCCTTGGCGGACAAGTCGGTCGCGAGCATGTGGCTGCGTGGCCCGCTCAGCGACGCGCCGATCGTCGAGCTCGACGTGCAGCCCGACGGCCTCTCGACGTTTGTGACGCTGCGCGACCGGACGCGGAACCCGGAGCTTCGCATTGAGAACCGGTCGACGCAGTATGCGATTCGGTACGCGCAGCTCGGAGTCAAGCACGCGGAAGAGATTGTGTTGCCGCCGCGGTCGTGGCACTCGTATGCATGGGACATGCCGATTGGCAAGGACGTTCGGCTCAAGGTGTATGTGGGCTCGTCGCGCGTGCCGGTTCTTGTCGAGATGCAGTCGGTGCACCGACTCGAGCGACTCACGCCGGACGATGGCCACGTCTATCTGCACGGCGAAGTGTACATTGACGGTATCACGCGCGTCTTGGCCGTTGGCGACGGACCGGTCTACCACCACGACCGGCGGACGCTTGTGCCCGACGTGCTCTTTGACATGGCGCTGGAAGTGGGGCTCCACGGCCTCGGAGTCACGATCGTCGACGAGAGCCCGCGCGAGATCATGAACATTACGATGGAAGGGCTGCGCATGCTCTCGCCGGCGCACTCGCACAAGACAACGTATGAGCTGCATCATATGCAGCTGGACGACATGACGCCACACACCATGTACCCGATCTTTCTGGCGCCGATCGACTCTGGATTCAACAGCCACAAGCGCGAAGGCTGGCGCGCCGAGCACGGCGAGCACCCGTGGTTGCACGTGGTCATTGACTCGTACTATGACGGCGACATGCTCATTGTCGACGAGCTCTCGGCCACCATTGGGTCGCTCGCGCTCAAGGTCAACTTGGATTACGCGTTGCACGTGCTGGACATCATCTACAGCCTGCTCTGGCCGCCGCAAACCCATGACGAGATGGTCTTAGCGGGTGTCACGGCGTCGTCCGAGCTCTTGGCGCATCGTGTGATATGGCCCGACCCGTCGACGCTCGGCCAAAACATGTATGTGCGCGAGTGCTCGTTTTCGGCGTACGTCTTGCAGCTCTTTTTCAATTCGGACCCGGACGCGGCCAACTCGTACCTGCTCTCGCTCCTCGGCAACACGGCCGGGAGCATCCTCGGCGGGATCGCCCACGTGACGCCCGAGTTTGCGATCCACCCGCTGCGCATGGCCGACAAGTTTGTGTACAAGGACGACTTGATTTACAACATCATTCTCTGGGACAGCCTCATTGGCAACATGCTCGGGCAGTGGTACAAGGTGGTCGGCAGCCTCGAGCTCATGGGCGACCCCGTCGGCCTCTTGAACGAGATCACGGACGGCCTTGCGCTCGCGGCCCGCCAGACAAAGCGCGATTTCAAGGGCGAGTCGGACAAGAAGGGCCAAGGCGCGGTCATCCTCATGCAGACGCTGGTCGGCGCGCCGTCCGATGCGATCGGCAAGGCAGCGAACGGCTTTGGCGACATTTTGAAAAAGGCCACGTACTTTGAAAACCAAGAAGCTGACCACGAGCCACGACACGTGCCCGAAGGCCTCCTGCAAGGCGGCGTCCTCCTCGGAAAGTCGCTTGTCAACGGCGTCTCGGGCCTCGTGACCAAGCCCATGCAAGGGGCGAAAGACGATGGCTTCAAGGGCTTTGCCAAGGGCGTCGGCCAAGGCACGCTGGGCCTCGTCGCGTCGCCGTTGATTGGGACGCTCGGTGTCATTGAGAAGCTCTCGCAGAGCGTTCACAACACGACGCACCTCATGGACGACAAGGACTATGACGGCACGCGGCGCATTGCCCGCAAGCTCGACGCGGCGCCGCTCAAGTCGCTCTCCGAGTCCAACATCATTTCCGAGATGGAAGTTCGCATCGACCGTGTCACGGGCCTCGCGATGAACTACAGCGTCCAGGTCTATGTGCAGCTGGTCGAGCTCGATGGCGACGGCGTCCCGAGCCGCCTCGTCGACAAGTTCAAGACGGACACGCTGCGCAACACGGCCGCGCCGCGCTTCAACCAGTCGCGCGTCGTCGACGTGACGTCGGTGGACATGGCACTGCTCTTCGTCGTCGCCCACAAGCGCAAGCCGATACCAAAGAAGATTCTCGGCACGCTCAAGCTCTCGATCGAAGACGTGTACAAGCACTTTCACGCAATGCCGTCCCGCTTCAAGTCGAGTACGCTCGTCAAGGAGAAGCTCAAGTCGCGCAAGGTGCACGACGGCAGCCTCTTTACGAACGCCGTCCTCGGCGACGCTGACGAAGCCGACGCCACGGCAGCGAAACGACAGAAGAAGAAGAAGAAGGTGCCGACGTCTGCGTCATCCACCGCGCCGCTCTCGACGAATTCCGAGCCGGCGTGGGAAACCACGTTCAATCGCGCGAGCACACTTGGCAGCGAGATGCTGCTCGCAGACGCCAAGGACGACGACGACCGCGCCGAGTCGGACGCCAAGGCGCCGAGCACGGAACCGCTGGCGTTTGAGCTGGAGGCCGTCGAGGGCAAGCCCAAGATTTGGCTCGACATCAAGTACCTCAACTCGATGCGCACGTAGTAGGGAGACTTGGCAGCGCGCGGGATCGAACCTCGCGCTGCGAGTCGTGTAATAGAACTTTGATATCATTTCGTAGGAGTCCACGCAGTATGGGATGATGGACAAGGTGTGCATCACAGCACTCTGCAAGTAGTTGGTGGGCTCAAGGGTCCGTTTCATCGACCCTTGCATGCATGTGGATGGCCCGACGGGAAGCAAGACGCCGTTGCTAGCGGCGTGGACGAGTGAACCTTGAGAAAACAAATGCCCACCTCCGATAGTTCTGTGACATCAATCTTGCCTCGTGATCTTCGCGCCCACCGTGGCTGGTCTCCATGAAGCCCATGGGCGATCTTAGCTCCATATTCGCCGCTTGTTTCTACCAGAAACAGTCGGAAGATGTGCTATCAAGCCTTGTCGTCACGTCACGCTTCTCTGCAAGGAGCAACCATGTTGCTGCATCGTGTTGGGCATGTATAAGAATATCGGATTCAGATCTTAAATACGGGCACGCGTCACATCTCGCAGGCCTCTCGCAGCTCTTCGATGACGGTGTCGCACTCGATCACTTGGTACCAGAGGTCCATGCGCTTAAAGTCGTCAGCGTACGCGTTGAGGGCCGAGAGAACGTCTTGGAGCAGCGGCAGCCACTGGCAGAATTCGGACGGCTTGGTCGCGACGACGCTGCGGATGGTTTTGAGGCGCTTCAAGTAGATCGCACCGGTCGTCATGTCGAGGCCATACATGGTCGCATGGTGCACGAGTCGCTCGAGGTTGTCGAGGAGCCAAAAGTACTCGGACAAGAGGAGGTTCGAGCCCGTGAGGAGGAGACTTTTTGAGAGACTGCGCTTTGAGAGCCGGCTGCGCGATGGCTGGCGCGAGAGCTCAACGTGGCTCGACTTGGTCACGGCCGTCTGCTTGTACACGTGGGCGTCAAACGGCTCTGCCGCGCAGACGCTCAGGAGCGACGAGAGAAAGCTGATGGTGAAGCCGATGGCAAGCGTGAGGGTCATGCTAAAGGTGGCGTGCTGGGCAGGGTCAATTGGGCTCTGGTCGCTGCGTGGCATCTATCTGCCTCTGCTCTGGGCGATATCGCGCCAAGATGGAAATGATTGAAGATCATCGATCCATCTCGGTCGGCGAGGAGACAGTCACCACCAGATGGCGCCAAAATATTATTCAATCCGCCAGTGGACTCGACGTCGTCGTTGTATAGTGTACGCAGCGAGGGGCAATATAATTGCCGGGCGGGACACGCCCCCACTCTGCACACAAGACACGCTGTGGCAAAATGAAGCTGTTTGGTGCGTTGGCGGAGACGACAATCTGTCTTTGTGGCTACCGCGACGGGTGAGGGACAATCCGTTTCACCTCGAGTGACGAGATACACTGTCGGCGGATGATGCTAGCTACAGCTACTTGCTCTCGTGCGCGGAGGAGGCCTCCACCGTGGTATCTCAAACTCAACGCTGCATATCGCAGCGATTTTTGAGAAATGTGGCGCCAATAATGGTCCAAGGACCACGCCGCGACCGACACGGCGCGAAGAGCACCGTACAGTGTAGTGCTCTCGGACGACGTAGGCGAAGCAACCGCCGCCGATGGACGCCGCGCCACTTGTGCATGGCCACGAACCACGCTCGCTCGTTGGTCATGGGTCGAACCAGACTCGGCAAACGTTGAGGCATGCGAGTGTTTTCTGGACCCGTCGCGCATCAAGCCGCGCATGTCTCAGAGAGTATCTTCGTCGACACACAACGAGATACACTTTTTAGATAGTCGTCATAGGCCTTTATAGTCCAGACGAGCGCTCCACACAGCGCTGTGCCAACTCCGACGCTTGTGATGACGGCGTATTGTTCGGCTCGTGGACCTATTGCATCAATCATTTGCACGCAGAAAAGGAACTGCGTACCGACGCCAACGCCGCCGCAAGGCACGCGGCGGTAGCTCGCTTGTGTGTGAGCAAAGCGTGGTACCGACGCTCGGTGCTGGCCGCGTCGCCGCCGTAGCCCGCGATGAGCCGCTGCGTAAGCGCGGTAGCCACGTCCAACCTTTCGAGGCGTGATGATGCCGTGACCGGGGTGCCGAAACTCGCGAAAAGGACGTGCTTGACGGTCCAGACCCCGGGGCACGCAATCTGCTTGAACGTGTCTTGGGGCAAAACGTGCTGGATGACGAACGACGGCGCGCTGCCGTCGAGATTCACATCCGGTTTGCACGTCGCCTCGATGACGAGGGCCATGGGAACGCTTCTCGGACACAGACTTCCAAAGGTCCTAGAACACACACGGGTTCAAGGAGGCCTGCTCGAGAGTGCGTACGTCGTGGAGGCTGCCACGTGACATAACTCGGTGCCCAAACAAGCGGCTCGGACAACTTCGATGGCCGACGTCGAGCACCCCGCGGTGGCATTGCCGAAATGCGCCGCGTCGATCGTATCGATATGGTACGCGGCAGGGCACGCAAGCCGCAAGACCGAGGAGGCAGGCGCCGAGACGGAGATGGCGATAGAGCTCGGTCCATTGCCACAGAGAAACTGAACACTGAGTCGTTTGTATATTGTCGGGCACGGGTCGCCAAAGACACTACAGACGACACACTGTGCATCGGGTCGAAGAGAGACGCGCACCTATTGCTTGCTCGGAGGGTAAACGCATGCTGTCCCAGCGTCGTACGTGCTACAATCGACGCACTGCTCGCCGCGTGGCAGGATCCAAGGGAAAATGTGACGGGCGCAGTCGGTGGCGCGGTGGGTGCCCCCGTGTACGTCGGCGGTGGTACCGGTATCGTCACCGGAGTAAAGACTGGTGCATCCGACGTAGGCGCAACTGGCGCGCTGGTTGGTAGCGACATGGTGAGCTCAGGGCTCGACGAAGCAGAAGACGCCGGCGTATTTGATGGCTCGATGGAGTTTGTCACAGCCGTTGGTATTTGAGAGGTCGAGGGTATCGGTGGCTCGGTTGCCACTGGCGATGTAGTCGGCGCAGGTGTCGCGGGCGAATTACTGGATGGGGCGGGCGTTGTCATCGTGACGACTGGAGTCAGCGTCGTCGGCTCTGGTGTCGACGGTTCAGTTGGTACCGTTGTTGGCAGAGGCGTCGACGAACTTGGTGAAGCAGATACCGGGTTTGGAGTTCGTGGAGCCTCTGTAGGATTGGATGTCGATGTCTCTGGTGTCGACGTCGGATCCGGCGTTGGCAGCGGCGTTGCCGGAAGCTCAGATGACACAAGCGATGGCAGGGTCGTCTCTAATGGCGACGGATACGCAGTGTCTAGGCTCGTAGTCCCCGTACTTGGTAGCCCACTCGTTTCCATGGGTGCGGTCGAAATCGGTGGTGCTGTATCGATGACAACCACCGTTGATGTCGGTGCAGCGATCATCGAGGCCGTCGGTGGTGGTGTCGCACTTGGACTCGCCGGCGAGTTGGCAGACGCCGTCGGAGCCGCAGTTTCGGCGGGCGCAGTCGCTGACATGGAAGTTGACGGCGCGCAAGTCGGTGTCGATGGCAATGTCGTTGGCGACGCGACGGTCGTGCTTGCCTGTGCACCACTCGTACCCCACGGAAGCGTCATTGGCGGTGGTGCATTTGAGCTTCCCGATCCAGATGGCGCGCCACTGCTTCCCGATGGTGCCGGCGCCAGCGACGGTGTCGGCTCATCGCTCGGTGTGGTCGTCAGTGCTGCCGAGGTCGACGCCACCGGCGTCGTCGTCCGATACGCGCCACTTGTGGGAATGCTCGTGTGCGCACTTGGTACTGGCGTCGGATCGGTGTCATCAACGGGCGGCGTCGAGATGGCGCTCGGTGCGGTTGTGTTCTCACCCCAGTTGGGCGGAGAGGTTGATCTTGGTGGCTCCGTCGTTGCAACCGTTGCATGGGTCGTCGCTGATTCTGTCGTCGGCATCGGGGCCATCGATGGCAACGGCTCTGTGGTGTGTGGTGTTGTTGTTGGCGTTGAATCGATTGTCACCGGCGCTGTTGTCGGCTCTACTGTTTCCGTTGCCAAGGGCGCTGTCGTCGACTGGACCGTGGTATCGTTACTCGACGCAGTGCTCGTCGCTGGACTTGGAAGTATCGTCGCATACGGCCCCGGTGACGGCACCGGCGTCAGTGTCGGCTTCCCAATCACCGGTACGGGTGCCGTCGCTACATCGATGGGCGGCGCATCGGTCAATAGCGTGGACGTTTGAGTTGTTGTCGGCGAGGATGAACTCGCCGTTGTTGTCGGCACCGGTTCCGTTGTTGCGGTCGGTGTCGGCGGGCGCAATGTCACTGGAACCGGCGTCACGGACACCGATGGACTTGCCATACATGTCGTTTGAACCACATATGCAATGGCTTGTACGTCGTCGACACCGAGCGTTGCGGTCGGTGGCAGCTACCGACGTCATGAATGTCGATACCTTTTAGCATGTCAGTACTACACCTGTGCAATCGCACGGTTGGTACAGTTCCACAGCTTTTCAAAGAACGTAGCTGTGGCGTTGACGGCCACAATCGACGTATTCGCAGCCGTGGCGTCGGCGATCGCAGCGACCTTTTGCTGCAAAACAAAACCAAGGATCGCGGTGCGGGTAAAGCGTGGCAGTGCCGAGCCATTGCTCCCGGGCACCGGTGGCAGCGTCGGTGGCACGAGCACGATAGGCGGCGCCGTCGGCGCCGTGTGTGTGCATTTGGCTTGCAGTAGCGCCAGCGCTTCTGCCCAGTTGTCGTATGACGCAAGATGGTGCGTCTCGCCGAGCTACATCTCGGTATATCAGAACAAAGGGCTAGATTCTTACTCTACCAAGACATATTCCATACCCGCTTGTAGCCGCTCGTGAGGCACTCTAAAAGCGTGTCGTAGGCGTCGGACACGGACGTTGCAAAATTGGCCGATGCCACGTGAGCCTGGAAGCGCGCAATGGCTTCGTCGCGCTGCAACGCTGCTTCCATCGCATACAAGACGTCGAGCTGCGTCGATGCTTCCAACTGGATGACGTCGGGGGCGGTGCGCGGCGGCGCCATGAGGTAGAGACAGCAAAGCACGACGAGTATCACGCATGTGAGCAGGCCACGACGGTGATGACGGCACTTTGCCCCATCATCCTGACGCCGCGAGGCTACCGGTAGGTGGGATAGGCTCGTACCGTAGCCTAAGAATGGCATTTTGGACGTCGATGCACGACGACGACTTGGTCGAATCTCGACTAGCCGTTTCAAATCCGATCTTATAAGATCGCAATACGCTATATTCTGCTTTGATCACCTTTGCGGATCACCTCAAAATGTCCTTTCTGATGCCTTCCGCAAGAAGTGCTGGACGTGGAGGTTGGTTGCTCGAGGTGAAAGAGAGCTCTTGGCGGAGATCATACAGACACTGTAGCGAGCAAGATTCCAGCGACATGAGAATACGCGTACCTCGCAAACATGGATGCTGAGTTTTCAGACAAGGTGCACTCTCGACACCACAAGAAGTGGATCACCTCGGACATCAAAACTGCAGAAGCAAGCATATACAGACTTCCGTGGTACTAGCTGCCAAGGTCCATACGTGATCCCAGCGGCCATCCACTACCATACCTCAAAGCCCAGCACAGTCGACATACAATACAGAAGCAATAACAGTATTACGTAGTTAGGGTTGGCTGCCTCGTGAGGATGGTACCGGCCCGACAGCGCTTGTCGTTGGCCGGAGTCGCTTGGCCGGGCGGTTCGCGGTCGCGTCGTCTGGCAGCGCGCCGCCAATGGCCATGCGCACCATGGCCACGCTGCACTCGAATTGGTGCTTCATCAAATCGACCTTGTGCGTCTTTTCGTCCAGAGCGGCTTGGAGCTCTCGAGTGCGCTCCAGGAGCGCGTCGCGTTCTTCGAGGACGCGGTCCAGCGCACGCTTATGCGAGGCGGGCGTACTCAATTCCGCGCGCAGGTCGTCAATGGCTTTCGTTGCATTGTCCAGCGCAGAGTGCACCGAACTGACTTGCGCCGAATCGAGGTCAGCGGCAGCAAGGGCTCGCTGGCAGACGCGCGTTGCTTGGGTGCGCTCGGCGTCTGCCTTGGCCTTCTCGTCCATGATCCACTCTATCTCGTCGTCATGGTCGCACTGCATGGCGACGGCGGCAGCAGCCAAGGCGCCCGCAATGGAGGCGGTGACGGCCGCCGTCACGGCAGGAACGACGACCGCTCGGCGATAGTCGTCCATTCTTGGAATCACGTCCGGTTATGCCACGGAAAACACGACGCGCGGATTGGCCAAAATGATTCGATTCCGATGTTTTCATTGGACAAAAGACTCTTTCCCGCGGTTTTCGTCGTGGCACGTCCATAGCGCAGCACGGTACCGACTCGCAGCACATAGCGAGGTCTTGTCGGGGTACCTCTCTGGATATCGGCAAGAACTCAGTACTAGGCAGGTTGCGCAGTGCAACGTAGGCAGCTAGGCCATTCAATATCTCGACACGAAACACGGAGTCGCCGAACGCTGGCGATGATCCCACCGTGAAAGCCCTACATTTTACGATGACAATGGCTGCAACGCTAAGGTAAGACCAGGAAATAAGACAATTCTTATTCTCTTGACGAGCCCGACCCCTACTCCATTCTGTGTCCGCCTTGACGAGTACTAAACTAGTACGTAAACAAAGCACTTGATCGATGCGATGAAAGGCTGCGATAATTACGAGCCGAGAGCTGGCTGAGACGGTTATGTAGCATGGGGTGCTGCGATTCCCTTGAAAACAAACGACAAGTCGATTTCAGCGCAACTTGACCACTGCTGATCGATGAACGTACTACACTTGGTTTGCGAGGCAAGAGAATTGGATGAACCTTGGTTGTTCCCATGAGTACGATCGATACGTGCCATCGACGGAGAAGCATGTCGAGACGTCACGTCAGCGAACCAGGCGCAAGTCGACGGTTCCAAACGCCTCGACATCAACGACTCAAAACCAGCGTATCGATTGCCTTCATTCGTCTCGTTAGCCGCTGCATCGGCAAGCTCCGAGAGGTCAAACACATATAAAAAACCATTGAAAACGACTTAAACTTGGCCGTCTCGCACTCCATTCGTCGAGGCTGGGGCTAGCCGCGCAGTCGCTTGGCTTGGCGAGGCGAGCTTGCACTCGAGTTGATCAACATCCTACGCGGATCCGCGCTGCCAACGGCGGAGCGCACTACGCCCAAGCGCTGCTCGTACTCGCTCGTCATGTCGTCAACCTCGCGACTCTTGTCGCGAAGGGCCGCTTCCAGCTGCTGGGCGCGCTGCAAAAGGTCGTCGCGCTCCTTCTGCACTTGGTCCAACTCCAGCTTGTGGGCATCCGGCGTCCGGATGTCGGCTTGAAGGTCCTGAAGGGCTCTGATGGCGGCCTCGAGCGTTCCGGAGGTGAGCGGTGCCACTGCGAGGTCGCGGGCTGCCAGCGCTTCTCGGTGGCCGCGCTCTGCTTGCTTGCGCTTGGCGACTACCTGGGCCTTTTCCTGCCTGATCTGCCCCAGCTCTTTCTCATGGTCGCTGTCGTCCATGGCCACGGCTGCAGCGACAGCGGCCATCGCTGCGGCAATGATGGCCACATCGTCGTCGTGCATGGTGCGATGGGCAACTCGACCAATGGCTCCATCCCTAATATGAAGCACGTGGATTGGCTGAAATACAACTGCATCCGGTGTTTCGATTGGGCGAACGGTCGGCTGTCGTGGCACGCTCTCCGCGCAGCACGAGGTGCAACGTCGCAAGCACCCTCATCCAGCGAGAATCGCAACGAGCAAAACTGGTTGCATTGAGTCGAACTAAAGTACGTTCCAAAGCGTTCATCTTGGCACGCTATTCACCTTGTGTTGGCACAGCGAGAATCGAAGCCAGCGTAGCAAGAACATACGGTTGGTACCGTGGGCTTATACATGTCCAGTACCATTTGACGTTAACTGTGAGTTGGGGACAATACGACAGCGCTTTAATGGCCGACGGTGCTCTTCATGGTCGATCGGTGATGCATCGACAGCGCGCACGAGCGACGGCAGCTCCACCCCGACACGTACGTCGACTGTGTCCACCGAAGGCTCTGGTACGGCTCGTTGCGGCGTCACATCGCTGGTCGATGGCGGTGCGCCACGCAGCGCCGTGCGAACAGCCTCCAGGCGCGGCTCGTACGTGCTACGCACGGCCGCGATCTCCATCGTCATTGCTCGCTTCTTGGCTTCCAGCGCAGCGATGCGCGCGTCAAGGTCGCCGCGCTCGTTCGTGATACGCGCTAGCTCTTGCTGGCGAGATGCGTATCGTGCTTGTGTAAACTCGGCGCGCAGCATCGCAAGCGCGTGCGTGGCCTGGCGCGCGCGTGCCAAGCTGGCGTCGCGCGCCTCTATTGCTACGTCGCGCTCGTCCCGCGCGGTATCGCGCTCGTTCTGCATCTGGTCGATGGCCATCGCGAGCAGGAGACGGCTGCTTCTATAGTTCGGCCGCATGAAAGCGAAAAGCATGAGCTGGGACGCGTCCAACGAGTCGTCGTCGTCCGCCATGGCCGCTTCTCCCTGTCAATCGGAGTCCAATCTCCGTATAACAATCGCCATATCCGGAATGCACCCCACCATCAATCTGGCCCGTCATTCGACTCGAACGAGTACAACTTGTTCGACAGCACTGGTTCTGGTATCCCTCCAATAGGGTTAATAGTTTATACTTGTACTCTACCGTATTTCGGTCTCGATACCGGAATCTTAGCCTAGTAGCAAGGACAGACTACCAAAAATGCAACCATTGTCCTTGAAGTCCGAAACCACGCGAATCTGCACACCGTTGCCAACCACTTCGATCACGTGACTTGCTACAGCCATCGAGCCGTTAGTCAACGTGCCACTGCGATGTCGAACGCTCTACTAGTAAATTTTAATCAAGACATCCGATCGGCGCTCTACAAGCGCTGCAACAGTGTCCCGCTGAGCGAGATCGTCGCCCGCCAACGCTGGCGCCTGCTGGGTCACGTGCTGCGCCTGGAGAAAGACGTCCCTGCCAACATTGCCGCCGCCCGCTTCTTTGCCGCTCCCGAGGCGCCTCGTTTTTTAGGCCGCACCAAGATCACGTTGCCGATCGTCCTGCACCGCGACCTCCAGTCGTTGACGCCGCCTCAGTCGCTGGCGTCTCTCGAGGACCTCAACAAACTGCGTAGCTTTGCCGCCGATCGCGACGCCTGGAAGGAATCCACGGAGCTTGTCATCATGGGCCTCACCCGCGGCCACAAACGCCGCCGCGCGACTACAGAAGAACAAGATGCGCCCCCGCGCCGCCGCCTGCGCAGCCACGGCCCGGCGAGCGAATGACGAAGAAGGAGATTGCTAGTCTCTACGTATGCGAACTCTTTGTAACAACGAAGATAACGCGAAACACGTTCATATATATACATCCGATCGGGCACAAAGCGCGCACCACGTGCCACAAGAAAAAAGACATTATTATCCAACAATCGTGGTACTTTCGCTTTAAAGTATGTGGATTCGACGCACGGAAGAGGCATCGCTGGTGGGCGCCGGCCGAAGGCGCTCGGCGGCCGGGATCTCCATCTCCGCAACTGCGGCAGGGGATGGCTGAGGAGCAGCTGCAGGCGGCGGCAGGACACCAACGCCGCTCGTCGCCATGCGTACGACAGACAAGCGATGTTCGTACTGGTTCTTGATCGCGGCGGCCTCTTGGCTCTTCTCGCGGAGCGCGGCTTCGAGGTCGCGGACCCGCTGCGCAGCGTCGTCGCGCTCCTTGATGGCGCGGGCTAGCTCGCGCTTTCTTGACGCTTGGGTGGGCGTATTAATGCTCGAGCGCAGGTCGCCTATGGCCTTGGTCGCGGCGCAGAGCGCGCTCTGCACGGAGGCGACGCGCTGCGAGCATTGGTTGCTCGCCGCGAGAGCCTTGTCCCGGGCGCGCGCGGCCTTCTTGCACTTGAGGATGGCATCCTCCTTCTCCTGCAGTGCCTCTTCAATCTCTTCTTCGTGGGCGGCCACTGTCGCCTCTAAGCCCTCGGCGAGGTGGCTCAACGCTTGGACCACGCCGTCCATGATGCTTGGTCGTGGTATGGAACCACCTTGATTTGGTCATTGTATCCGGGATCATCCGGATATACGTCGATTGGATTGGCCAAACAAAATGAATTGCCGCATCGGATTGGACAATGAAAGCGTGACGCTCCCTCCCGAGGAGTCCAGCATTCATTCTCCACATTGTAGGGGTTCTCTTCACCGTGTACTCCACGTATGCAACTCCAAGCCAAAAGCGACCAGGACTCTGACGTCCTGGACGATGTTCGAGATCGAAGTGGTGATCCTGGTGCACAAAGGAGTAGCAACGCTGCTGGTGATGAAGGCAAGCCGACGCATCACATTGTCCCTCGTCGCAGTTCCTTGCGGTTTGTAAGGGCCATGCTATCGGCTCGAGGTTAGGTTGACGCGTCCCTGCGGTGCACAAAGTTCCTTGATTTTATGCGCGGCTGTCCATATTGCAGCAAGGATTAGGTAGTACAAGATACTGCACGAGGAGTACCACGTAGCAACATCCTCTTGCTCGTTCGGACCCATTGTCCATGAGGAAGTATCTAGAAGGGAGCCCATCATTCGAGCGCGTCGAGTTGAGTCGGCCATCGCGACAAAAGATGGTCGACAAGAGTCATTTCGGGATGCATGCTGATGCAACGAGACCTCGACCATATATCCTGTTCACCTCGGCCGGTAGCCAAAAAAACATTCTCGCAGAACACAATAGTATGCATCAATATAAATCTATGTGTGTGTTGAATTTAGCCTTTTGCTAGTGCAGAAGGGTCGATTCGCATGTCGTACTGACACATGATTGCTAAATGGCGGGCGGTTCCGCGACAACGAGTCGACGCTTTGTGGGCCGCGTCACAGCCTCGTCACGTGACGTGCGCGGAGCGAGGCGTGGCGCGGTGCCTCGGTGGGCTGGTGCTGGCGCCGTGCTCTGGCTTGGTGGAGCGGGCGCCGTGTTCTGGCTCGCTACAGCGGCTCGCGGGACAATCAGGTTGCTCGCGACGGGCCGCACCCACCGGTCCGGCGCGGCGCTAGCAGCTCGCTGGTCCGCTGGGAGGAGTTGGCGCAAGGCTTCCAGTCGACCTTCATAGTGCTGGCGAACGTCCACGATGTCGCGCGTGGACTGGTGGAGCGAGGCTTCGAGCGCTTGTACGCGCAGCTTGAGGTCGTTGCGCTCCTCCGTGACGACGTCCAGCGCACGTTTCAGAGACGCTGCCGTGTCGGCTGTGGCTTTCAACGCCTCGGCCTCCTTCTTCGCGGTCGCCGCCCGGGCGCGGCTGCTGTCGCGGGCCTCGATCGCTGCTTGGAGCTCAGTTTCAAGCCGCTCGACCTCTTCCTCGTGCGCAGCTTCCATCTCCGCCACGCTTGCGGCGAAGACCATCGTCGTGGTGCGCAGCGCATTGTGTGCTTGCTTCTCCAGGACGTACTCGTCGTAGTAGTCGGCCATGCTGCAACCACTTTGATGCGGTGCTGGCTTATCCGTATGTGCCACCCACATAGGATTGGTCGAAATACGGCCCATCAGCGCGTTTGATTGGTTGTTTTGCTCGTTGGCGTAAATCCACGACACCCTCGTCAAGGAATCCATGCTGGCTCAAGCAAACAACACGTACGCGCATAGATGCTTCTTACGATGAGCGAAGAGCATGCTTACCACGGATGGGACTTGATGGTAATGTGGTTGTCATGCGCGAGAAGCGACGCGATTTCCGTCATTGCCTCGGATGCGCGCAGGATAACAAAATTTCCTGAGAGCTTTGCGTGCGGCGCATCAGTGAGTACAAAGACATCGGAGTCGGCCATAACGTCAGCTGACTTCAAGAGGATTCGAACCGCCGCAAGCGTCGTCGTCTTCGACAACATGGCTGCCACTTTTTTCTTGTCCGTGGAAAAGTACACAAATCTCTTGGACATGACCGAGGCGTGACCAAAGACAGAGTGCGCATGTCGTCCAATGCAGTAACACGCGATGCTGGCAAGTTTATTACGTTGGTTCGACCTTTTCAACAGGCGATGGGAAGCGACCGCAGCAATACCAGTACTCTTACACCCCATGTACACTTGGTACGAGTCGTGCGATACCAACGCGTACAACTTCGTCCGAATACTTTAAAATATACTATGTTTCATTCTGTCGAAGGTGGCTCTGTCGCGCGACATGGCCGCTTGGACGGACGACAAGGAGTCTCTTTGTGCGAAGCTGCCAAATCGGAACCTCTTTCGAGCCCCTCGGCACCACTCGCTGCTCGCGCGGCAACTGTCGACGTAGCTTTCTTGGGCATTGGTCCATCGATCGCGCTGAACACGCTCTCGAGGCGAGCTTCATACTCGCGGCACATGGATTCGGCCTGACCTGTCATCTGCAGCACGTCGGCCTCGAGCACGTCAGCGCGTCGCTTGAGAGCGTCGCGCTCCTTTGCGACGAGCTCGATCTCGGCCTTGAGAGCTCCGTGCGCCGATGCGTCAAAGTCGGCTTGAAGCGCCGCCAGCGACTTGGCCATGGCGGTCACCTGCGACTCGGCGCGGTCGCCAGCAGCCTTGGCATTCTTGCGCTCTCTGCAAAGGCTCTCAACCTCCAGCTCGGTGTCATTTCTCGCCTGGAGGGCCAGGATGGCCAAGGACACCATACTTCGGGGCACGTCCGGCTTCCGCACCATCATCGCCACCGCGGTCTCCAGCGCGTCCATGGCTCTTGACTCGAATTGCAATTTGGAAGCGTATCCGGATGCTCCGGAAACGACGTCGTTTGATTCGCTGGCATGATTCGATGCATTCTTGCGTGTGATTGAGCAAATATTTGAAAAACCCGCCCTCCGCATCAACACGGCAATAACGTTAACCCTCCCAGACAAGAATTGCGATGCTCTCCAGGACGCTCCCCAGTTTCAACAAGGGTCCATTGACAACTCGTACGGGCTGTTTGAATCAGCTCCCGTACGTCGACTGCACCACCTGCTACTAGTTCAAACGAGGCCCGTTTGCGAGAGTACTGTGTCGCTGCCTGAGGCAAAATGATTAACCCTTCAACGCCCAACTTTTTATGCGGATAATTTCAACAGAACAACACTCTTCACTCTGGGACGTCAAGTGCTTTCAAGACATCGTCTGACTCCATGACCTTTCGTCTTTCAAGCCTCGTCCAACGTCGCAGTCGGCGGCCAACTCAAACTTGCGGCGCTGTGCGTTTCCAGTGAAAAGTACACTAGGCTGAGCGTCGTCGTGATTGTGTCAATTGAAAAAAAGGTACAAGAATACAATTCCTGCTACGGAAGGAGGCACGAGAGAATGAGTTCTTTCCGGTCCACGGGCGACGCGACAAGCGATTCGAGCAGCACGATGCGACACGCCGTCTTGAGGTTGGGCACTTGGTTGCTAAAGGCACATGCGACCGCGTAAATGGCCTCGGCCTGCGCTGGCGCCAATTTGTGCATGAGGTCGGCTTCGCACCGACGGGTGAGATCCCACGTCTCGAGTCCGATGCTGCACGTGAGTAGCTCCAAGAGATCGTCGACCATCAAAGCCTACATCGTCCGCGCTAACGTGTATCATCGTCGAAAACCGAGCCGTCGTACCTGGCGCCACCGTCGTGTGTACAAGTACACAATAGCATCGTACGCAGTCGCCTGACTGCACGCCAGTGTCAGCTGGTCGTGCGTCTCGAAATGGCGTTGCAGGTGCGTCGACTGCGCCGCCAGCACCGCGCGGTGGCACCGAAGCCGGCCGCCGTCGCGGTCAACCACATCAATATCCGAGAGCCACGCGTCGGCGAGCAAGTCGTCCATATCGGCAGCTCGCCACGCCTCTTGTAGCGCTACCCACCATGGAATTGACGTACGACATGGATTCGAGCGTCCATACCTTGCATCTCGGTTGCAGTCTTGTCTGGGATCGTCGTAAGCAAGGCGCCGCGAAACGGGTCCCACGCGTCGTCCATGGACCACTCGTGCCAGTGCACGAGGCTCCACACACACAGTGCCTCAAGCGGTTGCACAAGGAGCTCGTTGGCGAGGCACAATAGCTCCCATAGCGTCTTTGCCGACACGGCCTGCAGCGCCGCGACATTTGGCGCGTACACAAGGCTCACAAAGAGCTCGACGACGTCGCATGGCGCGTGGACGGTGTACGAGGCGACACCGGACGTGGCCCACGAGCCGGCCCAGAGTGCCCGCAGCACGGGGCTCCGGCCAACGAGAACGGCTTGGTGGACATGGACGTGATAAGTTCCGTCCAGCGTCGACAAGATGCCGTCGGTCGGCGCACTCGATGCGTACACCGTGTACGGGGCCAGCAGCGTCGACGGCGGTGGCTGCTGGGCCGCGTGGTGGGCCTTGATAAAGTCGATGCAGGCGACGTCGACGGCGCACTCAAAGCCCATGAGCACTTCAACGCACGCGTAGTCGTGGCGCATGAGTGCGAGCAAGAGCGGCGACCGCAGCTGCCGGTCGCGTTCGTTTGGGTACCCGCCATGGCCGAGCAGCGCGCGGAGGCACTCGCTGCGGCCGAGCTGCACCGCGAGGACAACAGGCGTCATGAAATGTGCATTTTCGACCAAGAGTAATTTCTTCCCGGCCGCCGAGAGCACCTTGTCGACGCACGCGACGCAATCAAAGCGCACGGCGAGATGCAGGAGCGAGTCGCCATGGACCTTGTCGGTTTGGTGCAACGCGAAACTCGGCGCGATCGGAAGCACGAGCGAGAGACTGGTGACGTAGCCGCAGCTGACGCTGAGCTGCAGCGGCGAGAGCAGCGTCGCATCCGACGGATATCCGTGGACAAGAACCAACTCGACGAGCGCTGGCGACGGCATCGCGAGGTACAGCGCAGTCTGGAGCGAGTGGTCGTGCACGGTAGCGTTGGCGCCAGCGCGAAGGAGACAGCTCACAACGTCCAAACTGTCCCGCGACTTGGCTGCGACGGCCGCAATGATGGCGACGAGCAAGGGTGTCTCTCGGCTCTTGTTGCGCGCTTCGAGCTTGCTCTTGGAGAGCAGCGCACGGACCGCGTGTATGGACAAGGCGCTACCATATCTTGATGTGAACATGGACACGATCCATGCGTACGCACCGACACGCGTGGTGGAGCGGCGTGTTGCCCTTCTTGTCGATGGCCATGGCGTCCGCGCCGTGCTGCACGAGGAATTTGATCGCATCCACGTGTCCATACTGCGCGGCAACGTGCAGAGGCGTCTGCTTTTTCCGATCACGCGACCCAAGGCCGTCCGGCGCGACCGCCTGGAGGCAGTCGAGCACCTAGTGACCATATTATGTTTCAATATGGACGACGATTGCGAGAGAGGTGCCCACTTGAATATGGCCGCTCATGGCCGCGAGGTGCCATATACTGCGCTTGTCCTCGTCGCGCTCGTCCCACAGCAGCAACGATCGGTGCTGGCTCAAGTACGTATGGATCACGTCGAGGTCGGCGCGGGTCAAGGTGGGTCTCCCCAACATTGGCCAGATCACGGATCGCCACTCGGTCCGCATCGCTGTCGCGTGCGTCGACGCAGCGTGCGTCGATGCTACGGGCAGTGGCGCCGCGACGTGGGTTGTCGTCTTGGGTCGACTCCACTCGTTTGATGTATACTCGCCTTCGTACGCCGTGATGTCCCCACGCACTTTGGACTGTGCAGCAAGCTCGATGAAATACCCTGGACGACGGCTCACCTTTGTCGTCGTCGGCGCAGCTTCTGGTGTCGGCGCTGCTGCTTCTGGTATCGGCGACAACGCGTCTTTGCAATGGTCTGGCTGCTGTATATGTGGCTCGTCGTTGGGTGGAGTAGCCGTATTACGCACGCGCTCCCGCCAGAGCTGCGCCTTGGACGTTTTCACGTTCTTCTTCTTCGTCTTCTTCTTGCGCTCATCCTTGGCTTCCAAAGCCACTGGAGGTGGGCTTTCGATGGCGACGGGTTCTGGCGGCTTGACTGCCTTGGGCTGCAGGCGGTCAAAGCCGTCCGGCAGCGTGGGCGGTGGCGGGGCAGGCGCTTGGGGCGGCTGGGGCGGCGCCTTGACCTTCTCGAAGCTGAGGACGCGCGCCGGCAGCTGCAGCTTGGGCTCGACGAGCGACGGGAACTCGTGGCGGAAGGTCTGCTGCTGGGCAGGTACAAACTCGGGCGCCTGGGCGCGGAGCCCGTGCGACGCTGCCATGACGCACGCCGAAATTGCATCTCGTGGGCCAATGGCATCCGTTATTGCGCTCACAACAAGCCAATCACACGCCACTTGTTTTGACCAATCAGAGCGCCCCGATGGCGATCCTGAAAGCATGAGCAAAATGGCCAAGGACTCCTCTAAGCTGGGAAAGGAATGCGAGCCTCGTCCAGCAGTGTGAATTACGTCGGCAGGGTCGCATCGACTATTGTACTACATATGTCTACGCTGAGCGTCTCAACTCAACGGAAGACCAAGCTACTTTACCAGGGCAAAGCCGCGCCAAATCTACCTCTACCGACCGTCACCACGTATGTCATTGCGTGGATCGAATCAAAATCCGTCAGGAGGTGCCTCGTGTGTCAGGCGCGGAGCCGGGCGACTCTCCAATCGGTGTCCTTTCTAGAGAGCCTTCCTGCCGGACCGTGGCGCCAATCAGACGCGCCGGTTTCGATCTTTTGGAACGGTCGCGGTCGTGATGCCCATCGATGATGTCCGGCACGAGCGCGTCCAGACGGCGCTGGAGCAAATGAACGAGATCTCCATCTGTAAGCTACTGCAGCTAGGCACTTGATTCTATCCATGTCGATAGCCAAGATCCACCGGGATGCAGCCAAAGCCACCGCCAGCGCCAAGCGCGACGAGTCGTTTGAAGCGCGCATCGATGCGATCCTTGCCACCACAAAAGAAATCGCGGAGCGGTTGCAGCGAAAGCACCACGACGACGACGACGCCGGGCACGACGACGAGGGCGACGATTTTCCATCATGGACGATGACGCGCACGCGTCGGCGCTCCTGAAGCGGCAGCTGAGCCGCTTCCTCAAGCTGCCGCGCTCGCTGAGCCACCGCGAGATGGAAGAGGTGCCGTCGTCTTCGTTGCTTCAAGGCTTTCCTATGGAATATTCGCTTAGGTCACGCACTTGGTGCTGCATCAAGTGGGCAACACGCCCGACCATAGCATGCTCATGCATGAAATTGGCACCCTCATCGACGAGCATGTCATTACGCCGCGCGAGGTCGACGACGAGCACGAGCGAGACATCAAACACCGGCCATCCTTGGCAAAACGCCGTCAAGTACTTTCTACCTTCTCTGTCAGGTGACTGGACGTGGGTCAAACTTGCATTAGAAAGAGCTGCCAACCCTTGACATCCATCCGACAACCGACATTGAAATGGTTGAGCTTCGACCCCCGATGTCGCTCACGCTGTTGGTAGACCCAGCGCATGCTGTTTGTGTCGGCCAACCGACTTAAATCCACGTCCATGCGCGTGCGTCTTCGTCTTCTGTACTATGCAATCATTGCATGTGGCTGGTCTCGTAGGGCGGATTCAACAACGAGTCATTTTTGCGCTCCCAAAAGGCCACCTTTTCGCTGTTTCCCAAGCCGAGCGAGCGGACGCTGCTGCCCAAGCTCTCGTCGTGCAAGAGCCCCAAGATGACGGCGCAGGCCGAGGTCGAGCTCGCCGAGCAGCGCGCGCGCCAAGCCGAACTCGAGTGGCGAGAGGCCGTACGTCGTTCGTGTCGTGCAGCCCACGCGTCAACGAGGATGTAGGTCAAGCAAGACTATATCATTTGGCTCCGCGCCAAAGCCGAAGCCGAGGCCCACGAGAAGAGACACCGCCACGCGTCGCAGTCGACGAAGCGCAAGCACAAGCCGCGATGGCTGCTGCTCTACGAGGATGCGCGGGCGCACCAAGCCGTGCTATCGCCCATGCTCTAGTTTGTCCGAGAAAGGTCATAGTAGTAGCACAAAGACACTGCATATACTGATAAGTTGAAATAACGACGACTAGGACATGCAAGCGGACTAGTGTTGGACGTGTTGTAGCCGCTGCTGCTGCTTGGCGTACCGGGTGGCGATGTAGGCGCACGACGGCTGCACCGAGAGGCTCCGCGCCGCAGCAAAGCGAAAGGCTTCGTCGCAGAGGGCCTTGGCGACGCCATTGCCGCGCCCGTCCGGCAGCACGTAAGTCCGGCGAATGTCCATGACGTCGCCCTAAACCACACAAATGAGGCGGCAGGCCTTAGGCAAGTAGCTGCGGTAGTGTGTGTACCTGGATGCGGTACTCGAGGAAGCCGAGCAGCGTGGACATGTGGCTCGTCGACGACTGCGCCTCGCATGTGAACTGGTGCTTGTCCGGGATGTGCTGGACGCGGCGCGCCATGGCTCGTAGCGCAGCCTGCATGCGTCGTCGGCGGAGCAGGTTGCGGAGTGGCCGGGCCCGTCGCCGTGTTGATGGATCATTCCGGATACGCCGTTTTCACTCGGTATCCGAATGGCAAGTTGAACGACAAAAAGGGGTTTGACGTGACTCACAACGCGCGAAACGCTGCGGTTTAACGCATGTGACGCCGTGGTCCTTTGCGGCGTTGCTGCGCGCCTGTGCCAAGCGATGCCGATCCCGCACGTCGCTGGCGCCTATGTAGTATGGCAGACGTTGGGGCTGCGGCTCCTTGGCGTGGTATTTACGACTCGGTATCGAGTCTCGTCGTGTGGCAAGCCGTGATCCAGACATGTCAGCGTCGGTGTCAGCCTTGCGTTGGCTGGACGTAGAAGCGCAAATTGTCTTGTTGAAGAAGAAGCTTGGGCTGCACGTTCCACTCTGTAGAGGATCCTTGGACCTCGGCAGAGAACTCGACGGGCCATTATTATCAGGTTGCACCACCAGCATTCTGAAACGACCTGGTTCAACGTGCGTGGTTTAACGTGTTTAAACGTGCTGCGCGGGGATTGGTGCGTTGACAAGGCAGCATGGCAGCAGGGCGAGGGCTCCTGGATCGCGTCGTCGGCCGCCTACGTGGCGCGCTGCCGTCGCGCGACGCCAAGGTACGATGGACGCTTGCCTAGCGCACAGACTCATGTGCATGTAGGCGGCGCTGCTCCAGGCGAAGGCCAAGGACATGGCCGAGGCCGCGACGTCCGCAACGACGTCGCGCTTGACGCAGCTCCAGGCACAGTCGTCCGCGCAGCTGCAGGAGACGCGCGCCCGCGTCCTATCAAGTGCCCAAGCGCTCGCTATGTCGTCCAAGGCGAGGCTACAAGACATGGGCGCCTCGGCTGTCGATGCCTCCAAGCACAAGTTGCAGGCTGTCGGGGCGTCGACCGCCAATGCCGCCAAGCACAAGTTCCAGGCCGTGCGATCGTCGGCCACCCATGTCGCCAAAGAAACGCTACAGCGAGCGGGCGGATCGTTGACGGACGCTTCCAAGAGTGTGGCGACAAAGGCTCAGCAGCAAGTGACAAAGGTCTCCCAAAACGCGCTGGGGGGCGCCGTCAAGGCCCACGCGTCCACGCTGCAGCGGCACTTGGTGGAATCGATGGACCCGAGGGAGAAGGCACGCAAGCTGCGGAACCAAGTGCTCTGGTTCGTCTTTTCTGCCATCTTTGTCTACGGCTTTGCGTCGGCGATCCCTCCGGCCATCTCCAAGTACCTCGTTGAGAAGGAGCGATTGGCCGCGGCGCAGCCCTCGCGTGACGAAGCCTAGGTCGTTCTGTGCAGTGTCGATGTCCTTTGACACCGACGCTCATCGATTGGACAAGTACGACGCGATACCGCTGGCATCGAAAGGCCATTGGGCGACGACCAAGGTGTAGTCTCTCTCTCGACAAAGAAACATAAGTTACCATTTTCCGTTGGTCGAACGCGTGGAGTAGCAATTCAATACCAATCCATTCGTGATGCTTGACACGCCTTGCAGCTGGTATCACCAGTGCACAGGTGTCTTCAAAGGAAGCCTCTCACACCAAGCTAGAAACAACCAACATGGGCACATGCGCGTGCGAGAGAAGCGGCGTTTGCTTCGGACCGCCATCGGCAGGCTCGAGGCCGCGTCGTTGAAACACAAGGCAACAATCCGGAATCCGGAACGACCACAACGGGTCCAATCGACTTGGTCCAGCGCCACAAAAGAGAGCAAAGTACCAGGTGCGCCGAGGTCGGATGATCCGAACCCGCTCACGAAAGCATGACGATAACGACTCGTCATGCCAACGCGCGTGTCGTGCTGGCATGGCCTTGCTGCATGGTAGGGCACTCGCATCGACAGTTGCTCATTGCTCGAAACGTCCAACGCGACGAGGCACCACCGAGTCACCCCAGGCAATAAGAATACCGTGGGTTCAACCACCGTCGAGCTGCACCGTCGACAGCGCGGCGCCACACGTATTGCCGACATGTTGTCCTTCGCCACGCACAGGTTTCACATGGCCCGTTCGCACCTGCAACAGACAGTGGCTCCGTCCAATATGGTCACGGTCGAGTGCCGTCCCAAGAGCGCCGAGATGACGATGCTTCACGCCAACGACGCGACCAAGTCAATGGCGCAACTGCTGCACGAAGGCAACGAGCGAGCCGTCCTCGACCGCCTCGAGCAGCCCACGCTGTCGATCGACGAGCTCACCAAAGTGTTCAAGGTAGTCCTTCCTCCTCGTTCTCGCTGGTGTCGATGGCCACGTAGAGCAATGACGCCCTATGCACTGCCGTTTGCATTGGATATACGGACGTCATCCAGCGACTTTTGGCGAGGCCAGACGTCGCATCGCTTCCAGACGTAGGTTTAGCGTGGCTTGTACTGTACTCGTTACGTTATATTCGCGGCGGGTGGTCAATAGTACGTTCTCCAGCCGCTTGTGCTGGCAACGAAGCGCGATCGCGCCGACATCCTCGCACTCTTTGCCGCGCGCAACGTAGCGTGGATCACAACCTTTGGTGGCACCGTAGGCAATCTCCCTGAAATGACATGTTGTGCACATAATTTGTAGACATTTGCGCGAAAATATTGCGGCGGGCTCTCGCTGCTGCACTACGCGGCAAGCAACCATGCCCACAACGTGCTTGTCTGGCTCTTGGACCACGGCGTGCCAGCCACATCGCGCAGCGACGTACGATGCCGACCTATTGTGTTCTATTGCATATTCTCATGTGCTAAGAACTGATAGTTTGGGGACACGCCTCTCCACGAAGCCAGTCGCGAGCGCAACGAGCGAGCGCTGACGCTGCTCCTTCGCGCTGGCGCCGACATCAACGCCACCAACGATGTACACCAAATACAGTGTATCAAGAAAGTATCAAGCTCGTGTAGGATGGCTGCACGGCGCTGCATGTCATCATGACCTTTCCAAAACGAACGTCGCTCACGAGCACACTGGCGTTTCTGCGCCGCCTTTGCATCTACCAGGTGGACATCGAAGCCCGAAATCTGGTTTGTAACATGTATCAATCTATCAAGTATTCGCAGCCGTGCATAGGAAGGATGCACGGCAATGGACCTCGCCAAAGATGACGATTTCCGGCTCCTTTTCTCCAAGGAAAGTGCGTTTCGATCCCAGTACCCAGTGCACTACATGGCCCGCTCCAATGACGTGGCAGCCATAAACGCCTGGCTCGCCGACAACATTGCGAGTGCGATTGCAACGGCCATGATCACCACCGACAACGTAAGTGTATTGGCTGTTCCGACGTCGATGGCCGTAACGTAGGACGGGCGCACCGTCTTGATGCGCGCGGTGGAAGCCCTCGACCTTATGCGCACCGACGGTCAAGTGCTCACCGAGCTGTTGCCTCACTTGAGCAGTAGCGATTTCACGCGGCGAGACCAGGTACACATTTCCTATGGCACCTGCGACGACTCAAGCTGCGTCAAGACGGGGCGCAGTGCCCTCGAGTACCTCTTAGAGAAGGACATTATTTGCAAAACCAACCGCGACGGCGCGTCCAACGTCGCCTTGATCCAAGCACTGGACGCCTTGTCGTGCCAGTCGACGTTGCCGTTGCAGTTTGCCCTTCGAGTATTGCGTTTTTCGACACGTTGGCGTCAAAGCTTGGGACTTTTCTCTAGGTTAAAGAAGCCCCACACGGGGGCAAGCCGCCCCAGATTTGCTGCGGTGCGTGTTCCGACAACGGACGGTCCAGTACGGTGCCCTTTGCTACGTTGGCGTCGACATCCAAGTGGGACGAGCTCGAGAGCTCTCTGCGGACCGCAACCGACTTTGAAGAGATCAACGTCCATGATGCTGCCGTGCGACTACGTCACGATCGTTCGACAATCATCTCTCACTTAGGGAGGTACCGTGCTGCACTACGTGTGCAGCAAAGGCAATATGAGCGTACTGCAAGCGCTCTTGCAGCAAACCAAGCTGCAGCTCGATGTGCGCACGCGGGATGTACGTCGTTTCCATATATTTGCGTCCGTCCGTCGATTAAGGTTGAACTCTGCAGAAATCCAATGCGCCGGCCATCACTGTGGCTGTCAACCGCAACTTTGAAGACGGCGTGCGCCTCCTCCTGCGCGCTGGCGCACACCACGGCATCCACGAGCCCTACTCCGCGGTACTTCTTGGGCCCTGGTGGTGCGGCTTCGTCAACGGCGTAGGCGCGCGCCCACGAGCTGTATAGCCAAGCGAGCGCAAGCAAGCGGCTCGTGTGCGACAATTGGGCCCTGCAGCATCGCTACCCCGCCTACCACCTCGTCCGGCTCCTCAACATTGCCGAAGCCGACAGCTGCATCCAGGTGGAGGCGACCGTTGACGAGGATCATGTTGGCGACGTCCCATCTTCGCCTTGTAGACCAAGGAATCCGCGCTGCATCTCGCTGTACGCCAGGCGCTACCGATTGGCGTGCTGGACCAGCTCTTGGCGCGTGACGACGTCGACGTCGACGCACCCAACGCGGTACGCCCCTTCGAAACGCAAGGTATTGATATGCGCGTAGGATGGCGAGACTGCGCTGCTTGTCGCCAGCAAGCTCGGGCGCATGGAGCATGCCACGTGCCTGCTTGCCAACGGCGCAGACGTCTGCGCGTGCGATACGGTGCGGCTGCGATGGAGGTCGTTGGCCATCACACACGGCGCACCGCTAGATTGGCTGGTCGTCGCTGCAGCACGCAGCGAGCCAGCACAACTTGGGCATGATGGAGCAATTGCTGGCACATATCGACGACCTACCGCTGCGAAAGGTAATAACCGGTCGCACCTCCAAAGGAAATGTCGCATAGTCTGGAACATAGGAATTTTTCTGGGGCAACGAACATGTCTTTGGCGACGACGTCGCAGCGCTCTACGTACGGGAGGAGACCATGCGCCGGGACTCGAAAAGCCATCAGCTCCGACGTGCGACGTGCATGGCGACCCTCCGCGTCGACGACGCCTTTGAGACGAGCCATTTTCTCAAAGCCCTGACGTGCAGCACCACCCTTGTCCAAATGTTCCTGCACGACTGTGTATCCATGGGCCGCGACGACGCGACGTTCTCGCATGTACGTTAGAACTGTTCGAACGTAGTACGATGTGTACACTATTGTCTAGTTGGACATTGTTTATGGAAAATGCGCCCACAAAAGTGCCTTGTACGCGATCCTGCACTTGAAGCTCGGGGACGCCGACATGACGTTTGGAGCCCAGCAAGCGTGCCTCGAACACGCCGTGTTTCGCCGACTCCTTGAGATCAAGTGGGAACTCTTCGGGCGGCGCATGTATGTCGAACGCCTCCTTCTGCACCTCTTGCTCTTGGTGACCATGACGATCTCGTCCATTCTCTTTGATGACGCGCTGCCGTCGACGACGACATATAGTATCGGGCTCACGACCACGCTTTTGGTCGGCTTTGGTGTTGCCGCTGCGCAGTGTCTGCGCCCGCGCGTCGTTTCGTCCGCCTTTCGACCGCGCGACCTCGTCGTGCTCACGGGACTATCGACGCTGGCGCTGGCCGTGCCGTTGCTGTACCATGCCAACGCGCTTCGCCTTCCCGTGTGGTATGCCACGCTCAACCACGCGGTCCTCGGTGCCACCGTGGCGTACTTTGTCTGGAACGAAATCTACGAGATGCGCGGCAACCGGGCCGGGTACTGGGGCTCGAGTCTCAACGTGGTGCAGCTGTTCAACTATACCGCGATCCTAAGCGTGTTTCTGCCACTCAAACTGGGTTGGCTATCGTCGCCCAACCAAGTCCAAGCAGGTATTGGTGCGCTTCTGACGTCGGTGCTCTGGGTCTTGTCGTTCCAGTTTTTGGAGGTCGTCTCGTCCGCGAGCTATCTCTTGCCGATGATGACGCACCTCTTTGGAGACATAGCGAATTTCTTCGTCTTCTTCGGTGTGTTTCAGTGCGGCTTGACGCTAATTTTCTACCAGCTCTTCGTGCTCACGTCGGACCCTGCGTTTAGCTCGCTCGGGCAGTCGTTCTCGACCGCGTTCTTCGTCTTGTTTGGCCAAGTCCCGCTCGCCTCCCTCCAAGCGTTTGACGACCCGTCGGATCCATTTGCGCCCGTCATGTACACAGGCACGTCGATCCTCATGATGGCGCACTCGGTCATTCTCGGTCTCGTGCTCTCCAACGTGCTCATTGCCATGTTCAGCCACACGCTGGAGAAATGCCTTGCGAATGCGAAAGCTCAGGCGCTCATCACGTATGCGTGGTGCATTCTTCGACTCGAGATGACCATGAACCTTTCGGAAGCCGACGTTCTGCGCCTCACGCACCATGACGTCGACGGCAAGCTGCAACTGCGCCCGATCTTTTCCCAATGCGTGCCCAAGTCGAAGCTCGGGCTCTCGGCCGACCAAGCGGAGGCGTTGGCGCAGCACACCACGGAGCGCGCAGCGTGGCATGCGCTCATGCGCAAGCTCGAGACGGCCGTGGATGCCCAGATCCAGTTTGTCCGAGACGCGCTGCTGCACGTGGCGCACTTCACGGACATGAACGTGCCCGTAGCGTTTGCGAGCGAGCTCCACGTTCTGGATGCGATGCATGCGTCGTTGCAGACACTCGTCGCCACCGCGCGCCGCAGCCGGTCTCCGTTTCGAGAGAAGATCCTCCCGACGCTCCAACGCAAAGCGTCTAAGGTGCTTCGACGGCGCGCGGCCGACATCAACGCTATGTGGCGGCGCACCGACGACCCGACGCAGATGAACGACCACGACCAGTGCATGCTTCTTTTCCAGCTCAACCAGCACACGACGATCGAGGCACCCCTTACAGTCATGGTGCACACCATCCTGGCCGCGATCGACAGCGCCTTCCAGATCGAGAGAGTCACCGAGGACCCAGCGACGTGCCACGCCAAGAGGATGACCGCGATGGCAACGCAGTTGGCGACTGTGGAAAAGCAAAACAGCGCGTTGTCGACAGAGCTCCAAGCGATGGCCGCACAGCAAACCGAAATGCTCTCGCTGCTCACGAAAATGAGCCAAGGTGCGACACCGTGGGCGGTGCAACCAAGCAACAGCTAGAACCATGGAGCGACCAACATGACATTTCTTCGCACTCCGTCGGGGCTCGGTATCTGGTATCTCAAGCCAGCCATTGCCTCCATGGATTTGGTTGTTTTACTATCTTCGGAGGGCTAAGAACCCATTACTATGGTAGTTGCCAAGGAGTTGTGCGTGATGGTACTATGGTTGACATGCATCGCGGCAAGGCCACTTGGAGAGCTACTCCGTTGCTGACCTTGCTGCGGAGAAGACCAATCTTGGCGTCGAGTGTTGGGGAGGTTTGTGTCGAAACGGTCCGTTGTCATGCGCTGGCTTGCCTCCGACTCACGCATCTGCGTCGCGCTCGTAGCGGATTCGTTTGCCATTGAAACGAGGTTGGAATCGTTGTGCCTCCAACCTCTGCATTGACGATGCGTAAATGAAGATTGTCATGTTTAAAACAGCGACCGCTAGAAGGCGAGCACGAAGGCGGTGGCGACGACAATCGTCACGGTCGGAAGCGCAACGACGGTGGCCGTCGACGGCTTGGTCGTTGGCGCCGGCGTCGTCGAAGTGCCGAGGTAGAGCCCGAGGTTGGTCAAGAACGACGAGAGCGATGTGCCAAGGAAGGCTGACACGGTGACGTTCCCGACCGTGCAGTTGAGGTTGGCATTGGTGACCGCGGTCTGGACGTCCGTGAAGAGCACATCGCAGCTGGGCGTCTTGGCGATGGCCGCGAGACTCGTTGCATTCGGTGTTGGGCCCGCGATGGAGATCGCCACGCCGCTCTCGCTCGAGCATTTGGCAAAGTTGCCGCTTTGGAGCACGGGCCCGAGCGGCTTGGCGAGTTCTGTCACCTCGCAGGCGGCACCTGCAACCACCGTGAGTGTGCACGCGACAAGGTAAGCGGTACGGAGCAGGCCGGGCATCGTCAATGGTCGATGGAGAGCGTGCTGTAGAGTGTCTGTTTCGAAATCTTTGGTGCAAATGACCACGCAGGATAACCACTGCTTTGGAAACCACCAACGACGTTCGATGGCTTCAACAAGGTATTGTCTTGTATGCCAGCTTTATTGGTAAAACGTGTACATGGGTGCCAAGACCGTGGGTTCGCAGTGTCTAGATTTAATAGTAGCGACAAAGCACTTGGGTACCGGGTCTGGTTTCGGCAATCAAAAGCGCAGAGAGAGGCAATGATACATGTATTGATGCGCTCAAAGCAGGAGCAGAGAGATCGTTTTGGCGCTACAAGATGGCGAAGGTCCTATTTAACCCGTAGATGCTATAGATTCGTGCCACCGCAGCCTTTAAACTAAACGTCTCGCTTGTACGAAGAAATTAAGAGGTATTTCTTGTTCAACCCGTTTGCCTCTAACAATTGCTTCTACAGTACGAGATGTGTGGTGATGACAAGAGCAATAACGAGATATGCAAGCGCCGCGAGAGACGCCGAGTTGTCAAGAGGCTTGGCACCGGCAGGTGGCGCTGTCGTCGAGCTCATGTAGGCGTTGAGGTTGGTCAAGAACGTCGTGATCGAGGTGCCCAAAAAACTCGAGACTGACTGGCCGTTCACGGTGCAAGTGACGCCAGCGCTGTTGACCGCGGCCTGAACGTCATCGTAGAAGGCCACGCAGCTCTTGGTGGCGCCGACGAGTGCCAGGTTGGCGGGGCTCGGGAGGTTACCTGTCAGCGACAGAGGCACGCCGCTGTCTTTTTGGCAATTCGCGTAATTGGGCTTGCCGAGGACGGGCAGGAGCACAGGAACGAGAATCGTCGACGAGCACGCGTCACCAGCGACGTAGCCGACGGCACAGGCTAGCGAGATACACAGCAGCGATCGGCGGTCCATGGCAATACTGACACTGCTCCAAATAAATGTGTTTGTGGAAAACTGTGGAGCAAAAACGTCGAACATCGATAGGTCGAAAGGTCTGCCTTGCGGATGGTAGCTTCCAGCGCCGGAGATATTCCGAGTCCACGCCACATCGCTACATCTTGGTCTGCCTTGTGCAGGCTGTCGTTGTCACGAGTAAGCGTAGATGGGCTACTCGAGGCGTATCCGATGTATGCACCTCCATGAATGGAGCGGCGAAGCACGCAAGCATCAGTCCTGGATCCTGGGTACATGAATGGTATTACAGAAAAATTATTATGCTTTCTCGGGCGTCGCCTTGGCGTTGGGATTCGGAAGGTCCTTCCCGATCCACTGCGCCGTGTGCTCGGGGTTCATCTCGGCGCGAATGCTCTGAACGAGGGGCAAGTCAGCCTTGAGCTCGTCCTACGCATATGTATCGTTGATAACAGCGCTGAGAGCTACGCAGCTGGTACCATCATGCACGCTGAGTACTCCTTGTAGAGCTCTTGGCAGCCGAGTTTGCCCTTGCTCTTGTTCTTGAGAAAGATGTCCTTGTACCACAGATCAAAGCAGTGGTCGTAACTATCAACCAGAATTAGATATCAGATCTGCAGTGGTCGGCGCGTACATAGCCTTCTTTTGCAGGCAGTCGACCGGCGCGGCCTCGTCCTTGGCGCCGTCCATCTCACTCCAGCGTCCCGCTCTGTGAACGTTCGAGATGCAACGTCGTCTGTGATTGGTCAACAATTCTTAACCGGTTTGACGGAGTTTGCAGTTTGCAAACCGGTGCATTCCTAGCGGTTACGAGCCGTCACTCATCAGGTTCTCGTGCAACTCCGACTCGCGGCGCTGGACAGGTACCCTGACCACAATCGCAACCCTCGTCCAGTGCTGTTCGGACTCGGACCTGTACTTGCCTTGGCGTTGAAGACGACGTCGTGGGTGGCCGCATTCGTCGCCCCACGCAGCAACCCAGAGCAGCGTACCCAAAGCGTTGCGTCAACCGGTTCGATCAACCGCATCGACTCCACCAAGCTCGCCATTTGGACGCTTTCTACTTCATCAAAACGTGCTGCAATTGAGCGCGGAGCCAGCGGTGCAAATATATAAATCAAGACCTTTGTCAAAAAGACCTGAGTACCGACGGAAGTGCGCAATCTGGCACGTCGATTGCACCTTTATTTCCGTCCAACGCACATTTATTTCCGGTCACCGCACAATATTTTACAGCGACCGCCCTTCGTCCGAACATTGAACTGCACAATTTCTAACGACGAATTATAACCATTCTGGGTTCTTTTCGCACCAGGGTCGGCGCGGCCCTGCGGGCCTACCCGCCTCCACCTGGGCGACCCATCGATAATGAATTCTTCTTACGTGAAAGACCGGGGCTCGCTCCTCGCCAAGGCACGGCCTGCACAAAAGCCAACACGCCACCTCCGCTACGCTGCGGTGCGCAGGCTTTTCTGGGCCGATGCTCTGTCGTCGCTCGCAGCAATGTGGTCCGAGATGTTATACAACGTTACGTTTATTGTGCGGTAGAGAGTGCGAGCGACGTAAGAAACAGTTCGGTCGCTGTAAAATATTGTGCGGTGACCGGAAATAAATGTGCGTTGAACGGAAATAAAAGTGCAATCGACGTGCCAGATTGCGCACACACGGTAAGTACTCAAAAAGACCTTTGTCAAAATCGAAATTTGAGCTCACACAGTCAACCGGCCCATTTTGAAGGGACCGAGTGACATATACTTCAAACTAATAAAATCTCCCTACACAACGAGGGTCTTGAGAACTTGGCAGGAACCCTTTGGACGAAACGCAATTTGAGAGGAGGCTCCAAAAACCACAATATTATCAAATTGATATTTACAAAAGCGCGCCAACCTTGAACGATTGTCGTGTCAAGCCAACGCCTTTGGGCTTGGTGGCACCCGCCGATTTTGGACGCACATTTTTGATGACCCCGAGGACCGATGACGTTGACGCGCTTCCTGTCATACATGAAAGCATCACATGCGTGTTCGCCGAAGATTGAAAGGCGTACGCAGCAGTGGTGGCGGAGGCTGGTCCATTGTCACGTTGACCGTCATGATATGGGCCGCTAATGATACCAGCAGACATGAGTTGTGCTTCCATCGCATCGAGTTTAACCTGGAGAGTCGCCGCCAGCTACGTGGTCCCGGTAGAAATTTTCCAGAAATTCGTGGCGCGCCAAAAGCTTGCCAAGGTCGTCGCACAAGTAGTCGGCCGCAGGAAGCAGGGTGTTTTGATTCGACTCGGCCAGCTTTTGGTTGGTGGCGGCTGTTATCGCGCCCTCTTGCAGCTGCCGCTTCAGGTCTTGGAAGCTCTGAAGCAGCCGGCTGTGCTCCTTGGCGCGCGCGTGCTGGTCATGGTACTGCTTGTGCTCGAGCGAAAGCAGCTTCTTGATTTGCTTTCGCAACGTTAAAATCTCGTGGGTTTGGTGTTCGTAGCGCGACTTGTAGTACTCGGTGACATATCTATCCAAAAATCGAAAATATGACATATATTTCCACAAAATGCAGGTGCACATGTTGTCATTGGCAACGCGACTGGCCTCGTCATTGGAGACGCGCGTTGGCGCCGCCGACGCCTTCTGGGGGCTGCCTTTCTGAAGGGCGGCAAAGATCTTGTCGTACTCGGACTAGAATCACCGCTCTTTAGCCGCCCATTCGGACAAAACAGCCTCGTACCTTTAAGGCAGCAAGGCGCGAGTCTTTTTCATGCAGGCGGCTCCGTGTTTTCAGCAAGGCGGTCTCCAACGAAGCGATCTGGTCGTCCTTGCTCTGCTCGCGGTCCCGCAGACTAGACACACGCCACTGTTTTCAAGAGAATCCGTGCAACCTAAAGCGCTACCGCTGGGCTTCTTTTTGGGCCTTTTGCACCTCGGTCGAGTGCAAGCTCGTCTTGAGGCTGTGCAGCTTGCTTCGCAAGTCCGAAATCGTCTCGCGGGCTGCCGAAACTTCCGCGTCGAGGCTGCCGATTTTCAAGTTGGCTTGGCGCAGTTCGCGCACGCTCGCGGCAGATGCGATCGTGGTCGTTTCCGGTGGCGGCGCACTGCTTGGCGCTAGCAGCGAGGTCGCGCTCAAGCCCGTCGAGCTGCGTCGGCGCGACATGCCAAACTCGAGCTCATGGACTTGGTGCTTGAGCATGCCGAGCTCATATGTCATCGCTCGGTGTTCGTTGTCACGTTCGTCCAACGCCTTGGCCTGCGTGCTTATCTACACCAAACGTATCAGTCGTCGTAAGGCGTCGCAAGCTACGTACGCAGCCGAGTGCTTTTTGAAGCTCGGTCGTTGCGCTCTCGAGCTGCCTTCGAAGGCTCCGGCTCACGGCACGCTCGCGCTCGAGCTCGTCGAGGCCTTCTTGGGCAAGAAGGGCGCGGCCATGCTCGGTCTGCTCCATCGCGACAATTAGCACTTGTCGCTCCAGAAGCAGCGCGTTGTGGTCTTGCTGGAGTGCGATTAGTTCGTCTCGGATGTGGCTCTCTTCGCTACGCATGCATAAGATATGATTGCCGCGGCCACAAGGTCGTCATACAGCTTTTGCGCCACCGTCGCCGTCTTGAGCGAGATTTTCAACGTCTTTTCATAATCCTAATCCACATAGATTGTTGTTATCATAGCTCATGCATTCTGGATACTGGCGGCTCGGAATACTAGGATGGAGTACCTCTTTGAAGCCGCGCTGGACACGCATGTACGTGCGCAGCGAGTTGATGACGGCGAGCGTGTCACCGTCTGCCGTCGGCACGGGTCGTCGCGTGTCCGCATCCGTTGTTGTGTTGACGATTTCATCGTGAAAGTCGGCGATGGCCTTCTCGATGCGCGCGAGCTTGGCCAACCGATCTTGGGACGTCGAGAGCCGCTGGACGAGCCGCTGCACTTGCTAGTGCACCGTTCGCATCAGCACGGATATATGTATCGACGACATGGCATCGTACGTCGAGTGGAATGAATTGTCCTTTCTGGTCATCGGATGGGGCGGGGGATGCCAAGGGAGCGACGACCGCGTTGGATTCAGGCTCGGGTGCCACTGGCGAGGCTTTTCCCACTGATGGCCGCACCGTCCGGCGCCGAGTTGCGGGCGCTGTTTTGACGGCCGCGACCTCCGAGATAGTCGCCAGCGCCGGCGTCTCGAACTCGGGCTCCTTGATCTTGACCTTGGCGCGCTTGACCTCCATCGCAACTGCCGACGGTTACGTGGTGTCTTTCCTGTTTCAAACCGGATTGTGTCTTGCACGATACAGTGGCTGCGGCCAGACAGTGTTTGTAGACAGGCGCCATTCCGTCGTCGGCGTTGCTGCTGCGTGTAGTAGGACTTACTACAGAAAAGACACCTCGTTGAAGCGCAACTTTGCATTTGTGTTTTGAGACAACGACCGCGCTAAGACACGATGGGCCAACGCCACGGCGATTGCAAGCGCGTCAGCCAAGCGCGTCATGCTAGCGTCAAGACGACCTCGTGTTCTGGCGTCTTAACGCGAAGAGGATCGGGCGGCGGCACCTCGTGCATATATTACGTGAATGAGTAGGTACTACTACCGCTACAGTACACGGAATGAAGGTACAAAGCTACCGGTTGCTTCAGGATGGAACGGCCCAGCAGCTCTCCGCCTTCACGTCGATGCACTTGGTGGCGAATGCGCTGCATCACCTCACAGGAGACGACGGTTTACACGGAAGCGGCCAGCAGATGGGCGTCGATTACAGTTGCGTGAAAGTAGCCCCGCACAACACGCTCGACAGAGGTTGCTTGTCGCTGTGCCGGCTGGTGGGTTTGCGCGGTCACGCAACCAGTGGCTCGCGGCCTCCTGCAGTACCCTTGCCACCCATCGAGTGACGGCGCTGTCACTGGGCCGCAACTGACCATGTGCGTGACGCTTGGTCATTAAATCCCCCTTGCGATTCGTACTTGACGTTTGTATGCTTTGGGATAAAAATTCAATGGCCGCCTTGCTACGTCTTTGGATGCAGCGCCGCCTCGACAAGGGCAAACTCACGGTGGCACCGTGGGATGCCACGTGAGTCACACTGCACTTCGCAGGCCGCGTAATGGGATCGTGCGTTGTCAGAGCCCCTTTTGTTGAGACGACGACGAGCATGCTACCGATGGCCGAGATGGTCTCGCCGCAGTCGCCGCCGCGCAAGATCTCGAACGAAGACTCGTCGATCCACTACTCGGACGACCTCCAGAAGAGCGAGCACTACTCGTACTACCCGGCAGCCGCGTCCATCGACGAGGCGTCGACGGCGTGGCACTTTCCGTGGGCGCCGCCGCCGATGCTGCCCAACGACGACGACCGCGTCATGGAGCTCGAGAGCTACGGAGTCCTCGACACACCCAACGAACACGTCTTTGACGTGCTTGTCTCGATGGCCACCAAGGCGCTGCGGTGCCCGATCGGCGGCGTGAGCCTCATCGACAAGCACCGCCAGTGGTGCAAGGCCAGCATTGGCCTCGCACAGACCGTCATCCCGCGCAACGTGGCCTTTTGCGCGCACACGATCGCGTCGACCAAGCCGCTCGTCGTCCTCGACACGTCGCTCGACAAGCGGTTCTACCAGAACCCGCTCGTGACGGGCCCGGCCAACATTCAGTTTTACGCGGGCGCGCCGATCGTGAATGGGAACGGCACGGTCTTGGGCACAGTCTTCGTGTATGGCCACCGGCCACAGACGTCGTGCGACACCCAAGTGCTCAAGAAGCTCGCGCGGATGGCCATGAACCACCTCGACGACCGCAAGCAGTCGATGCAGCGCGCACGGCCGGCGCGGTCGCGCTCGCAGGCGCAGCCACGGACAACGTCGGTGCCGCGCCACACCACATCCGGGCACCACCCGGCGACGATGATGATGGACCGGTCGCCGGCCGACGAGTACGACGCCCGGCGCGAAGCCATGCGGCTGCTCGACATCCTCGATACGCCGCCCGAGGTCATCTTTGATCGCGTGTGCTCGCTCGCGACGCAGCTGCTGCATTGCTCCGTCGCCGGTGTCAGCCTCATTGACGACGACAAGCAGTGGTTCAAGGCGCATGTCGGAAACGTCGACCTCAGCCACGTGGCCACCTTTTGCGCGCACACGATCGCAGCCCGCAAGACGACGGTGGTGGTGGATACGCTCGAAGACACGCGGTTCCGGAAGAACCCGCTCGTCCGTGGGAGTCATATCCGGTTCTTCGCCGCCGTCCCGATCTACACGCCGGACGAACACGTCATTGGGACTGTCTTTGTCATGGACACATCGCCCCGGACGCACGCGACGGTGGACGTCAACAGCCTCCAGCGGCTCGCGCGGGTCGCGATGCTGCACTTGGCGCCGCGCGTCCAGTACAAGATCATGCCGGTGCTCGACTATAGCTCGTTTGTGGACGAGCACGCCCAAGTGTACTCGACGGACCGGGATGCGATGACGGGCAAGGCCAAGGGCACCAACGGCTTTGAGAAGCTCCGGCTCAAGTTTCTCTCGACCGTCTTCAAGCGCCAGCCCAGCAACCAGCATGCTCCAATGTATTAAGGGCGTCCCATTTTGACGGCGATGACGATGACAAGATAGACGAGTAGAGACCAGTCGATCGTGCAATCTGTAATAGAGACGGTGTGGACGCGACAGCATCCTTGGATCGAACAAGGGTGCGTAGCGTCCTTTGTGTGTGTGCGTTTCAACAGATCGTTCGGTGTTGCGGTGGAGAGGCACATGTCGGGTTCGAAGTGGCATCTCGCATCTCGATTTGTGCTGGAAACAGGGAGAAATGACTCGTGGATCTTGAAGAGCTCGTGGCTGCCGAAGTCCGGCGGTACCGTTCGACTCGTGTACATACCTTGGTGCTCTTGGGTTTGTACGTGTAAAGATGCAAAATGAAATGCCCATTCAACTTTCGAGCATATCGTGGGAGTTTGCTGAGTGCGTGCCAACGACGTCTTTTGGTCTGTCGCAGGATCCCGTTGCGCCAAAGCTACTGTGAGAAGCCACGTCAGAGTGAACCACGAATAGCATACAGTAGATGGAATTCTCATTGGAGTCTTAGGTGCTAAAGGACGGAAAGAGGATGTTGGGAAACTTCTTGGAAATGAGGTAAAACTCGTTGAGATCGATCTTGCAGTCGCCGTCGCCGTCGCATTGCCGCAGAATCGTCTTGGCTTTTTTCTGCACTTGGGCTTCGGTCGTCATGTGCGTCGCCTTGAGGATATTGACGAGCTCGTTCTCGGTGATGTAGCCATTGTGGTCGTCGTCGTAAATCTCAAAGCAGAACTGCGCCTTCATGCTCTTTTCGATCTCGAGCAAGTTGCTCATGCCTAAATGTCGAGGTATTAAACACATTTCTGCACACGCGACATCATATACCCAACAGAATATCGCGAATGTCGGCGAGCTGTGTGCCGGCGTAGAGCGCGTGCAGCTTGCGGTACTCGCCCGTCGGCTCGACTTCAAACAGTGTATAAAAGTCCTCGAAACTCAATCCTTGCTTCTCCGACTTGAGGAAGCGGTCAAAGACGCGGCGGAGCATGTCCAAGTTGACGTTATTGTCCGCGATGAATTTGTCCAAGAGCGCCTACAAAAAAGAATCAATTTATCAATCTTTCAAAATGTCAACATGTTAAAACTTCGACAAGGATCAGGTACCTTTTTATGCAGTTTGGTCTCCATGTCGCGGCGTCGGTCTTCTTCCGAAACAATCTCAGTCTTGGCCGCGACCTACGCAAATGCGTATCGCTCGCGATGAGAAAGCACAATGCGATCCACCTCGACGGGCGCAGCGTCGGCCACCTTGTCGAACGACGGGTCGCCCGGATCCGGGTGAATAACGAGCTTTCGAAACTCCTCGAACGACACTTGTCCGTCACCGTCGCGGTCGACCATCTTGACCATCATGTCGACTTCGGCGTCCGTGATGAGCTCGCCCATGCAAATCAAAATGTGCCGAATTTCGGCCGCGCCCACAAACGAGTTCTTGTCGAGGTCGATGAACTTGAAGGCGCTGAGGATCTCGGCCTCGGAAAACTCCGACGTGCTATACACGTCGAGAGTAGTACAGACAATACGACACTACTATAGGACGTACTTGTCGTCGCCAACGTACGACTTGGCGTCTTGAATTGCTTTCGAGTACGTGACGGGGGCCACATCCAGGGGCTGGATGGTCGCGGCCGCCCGCAAGTGGGCTGTCTCTTTGGTCAGCCGCTCTCTCGCGTCAAACGTGTCCATGCCAATCTAGTCCTCGTTCGCACACGGATACAAAAGAGATCGTGTCGTACTTGGTGCTGGGGGTAGCCAATGCTGTCGGCGGGCGCGACAAACGACAGCTCAAAATGAAGCTCGCCGACTTTTTCGTTGGCGCCGTACTTGCCTTTGAAGCGCAGCGGGTACCACTCGTCGAGGTAGCCGTAGCGAAAGATGGGCAGCAGCGAAAAGCTCATTTCACCTACACCCCCCCACTGAATACCGCTCGGCGATCAAACGGGTTCTACCGATGAGGTCGTCTTCGCCGAGACCATCGTGATCCCAACACTCGACGGCCAGTGTAAATTGATCGACGACATCAAACTCAAAGCGTTGATTCCACTCGGGCTCGGTGCCGCCGTCCATGTCGATCTCAGTGCGCACGACGGTCTTGATCCCGACGCCTTCGAGCGTCATCTTGACGTACGGGTCCTGCTGGCCGACCGAGTCGACGTCCCTACTCACGGCTCTCACAAACTGTTTTCGCATCTAAAAGATGAGAGCTACCGGAGACGACGACCCGCAATGCAGTGGAGCGAGAGCCGCCCCGCGGGGTAGAATTGCATTTTCATGAGGATTTCGCCGGCCGACTTGCCGCCATTGAGGAGCGGCAGCACAATATCGTGCACGCCCAATGTACGCATCGGCTCGAGGACACTGAGCGCGCCTTCGCCAATGAAGTCGTCGCTTCCGACGTCTTCGTCATAGCAGCGCAAAATCACATCATGGACCCACGAGTCGGCCGTGATCCAAAAGCAGATTTCTTCCTCGCGAAAGTATGGGTTCGTGCCCCCTTTTTCGATCGTCTTGGAGCGTTTACTGCGGCCGTCGTGCTCGAGCTTGATGTACGGGTCCTGCTTCCCGATGAGCTCCATGTTCTTGAGCTTCCGGCCTTCCAATAGGATAAAGCTGAGCAAGCCCGGGGTCGCGATGCGCATGCTATGCAGTAGCATCAGTATCAAGGTGAATGGATCATTGAACTATACCAAAAGGAAATGTCGACTTCACCGGCGGGCATCCCGGTCTTCATGTGCAGCAGCGGAATGGTTTCCTTGTGCTCGAGGCCGTCAAAGAAGCGCAGCAGTGACACGTTGGCATACCCAAGGAGTTCGTCCGAAATCATGTTTTCATCCCATAGCTCGACCTAGACCAAGCCTTTAAACCCATGAAAAATTTAGTTTTATACCGTCAAAAGCACGTCGTTCTTGTGCACCATCAGAGACGGCGACTCGAAATTCACTTGCAGCAGCTCCTCGAGGAATCCGACGTCCCGACCAGCCTTTTTCCACACTTTGGACTTGAGCTCCTTCATGCATTTCGAGTGCGCGCCGACTTTGAGCTTGCAGTAGACATCGGCCTTGAACTTGGCGTCCGAGTTCTTGGCGCGCGAGAGACCCCGTGCTTCGAGAAGAGTAAAGCGCATGCGACCTTTCCGCAGCAGACGCTCGATCTGCGCCTGGGCTTCCACCGAGGTCTCATGCACCTCGACACCTGGCGCCGTCCCTGCACCACCAAGTTCAAGTGGTGGCCCCGGTGGTGCATTGGTCGGTGGGCCAGGCGGGGCGCTTGGTGGTGGTCCAGGCGGCACTCCCGGTGGTGGTCCAGGCGGTGCTCCTGGTGGTGGTCCAGGCGGCGCTCCTGGTGGGGGTCCAGGCGGCGCTCCTGGTGGGGGTCCAGGCGGCGCTCCCGGTGGTGGTCCTGGTGGTGCTCCGGGTGGTGCTCCTGGCGGAGGCTTGACCGGTGGCGCACCCGGCGGGGCTTGACCGGCGGCGCACCCGCAGGTGGTTTGATCGGTGGCGCACCCGGCGGCGGCTTGATCGGACTCGTCGATGCAGGAGGAGCACCCGGCGGAGGACCAATCACAGACGACGGAGGCGCTCCCGTGGGTGGTCCGATCGTTGTCGATGCAGGTGCTACCACATTGGCCGGTGGTGGTGCGCCAGGTGGAGGAGCACGGGCAACGGGTGGTTTTAGAGGACTAGTGCTGGCGACGAGTGGTGACGTGGTGTCACTTGCTGGTATCGGTTCGACCTTGGGCGGCGTCGGCTGCGGAGGCTCGACCTTGGGTGGCGCACTTGGCTGTGGCGCGCTCACTTGCGATTCGGAAACCTCCAACACTGGGGGTGCGACGCTGGGCTTGGGCGGTGAGGGCTCTGGCGGCGGTGGGGCGCTGGGCTTTGGCGGCAGTGGGGCACTAGGCTTTGGCGGCGACACGGTGCTTTCGGACGGCCCACTGGGTCGCGGCGGCCCATCAGGTCGCGGAGGTAGGCCACCTCCTGGTCGAGGCGGTGGCATACCCGGCCGTGGCGGCGGCGCATCCGGGCGTGGTGGTGGCATACCAGGTCGTGGCGGTGGGCCGCCTTCTGGTCTTGGTGGAGAGCCCATCGGTCTTGGTGGTGGTGCCCCACCCGGTCGTGGCGGTGGCGCGCCTGCGGGTCGTGGTGGTGGCGCACCGCTCGGCCGAGGTGGCGGCGGGCTGCTCATGCCCGTCCAAGATACACAATCCGGATCCGACTGCATATCCGGAAAACGGCCAGCAGTTGCTGCGGGCCGCGCGCCGGGCAGGTCTGCGCGAGCCCAGCTACGTGCTAATAGTAGCGATGATGGAGCCTCCTCGATGCTCGCTGCGTGGGCACAAGCTGCAGGCGCCGAGGCGGTCGTCGCCACCACGTGGCCATCGTGCCCGAATACTAAATCCAAGATGAAAATAAAAATACAATGGCCCGTCAAAAACCAGCTGGGACCATTTGATTCGAGAGCCATGGCCGAGGCCCGCTGCCGCAGTACAAACGGCCTCAAGTTCGACGCGACGGAGCCTCCGCGCCTGCAGCGCCAGGGCGCGCTCGAGCACTGCGGTAAGTACTGGAAGCACTCGTGCTGCAACGCGACGCACAACCTGCCATTGAAGCGGCTCGTGCTGGAGCCGCTCGTCGCCAACGTCAATCGCCGCTGCCAGTCGCTCTCGGAAGAGCTCACGTGCTCGGCGTGCCACCCGCTCGTGGGTGTCGGCGCCATCGATCGCGTCTGCCTCGACCTCTGCGACGACTGGTTCGACGCGTGCAAGGACGAGTTTTACATGGCCGAGCACCACCGCCTCGCGCCATGCTACGGCAACGCACTCGTCTGCTCGCCGCTCAAGGACATTGTGACCACGTACGTGCGATGGCGTCGCGACACGTCACAGCATGATCATGTATGCATGTGTTAGGGGCGCTGCCTTTTGCCGTCACATGGGCTACACGCCGGGCAAGGCCACCGACGCCGAGGGCAAGGACTGCTTCGACGGGTCGGTGCCCGACACGTACGGAGAGCCCGAGCCGGCCGAGAAGGTCTCGGACGCGCTCTTCCGCATCTTCCAGGAGCAGTCGTCCGAGCCGACCGAGTTTGTGCTCGTCGTGATCCTCGGCACGATCCTCTCGCTCTTCCTCTCGATTAAATTCTTCAAGCGCTGGCACCATGCGCACCAGGAAATGAACCGCGAGGCCGCGCGCCGGCGTCAGCAAGAAGCGTACCGAGCGAGCTATCACCTCGGCAAAGCTGCCGACACGGGCGCGACTAGTGACGCCTCCGACTCGGACTCGGACTCGGACGCCGACGACTCGCCCGGCCGTGGCCCGCCCGGCGACGCCCACATCATGGACGAGACCCCCACACACGTCGAGTAGGGTCATCGTGCTGCGTGTCTTAGATATGATCAACCAACTACGTGCTGTGTCTCGTCGCGTACTGTGTCTTCTTGCGGCAGGACGCACACATAGTCGCCGCCGGCGGCCACTAGCATCGGTATAAGGTCACCGCCACCACGCTCATTTCGAGCTACGTACATAGCAGTGGCGCCGAGGGCAGCGCCGGCGGCAGCAAGCCGACAGGAGGAACTGCGTGGAGGGCGCCTCGTGCAAGGACGAACGTGGTCGTCGACGTGCAAGCGACGTCATCAATGTGCGCCTGGATGCACTGCTGTTGCATGGGACGGCAGTCAAACCCGTCGCCCCAGACGTACGCGGCGCCTTTACTGAGCGCGGCCGCGTGCCACGGCCCGGCGGCGATCTTGGTCACCTTGGGCAACCCGACGACGCGGACCGGGTAGCTCTACGCCAACCCCATCGTTACCACAACATGAACGCGCAAAAGGCTTTTGTGCAATACACTGGAGGAGTAGCTGCCGGTGCCAAGCGCGCCCGCAGCACCAAGTCCCCACGTGTACACGTCGCCGGCCGTCGTGAGCAGCATGTAGTGGGCATCGCCGGCCTTGACGGACGCAATGACGACCTTGTCGAGCTCGGCGCAGGCCACGGGCGTCGGGCGCAGGTGCAGTCGCGTCGAATCGTCGTCGCCGTTGTCGCCAACCATGTGCTGGACGCCGCAAAAGAAGAGCTGGCCGCTCCGCGACACGAGCAGCGTCGATTCGCGCCCGGCGCCGACCAAGTAGTAGCCATCACTATCCTTGGTTTCGAGGATGCGCGTCGGCTCGAGCACGTCGCCGGCGTCGATGCCCAGGCCAAGCCGCCCGCCCTCGCCCCACCCAAACGCAAACGCGCGGCCGTCCGTGCAGACGACGACCGAGTGGTCGCGCCCGCACGCGACACCGAGCGCCGTCGGCAGCGCCGAGACGCGCGCCGGC